AAGATAAAGAACATTATTTCTTAACACCAAAAACATTTAATGGTCTCTAAAAGCGACGCCGAAAGAAATTGCAAAAAATTGAAACTTCTGGTATAATGACGTTATCATTTTAAATTATCTACTCAAATTATTGTAAATGGTTATTTTACTCAGATGTATTCCTATAGGCTGTAGAACCTTGAATAAGTTTAAGTGTTTTATAAAATCGTGAGGTAAAGTTGGACGAGGATGCAGAGAAAACATTTTCTCTCACTCAGTGTCGTGGTTCTTGAACTTACTACTTTTGTTAATGTTGAAGATTAATCTTGGATAATAATGATGAAATTTTGCTGTTCCTCAAATATTTAAGAATCTTGGATTATACAAGAAGATAGTTCTAAAGCCAATTTTTAGTGTATAGTAAATACGTAGTGTAATACAAAATATAACTTAATAAAATGAGTTGTACAAAATAGGCTTAAGTTTTATGAAAGATGTTTACTTTGTCTTTAATTCATGTTCACTATGATATAACTAGTGAATAAATTGCCTTTTTTTTATCTTCTCAACAGTCTTCTAACTGTATTCTCAACTGTAAACAGTCTCTTACCCAGAGAGCAAAATTCTTTAAGGAATCTTCCTTGATTTTATCTTCCCTGTAAAATTGGGTAGCAATCTATGATGTCATTTTGAAGCTGTCACCTTATTTTGAATTTTGCTTAGTGTAACTGTAAGTAATAGTATAATATATTTCTTTATTTAATAAAAATGTATAAAGTCAATCTCGCGTCATGAATATCAATAACTATTTTATGATTAAACAGTGATTACATTTTTAACCAATTTACTTGCTAATTTTGATCTCTTTTTGCATATCTTCAAAGTCATGTCTCTCACGTTGAAATAGACGAAGTCGCCATATTGATGGATGCTGGTGAAATGGTTTGGCAATGTAAACTGTCTGAAGGTTCATATTGGACAACATGACCAAAAACCAAGACTTTAGGACAGGTGATTAATGGTTTTACATCTATAAACTTTCTCATGTTATCGACGATTAGTCAGAACCTAAAACAGAAACAAATGTGAGAGGAAAATAAAGATAATAACTGGTGTCTTCTTCAAAACCTTAACCCTGCTTCTCCTGTAATACACAAAAATCGACACCAGGGTTATCTTCACTCCATCCCACAAACATGTGCATACCATAAATATATTTACGAGGAACGTTTGGACTAAACATTCTTAATTAGTATTAGAGCTAATACGCCTTATTTCAACATTTCATTCTTCTTGCCAGTCGAGTGTAGAAATTGCGTTAAGTTGTTTCGTTGAATTTTCAGCACTTGAATCCTTTACAGTTCTGATGAGTGGAAAACGTTAATGGCTGGATGTTTCCGCTTTAAAGTTGATTAAAATTACATTACCTCGAGGGCAAGTTTACCAAGCCAGTTGTTAATAGCTATCTTGTTCGACTGTTACATCATCAATACTTAAGGCACAAGTAAATCTTTCGCTATTTTCTTCACATTCTCGAAGTTTGTTATTCTAAGCTTTAGCTTATTCCATCCTTCCATTTTATATCTTGTTGTGTTGACAGTCTTTTCCTCACAAAGGCCACGTCTTGCCACTAACTTGTGAAACCTTTTTATGAACCATCGAAAACTTCGACGACAGTAAAACTACCATATGTATTTGCAAAGCAAATTCATACACAGGTTCACTGAATAAATTCAAAAACAGACTTCACAATTAAATAGTTTTATTCTTTTCTTTATTCCCTAGTTGACCATGAACAATACACGCTTTGAACACCATCAATGGTAGCCAAAATTCACTTAAAACGAGTAAATACAACTCGAATACAAATTTAAGGGGCTGTTCACATGAGCCCGGTAGCCGCGATTCAGCATAGAGCTAAATCATTTTGGCAAATGGAAAAGATTAAATACTTCACGACAAAAAACTTTTTTGAGCAATTTCTCTATGCTCTGACTTTGCAAATTTACAAAATCTTTAAAATGAAAACAAATAATTGCGCATGATTTGAAAGTTACAACTAACGCATAAGAAAAGTTTTGCGCTTAAAATTTTTGCTCCTTTCGATGACTCAAAATCATTTCCCGCCTCGCTGAATTCAGGTTACCGCGGGCTCATGTAATCAGCCCCTAAATCATACAAATTGATGACATAATTTTGAAAGCGATTGTAAGTTTCGGGTCACAAGAAGATATAAATATAATTTATAATTTATGTAATAAAAATTACTCAATGGTAAAAAACTATACGCAAAATACATAGAACAATCTATTAAGTTTAAAATTGTTTGGAAACATCAGAATATATATGATTTCTTCGACGACGAATAGCGTCTCTTGATGGTGGTCGATTGTCAATCATACAAGTTCCTTTACTGAGATAACCTTGGGGAAACGAATTTGAACGATTGTCATACTCATAAGCGGTTAAAATAGCTGATAATATCATTAAAGAATGCTCTGATTTTAACTAAGTTGACTGTTTTGTTCTCTGCTGTTCATTCATCACTATCTACACTCCACACTTTATCTTATTTTATATGTTTTAGATAGTGTAAAACTGTTCTCTCGTTCTCTGTTGTTTATTCATCACTACCTACACTGACACACGTTATCTTATTTCTTATATATTTTATGTAGTGTAAAACTGTTCTTGTTCTCTGTTGTTCATTCATCTTTATTTACAGAGACATACATTATCTCATTTCTTATATATTTTATGTGAGTGTAAAGATGTTCTCATTCTCTGTTGTTCATTCATCACTACCTACACAGACATACGTTATCTCATTTCTTATATATTTTATGTAGTGTAAAGATGTTCTCGTTCTCTGTTGTTCATTCATCACTACCTACACTGACACACGTTATCTCATTTCTTATATATTTTATGTAGTGTAAAGATGTTCTCGTTCTCTGTTGCTCATTCATCTCTACCTACACTGACACACGTTATCTCATTTCTTATATATTTTATGCAGCGTAAAGACTGTTCTCATTTTCTGTATGAGCATGAATTTTATAATATCAACATTCCTGTCACACAAACTATTCATGAAATTAAAGGATACTGGCCGACACAGGAAGATAAAAAATTTCATTTTCGCCAATTATCTCAATGTGATGACCAACAGATCCAACTCCACTTTCTCCAGATACACCAACAGCTACAGCAAACATTTCAATGTCTAGTTTTCTCGTCATTCCTGCTGCAACCTATACAATAAAAATGCAACAACCAAAGAAAAAGTAAGACACAGGTTTTATTTCATTGGAAAACATGGGTCATTCCCAACCATTGCAGTTTATTAGCCCATCAAGCAGCACAATAGACATTGCTTTGTTGCTTGTCAATGTAAGAGCTTATGATTGGAAAATTGTGCCATTAATATTATATTTTCTTTGAACGTTTGAATCTTCTAAAACAGTTTATTCATATCAATTTTCTTTCTCGATATATTATAGTTTATGTACTGTACGCTTTACACAGCATGTGACGTCACATTGTATAATGAAATTTGAAATAGCAGGTACATTTGCTGATATTTTACTTTAACAGAGCAGAATTCCTTCATTGTGAAGAATTAATGGTATTAAATATTGCTTGATCATTTCAACGAAACCAAAGGATGTTTAAAACTTTGTTAAATGCAAAATGATGTAAAATTTGTGTAAAGGGAATTATAAAATTTCAATATCTTGAGAATGAGAAGCAATATACGTACACTGTTTTGAAAATACGCTGTCATTTTCAAAATCCTGTTGAGTGAAAATATAATTTAAATAGCAAAATTTCGAGTCCGTATGCCTTGAAATTATCATTGATGCTAATTTATACTGAACTATACACACGCGATAGGTTATACTGAGGGTAAAGGGGGTATACTTAGGGGATTATAAGCGGTAGAAAGGGTATTTAAGAATGTATAATTAATTGAAAACAAAAAACTTACAGGACCATGATTAAACAAAACTTTGATACCAGTCGATGGAGGAGGTTGTCGTACTTTGAATCTACAGCTATCAATACCAATGTTCCTTAATATCACCGAATGTACATACGTGTGACCTTCTTTAAGTACCCCATGTCCACCTCTGGTGGAAGCTCAAAACCTCTTGTGTTGTTTTTCCAATAACAGAAGCAGTTTGAACTTTACGTCGGACAGGATCCTCTATCTTTAAAACTGATATCCCAGAGAAGAATAAGAAATAAAAGGATCAAGGAAACAACAAAATGGAATTATAAAACATGGGTTTCTGATTGATAGACATAAAAATTAGTTTCTCTATGTCTTTACAAACACTGATGATTTTAAAATTTTTCAAAGAAAATGCAACGTATTTTCAAATTTTTCTGTATCTGTCTTTCATTTTATCTTATTTAGTTCAGTAGAAAATAATTTGAGTCGATATGAAAATGAAATGAATTTTCACGATGTCGTATTTAGAAGTCATTTTCGATTTAAAATTTACTCAAGCAACTTTTGGCAACTACAACTAAGAGACGAAAATTTCAGCAACAAAGCTCTGTTTTTTTTTTGGAAACTGTATTTTATGAGTAAATCTTCTCATGTCAACAATAGCCAACATAACAAGTGTTTATTTACATGTGAAAATAACCACTGAATTAAAGGTCACGACCTGTAATAGTTGCCAAGACAACGTCGACACACGTGCGAATTTACAACAAAGTACACGTTGTTTTACAGGTATTTTCATTATTTTACATAAAACATCGTACACAATTCTTTAAGAAGCAAGGCTCAGTGGTCTAGTGGTATGATTCTCGCTTTGGGTGCGACAGGCCGCGGGTTCGATTCCCGCCTGAGCCCCGCTTTTTACGATTTCATCATAAATTCCTTAAAAACCAATGCCTCGATATCAATGGTTGATACCGAGGTAATTGCAACGTAATCTGTGACCTCACAAGCAAATTAAACTTTTGTCTGTGTCCAATATTTAAAAATTTTGTTATCATCTCACCTGAGAGTTTGGTAGAGCACCAGGTTTTCCACCCATGATAACGTTGGATAAATTGTCATGATTATCACAAGATGTCTCTGTGTAACGATAACATAAACATAAATGCTGTTTTTACGCACTACACATTGCACCAATTATCACTTACTTGATGACGTAACATCTGAACTCAATACTTCATGTTGCATTTCCAACAATGATTCTAAAGTCGAACTTCGGACTATAGATTGTTTGGTACGGGGGGAATCTAAAACACTTTCATTGCTCAAGACAGTCGATGCTTGACGGGGGGTGGGGTTGGTGGGTCGTGTCGACGGAGGTAGGTACACCACCAGCTTGTGCAGGAGTAGGATTCACTGGACGACTGACAAAAGGTGTACTACTTTCGACTGGAGAGACATCCCCAGGCGATTGTCCTCTTTCAAGATCTGGGTTCTCTAAAACCGTTGACCTAGACCAGTTTGAATATTGCGGAACATTTTCTATAGCAGTAAGAAAGAAAAACTACGTTTATTAATTAAAAAGAGTTTCTCTAACTATGTACAGTAACGTACCATGAGAAGTTTGATGCCTCTGATCTAAAATTTCTGTTGATGCACTCATTGCAGTGTGAAGCGAACTAGAAACTGGACAAGCTTGTTTGTCGAGTTCAGCACTGAGCTTCAACATATCAGGACCGCGATGTAAAGCACTTAGAAAAGCTTGACCCTTCGCCGTTTCAAAATATGGCGGAACTTCACGATGACGTAATGCATGTTTGCCGTATTCTAGTTTAGCCAAATCTATACGATCTCGTTCCCATTCCTCGGCCGTGCGTTTGCAGGCTGGCGCAGGGGGTGCGGGCTTTTCGACAGGTGCTACAGACTTCAAATACTTTTCTTGTACACCTGCAGTAAAGTAAACATAAAATAACGTGACTTTTCTATGTTCAAAATAAAAACTGTATGAATTAGGATGGTTTTGTAAACTGATTCTTTCAAAATAGACAAAGAAGATGCAACAATTTTACAACAAAGTCACCAAGAAGTTTAATAAAGAAACAACGACATTATTGAATGTATTGTTTTCATGATAGCGACAGTGAAAATTAAAACTAAATAGAAACCAAGTTTAAACATTACCATTTACATCAGCTTTGAGATCATTTTTAGAGAATTTTCTCGTTCGTACTAAAATATAATTAAAATTCCCCAGTGAATTCAAAGTATTAGTTACGATAAATTATTACATATACTCTAGTTTGCTTTGTAAAACTAAAGTACACATGATAAAATCTTTCCTACATCCGGCCGGGAATATTTGGATTGTTATCATTCTTCTTTATAAACGGTTGAAATTATTTTGCCTTTGATATCGTTCAAATGTTTTGATGAAATATATCATGAATCAATGTCATTTTTCAAAGTTTGTTAAAGGAATTATTTACATGTCAATCAATAGTTTTACTAAGTTTAAGCATGAAGTGTAGCTCTAGTTCACTTAACGTTCACACAATTTTTTGACGTTTTCTAGTCTCTAACACGATAAATTTTTACACGCTATAAGGAATTTTAATCGTTTCCGCTACGTTTTGATAAAAACTCTTCAAAGAAAAGTGACCTCCTTGTAACGAAGCCATAACAGACCATGATAAAACGAGACTTCATTGTTAGTAGCCGGCGTTCGCTAGCAATAACTAAAGAAAATGTTGATGAAATATTTCGTTATTTATAATAATAAAAACAGAAAATCGTGTTTTCCTTTAATGTATTTTCAATAAAAAAGGCCACAGGGGGTTTGCAATATCGTAATTTAACCTGAGACAATGCACTCTGTGACGAAATTATTGAAAGTGCCTCCACATTATGACACAGTAGTAAACTTTTAAAGAATATCCTTTTTTCATAGTTATCTAAATAACATAGAACTATTCCCAGCGCCACTTCTCTTTCTTACAACACATTTATTTTTCATCATTGATCTTTATATTTGTAACTGAAACACTCATAAAATAGAAATGATTACGTTTTTAAGCAATTATATTTAACATATCGTAATGACTGCTTTATCAAACTATCGTAAATGAATTTGTTATGTCAATGTCAGCTAATAAACTTTCATCTAAATAAAGTTTTATAAACACATCTGGTGTTAACGTTGTCATGAAGAACGCAGTTCAATATTAGCATTGGACTACTTAGGTTGATACGAAAGCTGTTGTTCTTATTACATCCAAGGAATCTCTTACAAACGAGACTAAAAACTGATGAAAAAGAACAATGAATTCTACAAATAACCCAATACCACAAACTCTTGTGATATTTCTAATAGCATTTGAATCATTGTTTATAATAATTGGAGTTACAGGAAACATTTTGGTGATATGGCACAATGTTCGTTGGAATAAAGATAAAAACACGACCAGTTATTTTGTTATTAATTTGGCTTTGTCGGATCTTGTCGTTTGTGGGATAGCTTTCCCGATAGTTATCGCAAAAAATACACTCGTTTTGATGGAAAAAACAGGCCCATCTTGCGAATTATTCTTTTCCATTTGGTGCGCAAGTATATCGCTTTCTCTGGTGAATCTCATGATGCTCACAATTGATCGTTACATTTGTATTGCATTACCCTTAAAGTATCCTCAAATTGTCACCCAAAGAAAGGTGTCTATGGCTTTGGTTTCAGTATGGATCACTGGCTTTCTTCATTTTCTTATGACATTTTTCACATCGAGACCTAGCAATGGGCCATTCATATGTGATGTCGACCAAATAGCTGCTTCAGTTGGTACTTTTTTCTTTTTCTTTGTTCCACTTGGTGTTACGATCGTTTTTAATGTGAAAACTGTACAAATTGCTCGAAGTCAAGGTCAAAAAATAGCAGCACAAGCTTTATTATCACAAACAAATAATTCAACGTATACAGATGATTTGACCTCAAGAAAAAACTTTTCACGACAAATGAAACTCTTCAAAACAATCCGTGTCGTTTTTGGTTGTTTTTTATTCTGTGTAACACCGTTTCCTGTGATAGGTTTTATCGAGCTTGTCATTTGCAATCCTGGCTGTATCCCTCTAAAAGTTCGCGTAGGAACTTCGCTTCTGGCTGCAACAAACTCCATTACAAATGCTTTCATTTATGGAATACGAGATAAGAAATACAGAAGATCTTTTAAACAAATGTTTGCGCAATGTTGCAATTTATCTGGGTAATCAATAGAAAAAAGAATAAAAAGAAACGGAAAAGAACATTTTAGCATAACACGATAAAAATCTAATGATAACTGTCTCTCTTGGGCCAAGATAAAATGCGAGGCTTAACGCTTCTCTTGAGGAAATAGGAAGTTATGATTTTAAATATCTGCCAGGCAGATTTTCTAAACTGTTCTCAACTTTAAAGGTCTGTAACAGAGACCCCAAAGTTTTTTCTTAAAGGAGCCTTGCATGATTTTACTTCTCTAAAAACATGTGTCTAACTAAAATAGGGGTTTAGAGAAAGATCTCAACTCCATCACTCTCGGAGATTCTGAACTTCATAAATGCTGAACATGACTATCATTAAACTCTACTACCCTAACTATTATTAAAGTTCTTGCACCTGGTGGAAAACATAGTTCAAAAAACAAATGAATTCACTGATGCACATTCACTTTAGGAGATCCTTGTAGAAATCAAAGCTCAGTGCAGTACAAAATATAACTTTAAATGAGTCGTATAAAATAGTTATAGATTTGTAGAAAAATATGCATTTCCATCTTGACTTTTATTCATGCACCTATGATATGATTAGTGAGTAACATTAACGTCATTATAAATAAAATTTGATAATTTGACAACAATCTTTACTGTTGTCATCTTAAAATTTTTCTATAGTTACACTATAAGTAATACTATGATATATTTCTTGATGTAATAAAAATATAGAAGCAGTCTCGTATGATAATATAACCGCTTTATGATTAAAAAATGCTTACCTTTTCAACCAATCCATTTGCTCTTTTTATTTCTTCCGTGTCACGTGACTCCTTCGGCAGACAGTTATCGCACTGAAGTTGAAGTTTTGTCACGTACTCGCCATATTGACGGAATGCCGATGAAATAGTCTCGCGATATACGATGTCTGAAGGCTCATATTGAACAAAATGACGCAAAACCAAGACTTTGGGACAAGTTAATAATGGTTTTACATCAACGGGCTTTCTCATGTTGCCAATGACTAGTCCACAACCTGAAACAAGAAGAAAAATGAGCGGGAAAAATAGGATAATAACTGGTGCCATCCCCTAAATTGAACCATTTTAACCCTGCAACACACCCACAGGTATGAACGTTGATATCTCTGTAATACACCTGCAAACCCTTAACATTGCCAACCTGAAACTAAACTATCGATTTATCAAAAAACGATCTCAAAATACCAAAAAGTCAAATGAAACATCAATAAAACAATGAAATAAAGACCACCTGCATTGGTACCAAATTTTGGACCAAAATTCAAATGAAACATCAATATAACAATGAAATAAAGACCACCTGCATTGGTACCAAATTTTGGTCCATCTTTCTTTTTTTCTATCGGTGGAAACTGCGTGAAGTCTCTTTCCCGTAAAGCAAGCGGAACAAGATTACTTTCATCCTTGTATTTTAGCCATTTTCTTCCTTCTCCTCCTGAGAAAGGTTTTAGTACAGTAACCCCGGTGACGTTTGGTAAACCTTCAACAGGAGTTCTTAAAACAGCCGTAGCAACGTTATCTTCAGCAGCTTTCAAGTATTCGTCAACGTCTTGATGACGTAACAATTCAAACCCAGTACCATCACGACGCATCACAAAGAATCGTGGGACGGGTAAAATGTCTGCTATAGAAATAACAACAAAATCGAATATGTGTTATAACTCTGTCATATGATTCGAAGAAAATGTTATTTGAAAAACTTAATGAATGATTGGTATTTAAAAGAAAAACTCAAGTTGTAGAGTTACGTTAATGGTGTCTCACCTTTTTCTGTTGTATCTATAGTATTGACTTTATCAACTTTTATATCACCATTACTAAACACAGAGAATGTATTTCCACAGTTGTCCTTATGATCACAGCAATGTTGTGACGTAGTGCGTAGATAATAAGCACCCCCCTGACGATTCCTGACAGAATTGACGTCATCACAACCATGATCATGATGAACTTCATTTAAGTCGCGAGGAAAGTAGGAAACGTTACCTAAAACATAAAGTAACAACACTTTACTTTGATTTTCCTCTCTTGCTTTAGATAAGATTATTTTAAGAATTGAAAATAATTTAAAGATTGTTAACCCTCCTTATAAATCAACTCATGTCCTTATGTGTACCCCTATAACTATCACTTCTTAACAACATACCTTTACTATCACACAAGATCCTAGAACCATCATATATATCAACAACACTTTACTTCAATGTCCTTATGTGTACCCCTATAACTATCACTTCTTAACAACATACCTTTACTATCACACAAGATCCTAGAACCATCATATATATCAACATCACTTTACTTTAATGTCCTTATGTGTACCCTATAACTATCACTTCTTAACAACATACCTTTACTATCACACAAGATCCTAGAACCATCATATATATCAACAACAATTTACGTTAATGTCCTTATGTGTACCCCTATAACTATCACTTCTTTACAACATACCTTTACTATCACACAAGATCCTAGAACCATCATATATATCAACAACACTTTACGTTAATGTCCTTATGTGTACCCCTATAACTATCACTTCTTAACAACATACCTTTACTATCACACAAGATCCTAGAACCATCATATATATCAACAACACTTTACGTTAATGTCTTATGTGTACCCTATAACTATCACTTCTTAACAACATACCTTTACTATCACACAAGATCCTAGAACCATCATATATATCAACAACACTTTACGTTAATGTCCTTATGTACCCTATAACTATCACTTCTTAACAACATACCTTTACTATCACACAAGATCCTAGAACCATCATATATATCAACATCACTTTACTTTAATGTCCTTATGTGTACCCCTATAACTATCACTTCTTAACAACATACCTTTACTATCACACAAGATCCTAGAACCATCATATATATCAACAACACTTTAAGTTAATGTCCTTATGTGTACCCCTATAACTATCACTTCTTAACAACATACCTTTACTATCACACAAGATCCTAGAACCATCATATATATCAATAACACTTTCACCATTCGTCATCGTGTGTATGGAGCTACCGTTACCAAACAACGTTCGACATGAACCATATTCTGTCTCCATGGTAACGGTTGCAAAACCCTCACATTCCACCTTGACATATGTGGTAACACGTGACTCGTACTCAGCCTCTTCGCCAGTTTCTGCATTCGGAGGTTGCAACTCTACTCGTGTTATATCGTAAAACGTAGTAATACGAGTGCCGTCCGAATGCTCTACGACTTGAGTGCCGTCAGGTCGAATAACTTTGATGACTTTATCTTCCCTCGTTTTGTAAATCTAAGCAATTTTTATAAAAACACTCAAGAAGAAAATTTATGTCAAACTTGAATAGACAAGTAATAAATAAAATTAATGGTTGCTCTTAGAGATATCAAAACAGCAGTAGCCACAGATTTTGCTCTTGCACAACAAATATGAAGCAGTTTTTTGTCAAATTACAACATGTATCGTTCATATCATCATGCAACTTTAGTAAACTTAACAACAAGAAAAATATGTAGCGGTAAAAAGCAAGCCTTTCTTGTTCTTTATTTTATTTAACTTTTTAGTAATAGCAATAGAATTTCTGCTTCCATCATATGGAGCTTACATGTAAATGATAATTATGTTTTCGTAAGAAAAAAGCAATATGTCAGAACAATAAAAATCGTCTCAAACAAAAGAAAAACTAAAAGTAGCCATTTAAAATGTTATTTTCAAGGCTTCTACAACATAATCAGGGCCATCAGTGGATAGTTAATGGGGGTGGGGGTGTTTTATTCATGTATTCAGATGTGCCTACTGATTTCTTTTGAAAGCAATTCACCTAAGGAATTAAGTAATTCACATTCAAAAGAAACCAGTCGACCAAAATTAGGTATATAAATATACACCCCCCCCCCCGATTAACGTTCTCGAGACGGTCCTGAACATAATTACCTGTCGTGTATCTGGACATGTCGCTAGAGATTGTTTCACGTAATTTCCTAAACATTGGCTACCACCATCGTTTTGTAAAAACCGCTGACCATCACATGTTACCGTCATCCATTGCGCGCTCAGCTTCGTACTTTCATGTACTTGGTCGTCAACATCATCTGGCAATGACATCATTATTTCGCCTTTAAGTTTCTTCGGGAGAATACTGGGTTCGAGTGTTGCATCGTCATCGTTGGATTGCACTTGAAAAACAGAACATCTGCTTATAGAACCATCCGGATAAAGAATTTCAACTGAATCATCCAGCATAATCTGTAATATAAACATCGTTCACGCGTGACGTCATGCTTAAATCTTTGGGTAACAATCCAGATACATATATCATGCTGAATACTAGTCTCCGATGTTTCTAACAATTCTTTAGATTTTATTTATTGGCAGTATTTTTGCTGTCTAATGAAGAAATCCCGTGTAAACAATGAATTTAAAAAGAAATAGAAAGACATCACAAAATAATTTGATAATACAATTGACAGTTGACACATTTCTTTTGCATTTTATGAAAATCAATAAATAAAACCAAATCATTTCTCGTCAAGTCATTCCGTCGAACTAAGAATCCAGCAATCAAATACCTTAATAACAGAGCCATCTGTCATTATTGATCGCGATGCCTCGAGCATGGCAACTCGACGCACAGCCTCGGTTTCGTGTAAGCCACGTGACTTGAAAGGATATCGTTGACGTACGACAACACCACCAGAGTCCTGGGCGCTAGTGTAATTTTCGTCATTACGATAGGACACATGTAGGCCATCCGGGCAACTGACAAAGATTTCTTGAAACGGTTTCTTTAGTGATTCTTGTAAATCACGAAGTTTTCTAGAATAACGATATTTTTAATGAAGAATTTATTCAAAGAATAAAAAAACAAATAAAACGTAAAAATACTGACAAACCACGAGAACAAACAATGATACATGAAGTATATATGAGCTGCTTAACAATGTTTCTTCCCATCACAAAGAGAGTTAAAGTGTTTGGTCGTGTCGTCAACATAAATGTTCAAGTTCAAGTGAAGAAAATCAAAGTAAGTAGGAACCTCAGAAAGTGGAAGCATCAATAAAGGATAAAGTTATGAGCTACTTTAACAAGGAAAATTCCTATAAGTGGAAGCATTGATAAGTATGTTTATATAGCTGATATCTTTAAGTGGAAAAATTTGTACAAGTGGAAGCATTCATATGTTTAAACATGTGAGTTACATTACAAGGAAAATTCATGTTTAAACATGTGAACAACACAACAGTAGAAACACAGCACGTAATGTCAATAATTAACTAAAAAATACCTGGTTTGCTCTTCAGCCAATCGTTTCTCTTCAGCTAGTCTCATTTCTTCAAGACGCCTCGCTTCTTCATCGTTCTTTTTGCGAGATTTGGGTGAGGAAGCTTTAGGTGGAGGTGGACTGGCTTCACCTGGAACACCTACACTATCAATAACATCTTTGTGTGGAAAAGGCAACGACACTTATTAACATAAGATTATCAACATAAGATTGTCAGCATAAGATTATCAACATAATATTATCAACATTAGACTATCATCATAAGATTGTCATTAAAGTAAATAGTTTGAACCAGGGAGTATGGTTACATGTTTGTGGATGTAGATCGTCCATGTTAGTATAGTCCTTAGAAGGACTGTTTTTGTTGTTGTTGACTGACGTTTCGACAACCTTAGTGGTAGTCAACTTCAGGGTCATTATCATCAGATTATCAACATAAAATTATCTATCTAAGATTATCAACATAAGATTATCAACATAAGATAATTTACCTAAGATTATCTGCTTAAGATTATCAACATAAGATTATCTACTTAAGATTATCTACCTAAGATTATCTACCTAAGATTATCTACTTAAGATTATCTACCTAAGATTATCTACCTAAGATTATCTACCTAAGATTATCTACTTAAGATTATCTACCTAAGATTATCTACCTAACATCAACATAAGATAATTAAATCCATCACCTGACACAGAGCTCTCATTCAATACATCCTTTAATTTAGGTGATTGACCTGAACTTCCAAAACCGCTACACGTGATCACCATGCCGTCATTGAGTTGTGCAACAAACGACGCATGCTCACAGAAGACAGATGGAGTGACATCACATAATGACGTCATCTTTTCATTGGCTTCAAACTCACTCTTCTCAATGCCTTCCTCCTTTAATTCATTTAAAGAATTTAATCGTTCGGTGGATACCACGCCTGAACATTTTTCAGCATTTTCAAGCAATTTGTCTTCTTCGGGTAGTGTTTCCTCAATTGGTTCAAGAAAATGTAATTTCAGTATATTTCCATCTTTGTACACGGAAATGGAAACACAGCGCGATCCTCTCAAATATTCTATCTTCTCCACACGAATTTCACCACCATCGCGTGGAAACATCGAGGACTGGTCTCCAGTCACGTGCATTAAATTGTCACCGACATCGTAACCTAGCAACTCGTAGTCGTCTTCCTGTTCTTCGTTGTTAATCGTCGGTAGATCATCGTTTTCATCAACAAGTCTAGCTTTGCTACTTTTTGTATTTTTACTGGGAGTAGAAACCGACACTGGTCTAGCCTTGTTCTGACTAGCTAAAATACAAAGATGAGATGTAAGATTTTACCAGGAGTAGAAACCGATGATCTAGCCTTGTTCTGACTAGCTAATATACAAAGATGAGATGAAAGATTTTACTTGGAGTAGAAACCGAGACTGGTCTAGCCTTGTTCTGACTAGCTAAAATACAAAGATGAGATGTAAGATAATAATTAACTATACATAGACCAATTCTTAAGATAGCGTAAAGTGTATAAATTGTACGCTACCTGCTCTCCACTTTTCAGCACTTTTCTTTGCAAGTTTTGGAGACTTGCTTTTCCGTCCTTTTTTCTTTCCCTTGCTGTCTTCTTCTTCGGCCTTCATTGCTGCAACTTCTGCTCTGGTTTGGAGACCATAACGACTTTTTACCTAGAAGATTTAGACCCTTTTTTCTTAATGACACTGTCCAGCAAGGATGTGGATGATTTTGTTGGTGGGTGCTCTTGTTTGAACTAGATTCAGGGACGATATTTTGGGTGTTATCGTTCTACGTCAGAGTTTGTTTTCTTAAAGTCAGCCACACTTATAGACTTATGTCTTGACTAGGAGATGCTTTTCCGAAATGTGCTTCATAAAACAGAAATCACTGTTGCTTTCACGTAATTTCTTGTACATTTAAAGTTTGTGGAAAAAATTGCATCTTCTTGCATCTGCCATAACAATGCCTAGGAGGGATGTCACGTATAACCAAGCCTAGGAGGGGTTTCCCCTAATATAACCAAACATGGGAGTAGATCCCCCAATATAACCAAACCTTGGAGGGGTTTTCCTCAATCTCACCAAGCCTGTGATGGCTTTCTTCCAATATAACCAAGGCTGGGAGGGGTTTCCCCCAATATAACCAAGCCTAAGAGGGGTGCCCCCAAAATATTACCAAGTCTAGAAAGGTCCCACCATCCTGCTGTCGAATCAATGACAAAATTATTTCGGCCTCGTAATAAAGTGTTTGATATAAAAAAACTCTAATAAATTAAATGGTTTACTAACCTGGACGATCTACATCTACAAACATATAACAAACCTCTCATACCTTGACTTCAGTTAAGGAAGGTTCTGGAGTGGGAATAACCGATGTAGGTGTAGGGATGCTTTCTTCTGTTTCCACCATCTCTTGTTTGGAACTCCATTCTTGTATCAAACAACTAATATTTTCCAGGTAGTTTCTAAATCCGACATTTGACAACAATCGTACGTTCCAGGAGTCTCTATTATGAAGGTCAGTCGCCATCACAGCGTTGTGACATATCAACAATAACGTGTCATCGTGACGGTGGTAATAGGTATGAACATGTGGACGTAAGTGAAGAACTTCATGTAAAATCTATTTTAAAAATATTTTATATGCGACATCAGAAAATGAACAAAACAACGGGTGCGCTGATTGGTCAATGATGGTAACTATTTGTAATTAATTAACATTTACATACTGGGAGCAAGGGGCCGATTACATGGAGCAATTCTAGCCGGGCTGAATTTTAGTCAGGTTGACCGGGCTGAAATTTTGTGTGATTATATGGTTAATTTCAGCCCAGTGTTTAGACCAGGTGTTGTCGTCATCATTAGCAATAGGTACGCAATTACGCATGCGTGGGTAGCTCAAACTGGAATGAAATTGCTCCATGTAATCGGCATAGAGTAGCTAGCCTGTTTATCTTCTATTGCCAGTCAAATATTTAAATGTAAGACGTGAATAAATGAATGCAGAAGATGATAAATGGATCAAAGGGACATTTAGGGACACAGTACTTGATCTTACAGCAATGAGAATCAACGTGATTCAAGACACGAGTTCAACAGAACATATCTATTATTGAATGTGTGTGACATAAAAGAGAAAAAATATAGAATGGGGAAGTTCTTGAGCTTGCAATACAACAAAAGCTGAAACAATTTCTTTAATTTTCACCTGAGGTAACGTTGCTTTATCGTATTCTTCCACAAAGCACCATTCATCCAGATTCCTATATGACACGAGATCAACGGCAGCAGAAACCGATGCTATGTCTACGTCATTGGTAATCAAACCTTGATCACGTGCAATAAAGTACTTGGTGAGATCAGAATACGGATCATCCCAAGGATTAAGATAGGATGAAGTTTTACTGCAGTCGGGATTTGGATAAACAATGTTTCCTTTGTCATTTAGAGTTTTTAAAGGTACAGCTGAAATGGCAATAAGAATGTTTTAAAATCAGATAGCATCGTAGTTAAACTATATATTGCCTTAAAAACCATTTGAAGATCAGAACTTTGCAAAGAAAATATTTGTGTTATCAAGATTTTAGATATTGTTTTATTAAAAGTTTCATGCGATTTAGCTTAGAAAAACATACATCATATTGATAAAGAGCAGGGGTCTCCAAACTTTACAGCCAGAGGGCCACATGAACTTTCATCCAGCATGTTGAGGGCCGAAGAATATAAAAAATTTCCCCGTTATCCTTCAGCTTTTTAAATTTTGCAATGTGCTTGAAACGGAAGTATGAAGTTGGGACAAAAATTGACGTAAGCCACTCTTGCTAGTTGGCTTGCGACATAACGTGAACTTTCTGCACAAAGTTTATTTTGTTTAATAATAATATTATTTTTTCTTAAGTGTCTCTGCGGGTCGGATTGAGAGGCCCAACGGGTCGCTTCTGGCCCGCGGGCCATAGTTTGGAGACCCCTGATACAGAGCAATGATTTTCCACAGTTGCTAACAACAAATATTTAAAGTAAATGGTTTGAGCCCGGGAGTATCGTTGCATGTTTGTAGATGTAGATCGTCCAGGTTGGTAAAGTCCTGAGATGGACTGTTTTTGTTGTTGTTGACTGACGTTTCGACAACCTTAGCGGTGGTCATCTTCAGAGTCAAATGAGGAGTAAACGTCAGGTTAGCCGTATTGTGTGCACAGGAAATGTGTGTGTGTCAATTGTGTATAGTCATTGTTCCGTTTCTTCGACATCTTTGATAAATTGTATGAGGCTGTTCGTTTATGTAACTGATGTTTTGACAACCTTAGCGGTAGTCATCTCCTTGACTCTAAAGATGACTACCGCTAAGGTTGTCGAAACGTCAGTCAACAACAACAAAAACAGTCCTTCTCAAGACTCCGCAACCTGGACGATCTACATTTACAAACATGTTACCTATCTATCAGCAACGTACCTTCAAAAGTGTATTTTTTCAAAAGATATGAAAGATTTTCCTCGCTAGGGAAAGCACAATGTTGTATAAATTGATGGAATCTCGCTTTTCTCTCCATCGTTTCAGTGACACTTCTCTCGGGAAATAAATTGAGAAAACGAAGGCGAAGTGTCTCGATGATGGAACGTTCAACATTTATGCTGTCCATAACTGAGATATCGTCAAGATAATGTAGACGATGAGATATAAGATCATGATGATTCAACACTTCAGGAACGTTTGTGTTTGAGCTTTGTTTTTTATCACAATTCATATCTAGAATCTCCTGCGAAAAAGCAAAAGAAAAATGATATATTATACGTTGTTGTACTGACAAAAAAAAAACAAAAGAAAATTAAGAAACAAAAATTTAAAGTAAATTCATGTTAGAGCGTAGATAGATACAACAGTCGTATATGATGTCGCCTAAAAAATAACAGTTTTCAATGTGTCTAAAGCAGGATAAAGAACGGTTGAAGGATGGTTTTCAGTTTTCAAAGTAATAGACTGTTAAAGGGGGCAGCCTACCTAAAATAGGCCAAAAATCCTAACAGCTATAAAACTTTTAGGTTTATTGTAATAAGCTATATGTCTACTAATTGTATGGTAAAACTTAAATATCTCCGTGCTAGATATAGCTTGAAATTTTTGCCACCATTTAAGTCACCAATTACTTAGAGGGGGGAAATGTAACATCTAGCAAATTTTGCACATTTTCCTGATTTCATTTTATGATAGAGCTCCTTTTGTAGTTTAATTTGATGTGTTAATACTGAGGTTATGAACAGTTAGCAAAACATTCGGGTTTAAAAAATTGCCATTCGAGTTTAAAAAATTGACCTATTGTTTTAGATTGTCTCAACCGAAACATTCAAAAAAATAAATACAGTTAATGAAATTTGCACTTGTTTATTTACCATGAGAAACGCAGGAAGCGGTTTCCAAAATCTTTCAAAGAAAAGACGGATCCAGCATTAGCATGGCTAAAGTACAGCAGCTCGTTGATTGGTTAGATTATAATCTTTGGAAGTACGTTTAAGTTAATTTCTATCATGTATTTTACATAACCTACGATCCACTAAAGGCCATGTTAAAATCCCTAAATAGCTAAACTAACTGCATTGTGACTTTGACAAAATTTGAACTCACACCTTCGGGACACTAGTCCGCCGCTCTACCTGTTGAGCTACCAAGCCCACAGGGATTGGAGACGAGTCAAATCTCTTTTAAACTTCGTATGGACGAGAGATTCTCGCCACTATAGCAGTTTGCTGGATGGCAGTTCACATGTTTTTCATGTGCATATTAAAAAAAGCGTGTTAGGATTAATATATTATATAACTGCATTGTTACGTACCTTTTTCTCATCCTTAGTCAAAGAAAGTTCAGCAATTCTTGCATTGATATAATCAGCCAAATCACAATGGTCGCCATCCTCCCTTGGTTTGGTTATTTCATCCAAAGGATTGGTTTCATCCACTGTAGCAACTACCTGCAAAACAACACAAAAAGTAATTCTCATCCTACAATTTAAAGCAACGCAATCCTCACATTATAACTTACGCATGTAATTCCCAACCTCAAACTATGATTTATGTAATCCTTATCCTAAGATTACAATCCGTGTAATCCTCAATCTCAGACAATTTTTTATGTATTCCTCATCCTAACATTATAACCCATTTAATCCTTATCCTAAGATTACAATCCGTGTAATCCTCAATCTCAGACAATTTTTTATGTATTTCTTATTCTAACATTCTAATCCATTTGATTCTTATCCTAACACTATAATTCGTGCAGTTCTTATCCTAAGATTAAAAACCATGTAATATTACCTCTCATCTTAAGATTATAATGTAGGTTATCCGCATTCAAAGATTACAATCCAAATACTCCCCTCTCCATAACATATTACCTGTTCTATGACACAATGCAATATGAGAGACGAACTGATGCTTTCATCAGGAACGCTACCAGTAAGATAATCATAATAACGTTTATCCAATCCAACAGTATCAGCATCATCTACAGGAGCAAAAATGAGGCGAGTGCTTGGATTACTGTGAGGACTAGACACTAGTGCAGAATCATTATTCAGATCCAGAGAATAACTAATTCTCTTCTCTTTTACTTGGATTACCGTGAAGTCTAGACACTAGCGCATAGTCACTAATTCAGACCCAGAGTGCAAGTAATTCTCTTCTCTTTTACTTGAATTACCGTGAGGACTAGACACTAGTGCAGAATCACTATTCAAATCCAGAGAACAACTAATTCTCTTTTCTTTTACTTGGATTACCGTGAGGACTAGACACTAGTGCAGAATCACTATTGAAGATCCAGAGAAAAACTAATTTTCTCCTTTCTCACTTGAATTACCGTGAGGTCTAGACACTAGTGCAGAATCACTATTGAAGATCCAGAGAACAACTAATTTTCTCCTTTCTCACTTGAATTACCGTGAGGACTAGACACTAGTGCAGAATCACTATTGAAGATCCAGAGAACAACTAATTTTCTCCTTTCTCACTTGAATCACCGTGAGGACTAGACACTAGTGCAGAATCACTATTGAAGATCCAGAGAACAACTAATTTTCTCCTTTCTCACTTGAATTACCGTGAGGTCTAACTGTTTAACTCATACCAACGATGTCACTCCAGCAATCAAAAGTTCATTCATACCTTCCGTAGTGATGGACTTTGACTGGCTTGCTGTGTCTTAATGCTTGGTGTATAAACTGGAACGTGGATAAGTTTCATAGCAGAGAAAATTTTGGTAGGATTTCATATCATCTAACATGGAGTAACACTTATTGGCGATGTCTTCAAAACTATTGTGCCGATTTCAGTCTAAAATAAAACAATCAACAATTGTTGTTTTCATAAGTTAGAAAGTTAACTCAGAAACAAGCATAAGGGGCGGTGTGAGGGTTGGTGACATCCCCAACTTTGTGAAATATGTATAAAGTCGATCAAGAGAAAAAGTCGGTGTACTGCTAAAATTGTTGGTTTTTCTATCAAAGAAAGGAAAAAAGGTAACAGGGCATAGAGCCCCCTCAATATATTCGAGAGGATACCCCCCAGCATTTAGCTTATTGTATGAGATGAGTTTGATGTACGATAAGGAAGAATTTGGTCAAGCGATTTGAAGGTTTGAAAAAGACAATCGTGGATTCTATTGAGCTGGTTGTAGTTCCACCTTTCAGATATTCCATGAGATTATAAATACCTTTCTTTCCTCGTCAATTTCATCAATATCCTGCGAAGGTAGCAGTTTGTTGGAAACAGTCACTTCATATTTTGCAATATCTTTTAGTTTGTGTCCTGTTGGTGCATTATGTACTAACTGATCCGATTCTTCCCAGAATCTTTTAAGTTCCTCTCCATCCTTAGCAGATTCATTCACTACTTCATTATCCTCGGCATTTACATCATCACTTGCTGGTACATTTTGATATTCATCAAGCTGTAGTTTTATCAAAGCGTTGACATTTACACCAATGTTTGAAAGATCTTGAAGCGTAGACGCATTTGGAAAATCGTGAATGATGACGTAATGTTTCGGACTGTCGTCATCTTCCGGTTCGTCGTCTGTTTCAAAAGAATGTAGGAACAATGATTGAAAATTGCATACAATAAAAACGGAATTTATTTATGTGACAAAGAAAGGTGGAGGTTGTAGCAATGAATTGTTAGAGGGGTTTAGCAAAGGACAGAAGGAAGAGTAACACTAAGGAGTGTGGTAGAGGTGTAGTAGAGGAGGAAGGAAATCGAACAGAAATCATCCGCGTAAATCATCAAAAGGAAAAATCTCGCAAAATCAGTCAATCATCAAATCGGAAAAAAATCATCAAAATCATCAAATCAAAAATCATCAAAATCGATCATCCACTCGGAAAAATATCAATCGGCAAAATCATCAAATCGGATCTCATCGAAATCAAATCATCGAATCCGGAAAAAATCATCAAATCATCAATCATCAAAAATCGGAAAAATCACATCATCGGAAATCATCAGATCGGAAAATCTCAGCATCGAGATCATCGAAATCGGAAAAAATCATCATCGGAGAATCATCAAAATCGAAAATCATCGTCGAAGAATCATCCGTCGAAAATCATCAAAAATCGGATCATCGATCCGGATCATCGCGTCGAAAGAATCATCAAAATCGGCAAATCATCGCGGCGTGGAAAAATCTCATCGCTCCGAAATCAATCAAAATCGAAATCATCGCATCGGCGATCATCAAATCGAAAAGGAAATCATCGAAATCGGAAAATCATCCGTCGAAATCAAAATCGAAAAATCATCGCGAAATCCGAAAAATCTCATCGCATCCGGAAAAATCATCAAATCGGAAAATCATCGCGAATCAGGAAAATCATCCGATCAGAAAATCATCGCGCGAAATCAGAGCGATCATCATCCGAAATCGGAAATCATCAAAATCAATCCGAAATCATCAAAATCGAGAAATCATCGCGTCGAAAAATCATCGCATCGGAAAATCATCAGAAATCAGAAATCATCAGCAATCATCGCGAAATCATCCATCGAATCATCCGAAATCCGGAAAATCATCGCGTCGAAAATCTCATCGAAATCGAAAATCATCGCGTCGGAAAAATCATCCCATCGAAAAATCATCATCGGAAAAAGTCATCAAAATCGGAAAAATCATCATCGAAAAATCATCAGAAATCGAAAAATCAAAATCATCAGGAAATCATCGAAATCAGGAAAAATCATCGCGTCGAAATCATCATCGAAATCCGGGGAAAAATCATCAAAATCAAAATCAAAATCAGGCTCATCATCGAAATCGGAAAAATCATCGAAATCAGAAGTCAAAATCATCGGAGAAATCATCCGAAATCGGAAAATCATCAAAATCAGGAAAAATCATCATCATCAGAAAATCTCATCAAATCGAAATCATCATCAATCAATCATCGCGTCAAAATCATCATCGGAAAAATCATCGCGTCGGAAAAAATCTCATCAGCTCATGAAATCATCGTCAAAATCATCGCATCAAAAATCATCATCAGCAATCGAGAAAAATCATCGAAAGGTGGGAGAATTAATTACGAAGGTGGGAATATAGGCAAAATCATGAGGATTCATGAGCAGGTGGGATCGGTAAAGTCGGAAAAATGATCAAGAAATAAATAAGTATCGTAATAGGAAAAGTGTTGAGTAAAAGGAGGGTGATAGGGTTGTAGTAATGGAGGTGGGAGGAGTGTAGTTAAGGAAGGAAGGTTGTACTTAAGGGGGTGAGAGGGGTGTAGTTTAGAAGGTGAGAGGGGTGTAGTTTAAGGGTGAGAGGGGTGTAGTTAAGGGGGGTGAGAGAGCTGTAGTAAAGGGGGTGAGATGGGTGTGGTTAAGGAGGGTGGTAATTTAAATAATCAATCAAATGTAACATGTTTCCATCACTAACCTATAGATTTGAAAGTATCATCAACTTCTCCACGTTTTTTTAATTTTGTATCTTTTTTTGGTGCAGGAGGTTGTTCACCTTCATTCTTTTTACCCTTTTTCTTTGGTGATTTTGCTCTTTTTTCTGGACTTTTAGATGTTTTCTTGCCACTTTCTGCTTTCAACTTCTGCAAAAAGTTAACATTTCATAAATAAATACGGTGAAAAATCCTCATCCCTTCAGATATTTTTCTCAACAATTTCTTATATACTCTATTCATAAACAAATCATAATTTGATCATTTAAAAATTTTCAAAGCAGACACTTAACATGTTCCTTATTATGCTAAATTACCAATAGCAAATCTATATTCCACTTGAAAAGAAATTGAGCTATAACAAATGTCAAGATCTATGATGTCATCACATTCTGTGATGTCATCACTTTCTGTGATGTCATCACATCCTGTGACATCATTATTATGGTATATTTGAGCAAAATTAGCAAATAGGCCAATCGCCATATGGCAAAGTCAAAAAACTCAAAACACAACTTCATGGGATCAAGTTCAACATCTCATACAATAATTCTACCACAAAGGTCTCCCTGATCTGATGACATCATGTTCACAAAATGTTTCAGACAATGTATCATATTTGAAATATTCTCTACTATTCAATCATACCTTCTCGATCTCGTTTCTTCTTTCGATGTCCTTGGTCTTTATTTGAAGCAGCTTAAATTTCAGAAGCTTTGCAAGTAAATTACTTGGAATTTCTTCCCCTTGATCAATAAATGGTTTCACTTGTTCACATATTTCTGCATGTTCAGGCAGCTTTACTGCATTCTTTCCTTTACCACCACCTGAAGTGATTGCTTTAGCCAATTCCTTCACCTGACAAAATATAAACAAAATTTTCAAAGTAAACTATTAATACTTTGTAATAACTGCTTCCTTTCTCAAGTACCTCTTTAAAGAGTTGTTCTTTCGAAATAACAGTGAATAGCTTTCTTAGACCGGTGCTGATGACTTCAGATGAAATATCCACCAAAATTTTATCCTCTGCTTTGTTTGACACGAGAAAAAACACGCAAGTTTTCCAACTTTCCTGTAAAAATTCCACCATATATATACTTTTTAAGCAACAAAAAATAATAAATTTGAAGACTAAATCCACTAGTTTTCATGTGAATTATGCAAATAGACTATTTCATATTTAACTCTACGAAGTTTGAACAAGATTTCAAAAAGTACAACTTGGTGAAACAGACATCGTGTTTTCGTTTTCACCTCATTCAATTCCGCTTGCACTAAGCCACTCTCCCATTTATTGATATCATGAGCCGAACCGCTCTTTCCTCGCTTCGCTTTCGACATTCCTAGTAAAAGTTAAACTGTTAAGCAGGAATCATCAAAAATGGTCAAAAATGCTTCCCAGACTATCCCGCCATAATGGTTTTGAATATTTGTATTCTTGTTTCCATGGAGAAAGCAGCTGAGTCTGCAATGCCAACGTACGTTTAAACGACACGGGAATTAAATTTGAAATCAACCAATAAAATGCATCTCAGCAACAAACCGTTGAAACTGTTATCATTTCATTGGTTGAAAATAATTTTCCACCAATCACAAGGCTAGTTCAAACAGCTCGACAAAGTTTAAAGTCTTGGTACTATAAATTTAATACATTTTCATTTATTGTGAGTCATTTTCTCTTTATCTCATCGACTTTTTGATAAATTTGTACACTTTTTTTGTATCGAGATGCCTTTGATTGGAAAGGAAAATACTCCAAACCGAATACGGAGCTTCAAAAATCTCGGAAAAGAAGAAGTAATAAGACAGATATATATTTAATTCACAGTCGAAAAAAAGGACTAATTTTCGAATGACCAAGTATCATCAGGTAGAAACATTTCTGATTATATTTTTACAGGACTGTAGAAGAAGAAGAAACGAAGTTACTATAGAGCTAAGAAAGGTAGTGGTCTTGAATATTTAAAAAAATCCGCAAAATATATCAAGTGAAGTGAAGTAATTTCTTACTTGTTTATTAATGAGTTTTCCCATCTCGTTTAGTCGAAACGCGATGACCAAATATTAAAGCGACGAAATGTTGTAGCTTCAGAGCCGTTACAAGAAAACGCCAATAGTAACAGCTCTCATGTTTTAGCACCGAAACAAGTATATGATATACTTTCGTCAACCGATAGCACTCAAGAACAAACATTTACAGCTGTACAAGCAACGAGGCATGTGTCGAAACCTTAACTTAAACTATCTACTTGCCGGTAATCTAAATCATTTTTTACTGATGGAAAATTGTTTTTACAGAAAGATGCTATCAAGAGAACGTAATCCTCCAATTAATGATGTTATTCAGTATGTATTTACTGACATAACGATAGTAATTTAAATTCAATTCACTTACTTCTGGTTTGTACCAATTTTAGAGCTGGACTTGTACCCAAACTTATTGAATGCTTAAAACGGCCAAAGTAAGCATTCGAATGCTACAAGTTCCATGTTATGAAAAATTCAGTTAATGCAAATCTTGCTCTATTTATAATGCACTAGCTCAGATATACAATTCGAGGCTGCGTGGGCTTTGACGAACATTGCTTCTGGCACTTCAGAACAGACTACGATGGTGGTTAATATGGGTATTTATGAATTATACAACCAATTTACATTCTGTGTTAAAGACTACCATAGACACTAACTTTGAGAGTGTGTTTCCAGGTGCCTTGCCACACTTTGTTCAACTTCTCTTGTCGCCAAACGAAAAAGTCAGAGAGCAGGCAGTTTGGGCTTTAGGAAACATTGCAGGTATTATCTATCTCTGTCTTTTAATTTTTGGTTAAAATGAACTAATTTCATGATGAAAGCATCATAAAGTAGATCCGTAAGATATAGCTACATATGTATTTTTAAGGTGATGGACCAAATTTGAGGGATAAAGTTTTATCTCCGGAATATGGAGTGGTGGCTAAGTTGCTAGAGCTGATGCAAAGGAATGGAGTTCAGGTACGAAAGAAGAAGCTGTAATGTAGCATAAGTCTGAAATAGTTATACATGTAACATTAACTTCATCTTGATGCAGGCATCATATTTGAGAAACGTCACATGGACTGTCTCGAATCTTTGTCGCAATAAAAACCCACCACCACCATTCGAAGCTGTGAAAGAGGTATCAATGCACCTGATCTCAATATACTCACACAATTACTGGAGTGGTATCCCCACTGAGTCATGACGTTATACTATGTATTTAGCTATTACCAGCATTGGCTTACCTTATAAACTACAATGATGTTGAAGTGATGGCTGATGCATGTTGGGCATTGTCTTATCTCACTGATGGTCCGAATGAAAAAATACAGGTGTGATGACTTTCGATGAATCATTTAACAAAATAGACTCCAATCTATCCCTTTAAGCTAACATGTTTTTGTTCAACCACCTAGGCTGTCATCAATGCGAATGTTTTACCAAGATTGGTATCTTTACTTGGGGCTGGCCAATTAAATATTGTGGTTTGTTCTTATGAAATAAGGAATTTGATAATTTTAAGGAATATTTCATCAAATATTCTCTGTCTCTTGCTTAGACACCTGCTTTACGAGCCGTTGGTAATGTTGTTACGGGAAATGATTCTCAAACACAGGTTGGAAACCATGGAAATTATAAAAGTTGAATTATGATTACAACTCTAACAGATTAATACTTACTTTTTTTCTCGAAAATATTAGCATGTATTGGATCTTAAAGCATTGGATTACTTTGAAGCACTGTTGACACACAAGAAAAACACATTAGTTAAGGTACTCTGTCTAAAATAATGGCTTTATATGAGTCATTTCACCTGATGCAACCATATGTTGTAACTATGAGAGTATCATTTTAAGTTTAATGCAAAATTTCAACTGATTTCCAGGAAGCAGCTTGGGCACTTTCGAACATCACTGCGGGTAATGAAAGGCAAATTCAGGTGAGTTAGATCATGTCTCTTACCTTTTTGTAGCATTATATAAATCCTTCTGCTATTCATGCCTTCCTTGTACCAAGAATTTGATCATGTACTCTTCTTTGCAATCGAAGGCTGTTATTGACGCTGGTCTTCTACCTGTTGTTCTGCACGTAATGGATGTAGGTGACTATAAAAGCCAGAAAGAAGCAGTATGGGTCATCACAAATTACACATCGGGCAGCAATCTAGATCAGGTATTTGTATACATGCGCGCAATACTATAGAATTTCAAATCTAAATGTTTAATATTATTATAATTGCATTAGATTGAATACCTTGTAAATGCATGTGGTGCTATACCGTTTCTCTGCAAGTTATTGACTGTGAAAGAACCAAAGGTATGACAACAGACAATTACAAGATTATTTAAGCAACCAGGCGCGTATATTTGGTACATACTTCGCCTTTATAATTATAATCATCCGATGTTCTACTTTCTCAACAGGTCGTATTGGTCTTGCTCGATGCTTTCAACCACATTCTCAACGTAAGTGTATTGCAATATCTGATTTGTGTATATCGATGGTCGTGGTTTTCTATATAAACAAAATTATTTTTAAGTTTCACAGTCAACGCATCGTAAGATGTCTGCCAGTTAATTTCCCAACTTTCCCATTTTCGACAAACCAGTTCAGTTCGCTTCGCATGTCAACTGTTTTTCGGCTATGCAGTATCTCGAGCATTATTTACGTAAAAAATAAATCGCGATATTTTTAGAAAAGTGACTATATGAGCTCGTTAGAAGATGTATCGTTGAAAATCGAAGAATGTGGAGGTACCTATGTATTATTTGATACCAAAATGATTTATACTTATCTGTAACATATTTCTTAATGTTTGCAACATATAACATATGTGTAAATCAATCCTCATTACCTTAATACAGGTCTTGATAAACTTGAAGAATTACAACAACACGAAAACGAGCAAGTTTTCCAAATGGCCCAAAACCTAATAGACAAATATTTTCAATTAGAGGTATAAAAACGACATTGGATTCACCATTCCTAACTTATATCTATAGGAGGTCTTAGTAAACAATGTATCATTCCGTTTCAGGAAGAAGATTTAGTCGTTGTTCCCCAGAATGGTGACGACGGTTCAACAATGTTTCAATTTGGTCAGCCAACGATTCCTCAAACTGGTTTTCATTTCTAGAAAAAATTACACCTGAAAAAGAACTACTATATAATTTATTTATTATAAATAATGACGACGAACGTTATTGTATATAGCGAGCAAATGTTTGCAAAAACGAAGTGTGTTGTTTCTGTATAAACCAAAACTAGAATAATGATGATGTCTTTACTTTACTGACAGTTAAAATGGCAATTTATATAAATATTACTTTTGTTAATTACTTATAAGATTTATTCAAATATTGCAAACGTTAAATCATCTACATTGTGTACTTTATGTAGATATTCTGTGAATATCCCCCCCCCCCATCCAAGTGTAATCTTTCATATAACAACAGCTCAACCAAAATCCATTCAATTCATATATTGCATTAACTGTTAACACCCAAACTACAACACTATTCTTCATACAAACGTTGTATAAAATTCATATTTACACTAGAAAAATTCAATAAAGTTTCTTTGTGTGTCTTAAACACTCATAATCCTTTTTATGTGTCCAGTACACTGATACATCTCGCACATTTACCGTTGTGTATTACTCACTAAATTGAGTTACGATATTTTGAGTTTTCTGACAATTATGTACACATGTTCCAACATATGCATGTAACTAGAACGACCTCGTTCATGCAGCCTTTCATATTTACTCTTGTGCTTTATGGAATATACCATTCCTTTACTTCTTCATCGATTTCCGAATCAAAGCCATTCTCTGTATAACAACAACAAGAACACTTACGTTAATAAACAAGAAAAAAGACCCTGTTGCTTAATAATTCTAATGAGATTCCTTCAAGAATTTTCTAAGTCGGTTTGCTGTGTAGGTATTCAGAAAATGAAAGTTGAATAAAACTACCTTTACAATGAAGCCACAGAGTATCATCGATTAATGATACGAGATTGTCTTTAAAGCCTGTTTTCCACTAGCCAAATATCGTAAAGTATCGTAGCAAAACGTAACATGGCGCATGCGTGCTTGTGAATTTGATGGTCAATAGGCACAATCAGGCATGCGCCATGTTACGTTTTGCTATGAAACGTTACGATACGTGGCTAGTGGAAAGCAGGCTTAATAATCACATGCGCAGAAATGTTGTTATTTTTACGAATTATGTTTTAGCGAATCATATAAAGTGTCTCTAAAAACGCGTTGTACTCAGCAATCAACATAAAAATTTAAGTGTTGAAATTAATTTGCTGTTATAGTAAAAATACGCAGTCCTTTCAGTAGTGAAGACAACCGTGATATTTTATTCGTACTACGTATGGAAATTTTGTATACGAAGCATTATACTTAAATATCAGTGTTTTAATCTTTACAAACGTGGGACGAACAAACTTTGCGAGACTGGCTACGAACTGTGAGCATGAGCAACTTTTTCCTACCTGTTTATGTGCTTCCGTTGAACCTAGTTTTTTCGACTGCTTGAAATCTTCCGTTCCGTAACCTGGTATCCACATGTTCCAGTTCCGTTCTGTGATGGAAATTGAAGGAAAAATAATCATGAAAACAAAATTGAGTGTTCAACGATAGTGTAAAGTTTCAAAAAGCACGTCTGAAGAAAAGGAAGCAAATGATATAGCTAGATCATATAAAATATACATAATAAAATGCTTCATAGGCAGAGGATCGAAATCCCAAAGCATATGTACGTATACAGGGAAAAACCAAAATTTTCACATTAGTGTAGAAGATGTTGGAATGTTGAGCGCGAAAAAGTGACAATGTGGTCGTATTTAAGGTTTTCATACTAATCACTCTACAAATAACAATATTGCAAAGATATGGAGCATCTTGCCCTAAAAATATAAGACGATTCTTACAAAAAAACTAAAACATACCCAAGTGCATCTGAATATCTCGCGCCTCTAATGTATTCGATTGACGATGTTTGGCTATCTGACACGAGGCACTGACAACACTTTCGATAAAATCATCAGCAATTTGAAGCAAGACCTACGTAAATAGACATGACATCAAAATAAAAGTTTGCAATTTCTTAGAGTGATTTTTTGTTAAAGGCACATGTAGTTAAGCTCATTTTAAAGAACCGTCAACAGTGATGTTCAATGGGTCATATACAGCTCTGAATAACTAGATTAATGGCAAAACTTACGGAAGAAATCTCAAGTTTTCTTGACTTAAATGACTCAATGACGAAAATCCAGTCTTAGCTTAAACGTAATCATCGATTGTAACGTACGTACTACAGTATTGCTAACTTACATCTTCGACATCTTCGTCAAGAGTCGCTCTTGGATCTATTTCTTGTAAAAGATCCTGAAGTCTTTTTCTTGATAATACACTCTGAGGTTCAGCAGCGTTCAATGAGTCTACAGGATGAAGACGAAAATAATGGCGAGAGATGAAAGAATACAGTTAGAAGATGCTCTTGTGCATAAACGATACAGTAAAGCCTGAAATTGATCGTTTTGATCTTCATGTAGCGATTCAAGTCACTTAATCAGTTCAACAGTTTTTGCAGTTAGAAGATGCTCTTGTGCATAAGCGATACAGTAAAGCCTGAAATTGATCGTTTTGATCTTGATGTTGCGATTCAAGTCACTTAATCAGTTCAACAGTTTTTGCAGTTAGAAGATGCTCTTGTGCATAAGCGATACAGTAAAGCCTGAAATTGATCGTTTTGATCTTGATGTTGCGATTCAAGTCACTTAATCAGTTCAACAGTTTTTGCAGTTAGAAGATGCTCTTGTGCATAAGCGATACAGTAAAGCCTGAAATTGATCGTTTTGATCTTGATGTTGCGATTCAAGTCACTTAATCAGTTCAACAGTTTTTGCAGTTAGAAGATGCTCTTGTGCATAAGCGATACAGTAAAGCCTGAAATTGATCGTTTTGATCTTGATGTTGCGATTCAAGTCACTTAATCAGTTCAACAGTTTTTTCATGTTTCATTTAAACTCACGCAGATCTTAAATGCACACATAATAAGACGAGTAAAAATGTTTCTTTAAAACCAATCCTACAGATTACAACATGCATCGATAAATATTGCATCGCCCACCCCCCACCCCCCGCACTTAACGAAACTGTAAAACTTACCATGATTTTGTGTCACCTTTGGAGTGGCGGTTATTGGAGTCTTAAGACTATCGTTACTTCCACTTTGCTGTACAACACTTCCAACCATTTTCCCAGAGGCTTGTACGAACGTAGGTTTTCCCTGACCTGTGTGTGCAGCCGTAACCTGGATGACCAAAGGTGTACCTTGTTGTTGTATAGCAATTCCCTGTGGAGCGATGGTTCTCTGGCCTAGAGTATGGCCTTGTGGTAGATTAACTGCAGTTAGTACATGACCGCCTTGTGTTTGATGACCAGAGATAGAGGCAACCATTTGTACTGGGGTGTGACCAGCTATGATTGAGAAGATTATGGCAATGTTAATATTTGATGACTAGAGACAGAGGCAACCATTTGTACTGGGGTATGACCAGCTATGATTGAGAAGATTATGATTATGTTAATGTTTAATGACCAGAGATAGAGGCAACCATTTGTACTGGGGTGTGACCAGCTATGATTGAGAAGATTATGGTTGTGTTAATGTTTAATGGTCAGAGATAGAGGCAACCATTTGTACTGGGGTGTGACCAGCTATGATTGAGAAGATTAAGGTTATGTAAGTGTTTGATGACCAGAGATAGAGGCCACCCTTTGTCAGTAAAAATGCCACCATTTGTACTGGGCCACCATTTGTACTGGGGTGTGACCAGCTATGATTGAGAAGATTAAGGTTATGTAAGTGTTTGATGACCAGAAATAGAGGCAACCATTTGTACCAGGGTATGGCCAGCTATGATTGAGAAGATTATGGTTATGTTAGTGATTGATGACCAGAGATAGAGGCAACCATTTGTATTGGGGTATGGCCAGCTATGATTGAGAAGATTATGGTTATGTAATAAATAACAGAATGACATATGACTTCCTTTATTATGCAAATTTAGAGAGGTTGGTTTGATTTCAGTGATTATGCCTTACAAACAATACACATTTAGGTTGACTGTCTGGCTTCAAAACAAGACTAGAAATTTTGATATAAAATGTACGCATCTTCATCAATGATTACACTGGAAAATCAGTGAACTCATTCAATAACTAGTCATTACCAGTAGCTTAAATATTGAAAACATTAATTTCATGATGAATAAAATTAATGAATGAATGTAATTATGCTGACCCTGTCAATTGTAGAAGCTGATTTCCAGGGGAGTGATTCCACTGATAAAATTTTCTCTTTAAATAATCAAATTCATATCACAGCTTACCTGGTATTGCTTGAACAGGTAAAACTTGACGTTGAATGGTCGGGTTTGGATTTGACATGGTTGTTCCAACATTGTTCGGTTTGATTTGTATCTGTGTGGTACCGGTAGTTGGTTGGCCCTGTGGATGTTGAGCTAACAATGACAACTGGGATAATGATGAAGATCCTTTGTTACCAATTATTGTTACCTTTGATGGTGAAGATTGCGAAGATTGATTGCTTCCTGTCATTTGATTGGCTATTGATGTTGCAATAGCCTGTTGCATGAGAACTGCACCTTGTGGAATGACGGATGTCACACCTCGGAGATTTGATGTTGTCATGACAACAGGTTGGTTTGCCGAGGAAGTCTGTACTTGTACTTGCGTGGTTGATGGTGATGACATGATGACGAGTGGTGGACTGGAACCCGGGGGTCTTTTAATGTACTGAAATCAAAAGTGAAAATGTTCAAATCAACTGTTACAAAATTAAAATCAAATTACTTGACTATAATATTCAAGACTATTATCCTAGTTTTACAAAAGCATCAAAACTTGTAGAATCTATTTTACTTAAGTAAAATTTTCTAACAATTTTCATTTTGGTTGCAGCATGTGTGAGATTAATGCAGTGTGCGAATTAAGGGTGTGCAATGTGCAATTTACACATCGTTTTAGCTAAAATGAAAACAATTGCACATCACTTTTTCAAATGATGTGTAAAAATCAGCAGTTTTAACAAAAAACACTGTTGTAAATCATTAATATGTTCACATTTAAAAATATTAATTTAGCAATTAGCGCTATATAATACATAACGTAATATCGATTTGATTATGCCTCTAAAGAAACACTTTTGTCAAAAAAATTGCACATCGTTTTTTCTCAACTAAATCCCACACTGGATTAATGTATACACATTACCTGAGCAGATTCTGGTGTTGCAGTAGCTTTTTGAAAAAGTAAATTATATTGGTTCATCTTTTGCTGTTGTTCTGCAGTGTAAGGCCCGGAACCAAATGACTAAAAATGTAGAAAAAAAAATATTTCAATGCATCAAGGTCTTAGTATAATGGTGAGCAGTTTCATATTGTCATTGACAGTATTGTGAAATCATGAAGAAATACTATATGCAATTAATATACGTAATTAGTAATAGACATAACAAAAAAACACGCCAGTTAGAGATTGTTTATGGACATGTTAACTGTGTATAAGTAAAAAATTTTATAGCAAAATTATTAGTTTGTTATTCATTTTCTTGAAAAGTTTATTTTACTTTTGTTGCCAAATGAGTTAAGAAATATTTTCTGTTATTAAAAAACCATTCATATCCACTTCTTAAGCATTGAAGTAACATATATTTCTACCTGAATCTCTCCTTGCAAATCATGAAGAGCTTTGGCGATTCCTGCCGACGGATGTGGATTGCTTGAGGACATTTTCTTAGAAGAGAATGGCAAAGAGTAGTTTTATTGTCTTTCTTGTCAATAAATTAGTGATTTCATCCATAAAAATACATCAATTATGACAACTCTTTGATGATAAGTATCTCGTATTCAGCAGGCTGTGCGGAAACATAAGAAATTTTGCAAGATGAAGAAATGCAGCGGACATTGAACCGAAGCTGTTTTGTTTTCAAATCAAATGGAGCTTCTCGCAAACTCGTTTCCAATCTCCTTAGCGGATTACACACTGATCTCCTTATGTAATTGTAATTCGTATATTCATAAATCTGATATCTGAAGTAAACTTGGGAATTTTATCAAATCTTTTTTGAAAAATACGTCGATTTTACCGATAAGATATGTCCAGACAAAATTCAGCTCGTGCTGATGGCAAGAAAGTTGTAAGTCGTGGATTTTCGCGTATTTCATCAATGCTTGCCCTTTAGTTTACGAAGTTGTAATTTATTTTGTAGAGTTCCGAGTTATTTACTCTAACTTATGGAGCATTGGTTTCGCAGCTTGTTAAAGATTTTGAAAATGATGATGCAGTCAACAAGAAACTATATGACATGTGAGCTGTATATTTACTAAATCTTGAAGTAGTAAATTTCACATTTCCCACTATTTTATAAAGATAGTGGTGAAAGAAATGTTAAGTCAGAATATAAATTCAACTTGATTAGGGGCTACAACATTGGTGTCCGGTTAATAGAAGATCTTATTGCAAAAGGAAATGTACAAAGATGTCATGACTTGCGTGAAACTGCTGATGTAATTGCCAAAGTAAGTAATTTTAATGTAAGTGGATTTAAGCAGAATGCAACATAGAGATTAAACACATATTACCCTCTGTTATCCTTTAGCTTGGTTTCAAAATGTTCCTTGGTGTCACTCCTATTGTTTCAAAATGGAGTCCAGGCGGTGATGAGTTTTCTCTGATGCTCGATAATAATCCGCTTACAGAGTTTGTGGAATTACCATCTGGGCACGATAAATTGTGTTATTCAAACATTCTTTGCGGAGTATTGAAAGGTGCTTTAGAAATGGTACAGTGAATGATCATTTTTTAGTATTTTTTTTGTGCTTAGATTTTAAGCAATATCAACTATGACATTGCTTCACCTTTTTGACTAAGAGAGGAAGTAGCATCTGTGACTGGGAAGGGGGTACATCTATGACTAAAGGGGTACATCTATGACTGAAGGGGTACATCTATGACTGAAGGGGGTACATCTATGACTAAAGGGGAGGGGTTACATCTATGACTGAAGGAGGGGGTAGCATCAATGACTGAGGGGTACATCTATGACTGAAGGAGGTAACATCCATGATTGAAGGGGTAACATTGATGACTGCAATAGGGGTTAAGATCTCTTACTGGGGGGAGGGGGGTAAAATCCATGACTATGGGAAGGGTAATGTCGATGACTGAGGGAGGGTAACATCTTTGACCTTTTTCGAATGAAATTTGTACATATTTATTGACAATACAACATTGTCGATTTGAGAAAAAGTTAGAGGTGCCACTTCTCCCTGGATATCATTGTTTTGATATTTTATTTGCCTCAGGTTCAAATGGATGTGGAAGTGCATTTTGTTCAGGATGTTTTACATGGAGATGACACATCAGAAATACGTGTTAAATTCATTAAAAAACTTGAGGATGCCATTCCGGCTGGCGAAGAATAGCTTGGAACAAATGAACAGCATTTAAAGTTTGCTTCAGAGGCTACTTTGAATTCTCATAAGTGTGAAAAAGCACAACTATGAACAAAACTACATATTTTAGATCAACCTTAAGGGATGTCACATGCATAATAGCTTTGAGGCGATCACTACTTGACTACAATCTTGATAATCAACTTGAAATGACAACTGACCATTCAACCAACTTTTAATAATTATTCTTACATACAAATCAGGACAATCAAATATGTTATAAACATATGTATACATAAACCATGATCAGCCGACAATTTAAAGGAATTAAGTATAAAGCAAAATCCAAAGAAGCAAGACATCTTGAGATTGCAAAATATGCATCAAAACAAGACGAAAAGTGAACTGTAAATTTTAAACTTGAAATAAAGTCGAAAATTTACAGTTCACTTCTCGTCTTGTTTTGATGCATATTTTGCAATCTCAAGATGTCTTGCTTCTTCGGAATTTGCTTTATACTATATGTATACATTGTAACCTAATAAACTAACCTAAGTATATTTTCGACTGCTCACTTTATAAATATAAAGCTCATCATGAAAATGATCTCTATCGTATCTGTAAAATTTTATTTGAAAATATAGGAACAAATATACAACATAATAAACACTGACTTTCCCATTGTCATTAAATAAGTTAATGTCTAACAATTATGCATAAAATCTTCTATTTATGTAGTTAGTATACATAAGTACATATCTGCTGGCTATAACACCAGATTAAATTTGCCATTTGTTTTACCGATAGATAGAATCTACATTAAATAACTAAATCATCTATCTTATAAGCTCTTTAGCTGTTTTGTTTCATCTGCCAACTTTTGAATAACATTTAGAATATCAGTACGTTTATTTTCCATTGTCTCCTGTGTAAACCATGATTGTAAATTGATTGGAGGCCTGTAGTCTTTCACTGGATTCTGTTTTGAAATAAATCAACGATGAATCAACAGAATTTAGGTATTCATCTATAACACACCTATGCCTATAGAAGTAATGACTTGAGTGCATCACAACAATGTGATGTTATTATCTGTGGTATTAAGATAAGAAATAAGAACTGTGTTTTGAATTATAATCATAGTCCACTGTTGATTTTGTAATGATTATCTTGTTACTATACCTAAGTACATTAAAACAACGTGATGTTATTATCTATGATATTAAGATATGAAAGAAACTAGAAATATGAAAAAGAACTTGAAATATCTTTATAGTCCACAATGGGTCTTCTGGCAGCTTTAAAATATCACCTCACTAGCATGAAATATTTCTTGCTATGTATTTTAATCCCAAGCAAAAATGACATACTAACCGCAAAGAAGCTTTCAAAATATTGTAAAACATAAAGACCACAGTCTGAGAAATTGAACTGTAGGGGTACCTGAAGAACAAGATGAATCATAGGGATAACATGAGATAAATAAACTGTTGGGGTACTGGAAGAACAAGATAACTCATGCGGATAACAATGAAGACAGCATAAAATCAACACATGGGAGATAACACGCAAATATTGTTTAATAAATGTCTCGTACCAAAAGGGTAGCCAGCCTGCAAATTTTAGTATTGCTGTACAAATTTGCGATCATTTTCCTTATTTAATACCCGACGTCACATTATGATGTCATACTCACGTGAGTGGATGGTTAGGTGCAGACGCGGTTAAGCCAGACTGAGTGCCTTGGAGTTGAGGTTCATTCTTCAACCTGCTGCTCCTTTATGAACCTCACCACCACACGTCTGCACCCGATCACACCAACAAAGTGGTGGAAAATCAACAAAAAAAAATTACTGCTGTCAACTCTGCAAAAGTACTTCGCTAATGACATGCACCTCACTGCATCCCATAATCTGATACTGCGTGCTAACCGCTGGGGGTCTCGTGCCCAGACCTGCGCGCTGTTCCTTGGCTATTAACCTTGGTTATTGCATAACCTCATTCATTTCTTTAGAAATCTACTGCCAGTACACATGAAAAAACCTGCATAGCAAAAGTAAATTAGCAGGCTGGCAACGCTACATATAAGCACCACATAATTTGTAAAGCTTTCGTACGACTATAAAACAATGGAAGCTGAATTACTTAGTATAGACTATGGTTGAACATGATCTTGTTAGTACCAAATGCAGAAAATTTATCTAAATTTCACCAACCTTTGGGTATGATCCCTTCATTGATTGAGTGTTAAAAATGTCACCAGCACTGCTGTCTTTCCTTTCTCTCCATTCGCAATTCAAATAACTAAATGACAAACAATATAAACGTAAAGTCAGCAAGAGTAAATATTTACATGTTTGTAAATGTAGATCATCCAGGTTGGTACATTCCTGAGAAGGACTGTTTTTGTTGTTGTTGACTGACTAAATATTGTTAGTATTGCTGAAACAACACATCAACTTACTTTCTTAAATTACTTATAGCTTTTGCACGTCGATGCGATCCAAGTGAATCAAAGATTAAAATACAAGGCCTACAAGAAGGAAGAAAATACAGCATTGTTTGTGTGATATGATGTATGAAGGTAAGATAAGGCAAGAAAAATTTCATCTAAAACACGTACGTATTCTAAAAACTAATACTCACGCTCACTGAGTACGACATAAAAATCGCGCTTTCTCTAATAAATAGCAAACTCATTTATCTGTCAATGGCAAGATTTTCACTAAAATATTTCAACGTAAGTAATCAATAGAGTAAAAATACCATCTTCGAATGATTATGAAGTGATTTTGAAGCGCAACTTTTATGGGTGAGAGTGAGCTTTCAGAATAAAATGTTCTACAACAAAATTCAAATGAAAAAAATTCGTTTTATGAAAACTAAGCTCAAGTACATTGTAATACATCACTCTACATTGTTGTACATTGCAGTACATTGTAGTACATCACTCTACATTGTTGTACATTGTAGCACATTGTAATACATCACTCTACATTGTTGTGCATTGTAGCACATTGTAATACATCACTCTACATTGTTGGACATTGTAGCACATTGTAATACATCACTCTACATTGTTGTACATTGTAGCACATTGTAATACATCGCTCTACATTGTTGGACATTGCAGTACATTGTATTACATCACTCTACGTTGTTGTATATCGCAGTACATCGTAATACATCACTCTACATTGTTGTACATTGTAGTATATTAAATGAGATATGATCTTCGCACTTAGCTGGACAATTTAAGCAATCGTCTCAGGACCTGAAAAAATCAGGTGACTCAACGGGATTCGAACCCATGACCTCTGCGGTGCCGGTGCAGTGCTCTGACCACTGAGCTATGAAGTCACACAGCGGTGAGCAGGTCAATATTTTTGGGCTGATGTTTTCTCGTGAAATGAATGTCATGTGAATGTTTTATGCAGTGCGGTGTTTTGAAATTAAATGAGATATGATCTTCGCACTTAGCTGGACAATTTAAGCAATCGTCTCAGGACCTGAAAAAATCAGGTGACTCAACGGGATTCGAACCCATTTCACGAGAAAACATCAGCCCAACAATATTGACCTGCTCACCGCTGTGTGACTTCATAGCTCCGTGGTCAGAGCACTGCACCGGCACCGCAGAGGTCATGGGTTCGAATCCCGTTGAGTCACCTGATTTCAGGTCCTGAGTGCTTAAATTGTCCAGCTAAGTGCGAAGATCATATCTCATTTAATTTCAAAACACCGCACTGCATAAAACATTCACATTGTAGTATATTGCTGTAAAAAGCAGTACATTTTTTATTAAAATAATTCTTTCTTACCACTCTTTCCTAGGCAATACTTCTTTGGATTTTCGTTTTCTTCCACATTTTGACTTAGTCTTGGGGGGAGTGCATTTTAATTCAAAATCGTCTAAATCACTGTCTTTCGTCTCCTCACTTCCTTGACATCTTTCCTCCGTTGGTTCTTCCTGCTAACCAAATGAAACAAATTCGTCAAAATTAGTTTAAATGCGCTCTGTTTAAAGTAAAGCGTCTATCTAAACGTACCACAACTGTTTCTTCAAGATTGTCTTCAATTTTTTGCACAACCATTCTTGGGAAGCATATTATAGTGAGAAACCAGTGTGAACTGAAAATTTTATAAATTACTTCTTTCATTGGACATGTTACAGCAAGGCAACTCGTAAAAGCCATCTCATTTAGTGGATGGTGCTAACCTTTCGTTCATTGGAATTGCAATGAAATCTTTTGAAAAGATATCAACATTCTTTGTCCAAGATTTCACTAAACGATGCATGTTTGATGGAGAGCTGAAAAAACAAACAAAAAACGTTGTTAGAAAACCGATAAAGACAACCGATTTTCAGGTAAATATTTTCACACGTCCTACCCCACTTCAGCTGAGTTGTCAGTAAATTTCTGCGTGAGTCTTAAATAAAAAAATGTGCTGAATAAATGAACCCTTTCGCGGTCTTGCTGGGAAAGTTTTTCGTTGATAAGATAGCTGTAAACAAGAAAGAATCTTAAATGAATTTCGTATAAAAAATTGAGCACGTATGATTCATTTTGAGGCGAGCAGCTTCAACTGAAAAGAATGCGTTCCTTCAAAATACTAGAAAACTTACTTCAGATAGAAGTCGATAATGACATCATTTAAAAAGACATCAGGTTCGAGGCATAGTTTATCATTGCTCGTTATGGTAAATGAACCGCTCGTTTTACTTGAGCTTTGATAAACCAAAATCCTATAAAAACATGAACATTTTCATAATCATATCCCTCACACATGTACATTATAAAGCAGATTACCACCGTTGGTACACTTAGATCCTATAAAAACATGAACATGTTCATAATCACATCCCTCACACATGACATTATAAAGCAGATTACCACCGTTGGTACACTTAGATCCTATAAAAACATGAACATGTTCATAATCCCTCACACATGTACATTATAAAGCAGATTACCACCGTTGGTACACTTAGATCCTATAAAAACATGAACATGTTCATAATCCCTCCCTCACACATGTACATTATAAAGCAGATTACCACCGTTGGTACACTTAGATCCTATAAAAACATGAACATGTTCATAATCACATCCCTAACACATGTACATTATAAAGCAGATTACCACCGTTGATACACCTAGATCCTAAGTATATAAACAATATGAACAGACTTTTTGTCCGATAAAGACCTGTTTTTCATTCAAATCAGAAGTCAATCCTATATTTGCATGCATTGTTACAAAAAGCCTGTAAAAAAACAAGTTTTCAAAAAAGGACTTCAGGAATTAAGTCAATAAACATTTCAATGTCATTCCAAGGTCCCACCTATCTTAAATTACGAGAAAAATTATACTGTAAACAATCTTCGTTAATTCATGCATAGTAGAGTTTAGAAGAAATAACTTTGTTTCATTTTTATCTTGTAATAAACAACTCACGTCTTTGGTGTTTGCGAAGGTAAAGTTTGACTGGGTTCAGCTTCTGCCTTCTTAGAGCGAGTACTGTAAGTTTTAAACACTGGTGATGTTCGTACAACTTTCGTTTTTTGTGAGCTCGATGTAGACACACAAGTATTTAACTGCTCAGATTTGGACGCAGGTTTAGTTGTCTGTTCATCAAACGATTCACGAATCCGTTTCATTTCAGCCTCTGCTGCTTCTTGGCTACGGATAAGAGACATAAAATAACAGCTTAAGGTTGCTGACATGACAGGGTCTTGGTAAAATTTTTGACGAGAGCAATATGAGAAACACGCATAAAAACTGACCTAATTGTTTCAACCTTTTTTAACAAATTAAGATTAACCTAGAAGAAAAATAACAAAACAGATTTCAATATACAATGACAACAGTCTAGCGCTAACCTCAACTCTCCTATCTAAGCAAAGTAAAGAAACCGTTTTCAAGACAGTACCTTGAAAACAGTCTATCCCCAACGTTACCTTTAACCATCATCATGTACTAAAGCACATATATAACGAATACAAAAAACTAACCAATTGAACAAGAGCTTCCAATGGAGGGCCATCGATTGCATTTTTCAGATGGAGCACGATATACTTCTGTCTGTAGCCTTTATCAAAAGATAATGAATGTGTTAAATGATGAATTTGTAAAATGAATACAAAAGTAAAATGTTTTCTTTCGGGATGTTTAGCCGGAGGATTCAGTCTGCTATCAAATGATTTTCAAAAGCTATACTATCTAAAAGTCCACTTAAAATTATTTGAAGGTCATACCTACAACTATCTGAAGGTCATACCTACAACTATCTGAAGATCATACCTACAACTATCTGAAGATCATACCTACAACTAATTGAAGATCATGCTTTTTAACGATCTAAAGGACATGTTTACAACGATCTGAAGGTCATACTTACAACGATCTGAAGGCCAAATATACTTGCCATATTCTTTATATCTGCTGTTAAACTTTGCAGCGCAACCAGGTGTTATGGTAAGTAAAATAACATAAGGTTCGTTTTCTACATGAATCTAAATGAAAAAAGGAAAATGTAAAATAGAATAAATGTTCAACTTGAGTGTGCTTCAAAAGACAAAACCATAAAACGTTATTCAAAAACACACCTTAAATGTATCAATTTCCCTTTTGTCCAATAGAAAGAAGAGCGGCTTGCTTTCTAAAATATTTTTCATAATTCAGGGGTTGTTTATGTGATCTCTGGTAACCGATGATCTCGGCTAGCCATTGGGGGATCAAGGGTACCTCAAAATAAATTATAGCTGCTCAATTTTTAAGTTTAAAGTATTTTCAGAAAAACGCTATTGGTTTTAAATTTCTAAAGAATATAATTTTAGCAATGAACTTGTCTCTTCGATGCTTAGAAATGTAAATATATTCCAAATTGCGTTGCAGTAATAATTTCGAGGTATCCTAGATCCCCAACGGCGGCTAGCCGGGATCTTGAGGCGTAAAGACATTTTGAGCCATTGAAACAAGTCCACAAAAGGCCCCATACATTGTTATTTTTACATTGGAGCAAATTACGCATTGTTCTTTAACTAAATGCAACTTTGAGTAAAGAAACCGAACTCTTGTTAATATGACGTCATTTCCATTACGTATCAAGCAACAAACAAGACGTTAAAAAATAATTTGGTTATTTACCATAAATGACTTTTATAATCATCCTGTCTTCTAGGAACTACAACGACATAATGAACATACATAGTTATAAAAATCAGTTTTTTGTAAAAGGAACGATAAATGAGTCTGCCTGGATGAAAAAGTGAACGACATGTCGACTTTTAAATTTCTTCAGTATGATAAATTAAACCACGACTTACATCATACAACACTAAGGTAAATGGTTTGAACCCGGGAGTATCGTTACATGTTTGTAAATGTAGATCGTCTAGGTTGGTATAGTCCTGAGAAGGACTGTTTTTGTTGTTGTTGACTGACGTTTCGACAACCTTAGCGGTAGTCATTTTTTTTGACTCTGAAGATGACTACCGCTAAGGTTGTCGAAACGTCATCAACAACAAAACAGTCCTTCAAGTAACCTGACGATCTACATTTACAAACATGTTACAAACATGTAATCGCACAACAGTACTGACATCAATATCACATATATAAAATCAAATAATAAAATTCCTAATCATGGTATTACACAAACCTCAACGGGTTCTTGTGGTTCGCAGTCTAACTCTCCAAGAAAAACACGATCTAACATCAGATGAATGGATGAAGCCTCCGTGTCTTCATATAACGGACAATCATCTTTGATTTTTTTCCTTTTCTGTGCAATCTTTTTGACGGGCTTTGCCATTTTCTCGCCTTTTTCCGATGATTTCAATGGCTTAAATACGTCATCACTTTCTGCCTCAATGTCATCTTCATCTAAAACATATTCAGCATCTGTTCAATATAAAGTGAGTGTCAAAACACCACACAGAACTTTATGGACAATCGTGTATCTGAGAATGAGTTTTGTGCTTATTTTTTTCACATATCAAAAAAGAACTCTTTAGCTTTCTAATGATATCTTTTTCGTTTTTATAACAATAAGAAATGATCGAGTGCTTCTCAAGTGAAGTATATTAATGTAAGTCGAAATTACATTTTTCCACTTTTGAGAATTGAATACAATAAGTGAAGATTTTGCAATACAACACAGGGACAGACACACTGTTTTACTGCATTTGTCTGAAAAGACAGTGAAACATCAATAGCTGCAATTTCGAGTTTTGATTTTTATTTCAAGAGAACTGATAAGTATCATTTATAAATATGAAATAAAAAACAAATCATTGGAAAGCTAAGAAGCTCCTCTGTTTTTTTTTTCTATACAAAAATATTAACGTAGGACACATCAGCTGACAAAGACCCGATTGCCTTTAAGGGGCTGTTCATATGAGCCCGGGTATCCGGTATTCAGCGAAGCGTTAGATGATTTTGGCAAATGGATACGATTCAATACTTATCATCAGATTAATCTTCTCAAGCAATTTCACAATATTGATTTAATAATTTCTCAAAACATTTAAAATTGAAACAACCAATTCGCCATAATTTGAGAATTACAACCGGAATGACGTGTGGCGCTTCGCAAACAGTAATTTTTAACCTTGAAGTTTTGGCTCCATTCAATCCCTTTAAATCATCGGGCTGGCTCACTATCCGGGCCAGCTCGCCTGCATATAATCAGGCCATAAAAGTTTTACCTTAGTCTTTATGCACAAAGTATATATTGAGAATTCGTAACACTTGAAAAATTACGAAATTACGAAAAATGCTCGTCGCGACTTGACATGACGAATGTTCAGTCTTAGTCATTGAGCCCTTATTAACCGAACTCGAGGTCTTTAGGGAGAAATATCGGACCGAAGAATTTTATTTTTTTATACAGACCGAGCAAGCACGGTGCTTACCTTCTTTCTCGTCCTTGCTGTTTTATACGGGTTGGCTTTCACTTTTTTAGTTTTCGTCAGTAAAAAATAAATCGTTTCAATTTGGATCGTCTGGAAAGTTGAACTGTTTTCCAAGTGTTTTTCTTTTGAATCATATTCGTAAATAGTTTTTTGTTTCGTTTTTTTTTTGTTTTTGCTGTTTGCTTTATGAAGTTTGTTTACATCTAAGTGTAAAATTACGCGTTTTGGACCGTGGTCCATTACGGGAAAATTATGGACCTACAAAAATGTTTCTGAACCAATCAAAACACGCCAATTTGCCGGAAGTGACGCTTGCCACATATTATAGTCACATAATCAATGTAACTATGAGACCAAGTTAATCAGTGATCAACTTAAATGTAATCAACAATGTTAAAGTCATATCATCTTTAAGTTATAGATAAATATGGATTACAAGACCTTCATGAGATTGCTCTAAGATTGAAGGATCCAATTCATCTTCGTCACTGGATATCTGAACAAAGTCTACAGAAAATAACAATAAATGTATAGAAATGGTCCCTAAAGGAAACTACACGTTGACTGACGCGTCGATGTTACGTATGTGTGACGTCATAGAGGTGCCTCTCGACGTCACAAAATGTAATTGCTCATAAAACTAGCGCACTTGCTTAAATGGAAAAACATCAGACAAAATGGAATACACACTTCTGGATACAGTAAACTAAAGTTACACAGTATAACAATGTAAAACATCAAAAAATTGTCATTTGGGATCCACGAAGTAGTGGAAGATTCAGTGGAAGCTTCAGTGGAAGCTTCAGTGGAAGCTTCAGTGGAAGCTTCAGTGGAAGCTTCAGTGGTAGCAGTGGTAGCTTCAGTGGAAGCTTCAGTGGAAGCTTCAGTGGAAGCTTCAGTGGAAGCTTCAGTGGAAGCTTCAGTGGAAGCTTCGGTGGAAGCTTCAGTGGAAGCTTCGGTGGAAGCTTCAGTGGTAGCTTCAGTGGAAGCTTCGGTGGAAGCTTCGGTGGAAGCTTCAGTGGAAGCTTCAGTGGAAGCTTCAGTGGAAGCTTCAGTGGAAGCTTCGGTGGAAGCTTCGGTGGAAGCTTCGGTGGAAGCTTCAGTGGAAGCTTCAGTGGAAGCTTGGTGGAAGCTTCGGTGGAAGCTTCAGTGGTAGCTTCGGTGGAAGCTGGTCGGTGGAAGCTTCAGTGGAAGCTTCGGTGGAAGCTTCAGTGGAAGCTTGGAAGCTTCGGTGAAGCTTCAGTGGTAGCTTCGGTGGAAGCTTCGGTGGAAGCTTCGGTGGAAGCTTCGGTGGAAGCTTCAGTGGAAGCTTCAGTGGAAGCTTCAGTGGAAGCTTCAGTGGAAGCTTCGGTGGAAGCTTCGGTGGAAGCTTCGGTGGAAGCTTCGGTGGAAGCTTCGGTGGAAGCTTCGGTAGTTCAGTGGAAGCTTCGGTGGAAGCTTCAGTGGAAGCTTCAGTGGAAGCTTCAGTGGAAGCTTCAGTGGAAGCTTCAGTGGAAGCTTCAGTGGAAGCTTCAGTGGAAGCTTCAGTGGAAGCTTCAGTGGTAGCTTCAGTGGAAGCTGGTGGAAGCTTCAGTGGAAGCTTCAGTGGAAGCTTCAGTGGAAGATGGACGACTATAGCCATTCACAATAATTTCTTCGCACAATTTCGAATTTTTGAAATTCGTACGCGGACCGCTACTTGAGATTTATAAATAGTTTTATTTTAAAACACATATATCCTCACCTGGTTCTTGAGGTGAAGGAACTTTCTCAGGTTTTTCAACTGGCTTGTCCACCTCACCTACGTATATCAATCATATTATCCTAAATTGTTCATTGTAGTACATAGTCATACATCAAACGTTTGTGATCGCTGAGTTTGCATTAGCCTGAGGTCAATCAATCCATTTAAGCAACATTGGTTTTAAATTTATCTGTTTCGCATTGTTGTAATTTTGTAAAAGAAACAAAAGATGTTTACTGTGTTTGCACAGGCTTTTGCGAGAACTCCGAAGCAAGTATAATCCTCGACCTTCGTTCTTGAGCTTGCATTGATCTGCTATCGAGCTCTTCCGAAGGTCTCCTCGGTTTGCATAAGCCTGTGTAAACACAGTAAACATCTTTTGTTTCTTAAATATGTTGGCGACAGAGAAAGTGAAAAAGGATAGACGTCGTCATAACAGTAAAATAAAACATTAAAAAATATAATGTTAATTCAAGAGTTAACTATTACAGATCTCAAACAATAAAATCAAGTCTCTCGGATGAGATGCAATAGTAGATTTTTGGGAACAGCAATAAAAAAATATTTGCATGAAATAATCATTAATAATCGCTCACAAACCATTGTTATCCCCACTTCTTTTGCTCTTTTTCTCCGCACTTTTTTTCACTTTTTTTGATAACTGAAAGTAAGATATAACATGGGATAAGATGGGATTCGCATGGACACGCAAGGACCTTGTTCAACACAACTCAAGTTTTTTTGATAACTGAAAGTAACATATAACATGGAATAAGATGGGATTCGCATGGACACGCAAGGACCTTGTTGAACACAACACAAGTTTTTTTGATAACTGAAAGTAAGATATAACATTGGATAAGATGGGATTCGCATGAACGAGAAAGGACCTTGTTCAACACAACACAAGTCTACATAACCATCAAAAACAAAAACGTCTGCACACATACTTGTTGCTTGCGTTTAACTGAGATTTTTGGACCTGAAAATATAATAGAATCAACACAAATTCGTTACCAGTCCGCGAACTTTACTCTACTTTACTTAAACTTTATAAAAACCATTATTCATTTGTTTAAAATGCTGTTGTTTTTGCAGTAAGAGAATATTTTACGTAACAGACCAAATATATACGGGTTGACTACATTCATGAGTATAAAACAACCTACGTAACACGTGACCATCGAACTAAAATACATGGAACGCTACCTGTAATACAACACCCTTAAAATTTTTTGAAGCCGTGATTTTACCCCATACACGCGAGACTTTACCCCAGACGCGCGTGTGTAATCAATCAACTTTCACTCCGCGAGAGAGTCTCGAAACACTACACACGCGTGTCTGGGGTAAATCTCGCGTGTCTGATGTAAGATTTAGCTTCCATTATTTGCTTCAGGTAGCGTTCCATGTATTTCAGTTCAATGCACATGAGTCAATATACATATCGGTAGTGCGCATGCGCTCGATGTATAGATATACGCACCGTATTTAATAATGCTATGGTTAAGATGAGCTCGTCGACTGTTGGGATAGAATCCCTTGCTTGAAATGGTCAAAGTTTTCTGTGGTGAAAAGCACCCACAGCCATTTCTGCTTTTTGCCTTTCCACAGAACGCACAAAACAAATCGTCCTGTATCAAGTTTGAATGATACGCGTTATCTTTACATTGTTCATCGTTCATATCATCAATAATATTTTCCAAATCTTCTTCATCTTTAATCAAACAAGATTCTTCGGAGGATTCCATATTTTCTTCACTGGTATTGGGTACACTATGCAGCTCAAAGGCATCCTCACTCGATTTGGGGCAAATTTCGCATTCACCGCCAGTTATTACATCGTTACATAAATCGCATCGTTTCTCTTCCACAGGAGAGGAAGACATTGTAGTTGTTGAATCCTCATCTAAAGTTGTATTTTACAACGAGACTTTGAGCTTCTAAGTGAAGGACGCTTGACAACAAAACGTCCATCCGAACCTCTTTTGAGAGGTAGAATAGGTTTGAGAAGACGAGTGCTTCCATTTTGAGTTGCGGTGATTTTCGAATTTCCTGAAATATATAAAATTAGTACTCACTATAAAAACAAGTTTGGTGTTAACACGTAGAAAGATTTCCTAGTGTTCTGTAGGTATGATGCTAAATCGCGTTACTGTACAGACCTCCTGAGTGTAGAAAGATTTCCTAGTGTTCTGTAGGTATGATGCTAAATCGCGTTACTGTACAGACCTCTTGAGTGTAGAAAGATTTCCTAGTGTTCTGTAGGTATGATGCTAAATCGCGTTACTGTACAGACCTCCTGAGTGTAGAAATATTTCCTAGTGTTCTGTAGGTATGATGCTAAATCACGTTACTGCACAGACCTCTTGAGTACAGATATAACTTTCTACAATAGTTCACGCCATTTTTACCTTCGTTCTGGAGAATCTGGTCAAACTTATTTGAATTTTACACTCCAATTTGATTACTTTTTAAGAAACGAATATTTACGTCCCCCTAATCAACTACTACGAAATGTTTTAGCTTCGGCTCCGACTGTTCTCATTCTCTGTAGTTCATTTATTTGTTGTTCATATCACTTTAAGTATATCTATCATACAGCTACTTACCTTCAGAGATAGTAGAAGTAGCTTTTGGTGATGGAGAATTTACCAAAATACAGTTCTTTCTCTCTTGTCTACCTCTCACTGGCGATCCATGTAGAAAACGTTTATATTTTCCAGAACATTCAACTGAGCTAGAAGTACTTTGTTTCGGTGATTTTTGTTGTGAGGTTGACATGATTTCTAGTTGTGTTGGTATTTTTCTGTGTTTAGCTGGCACACGCAGCCATTTCCCACCAACTTCACAAGTCTTCAATTTAGGGATCGTGAAATTTGATGCTCTTATGCTAAAATCCTAAAAAGCATTTTAGAGATGAAAGATATTAACTTTTTGTGGAAAGCAAGCAGTTCAAATGGTCAAAATATCTTCCACATTTTGTCAATAAACTGATTTACATACAACAGTTCAACAATAATTCTACATACCTCTGACATTTTTCTTTCGTTACTTTGAACTTGTTCATCTACAACAAAAACACAACATTTCATTAACATTATCTCCCTTGACAACATTAATATGCGTATTGATAATATTTCTGTGTACTTACTTGTATCATCGTGGATTTCAATTTGCTTGTTTTTCCCTAAAGCTGTTTCTCAAATGTCAGGAAAAATATAAACATACAGTCGTATAGATCAATAGTATGCAATATCCATCAAATACAAAGAATATCCATTAGTCACATAAAATAAGCATCAAATATACAGAATATCCATCAGTCACATACAATATCCATCAAATACACAGAATATCCATTAGTCACATACAATATCCATCAAATACACAGAATATCCATTAGTCACATACAATATCCATCAAATACACAGAATATCCATTAGTCACATACAATATCCATCAAATACACAGAATATCCATTAGTCACATACAATATCCATCAAATACACAGAATATCCATTAGTCACATACAATATCCATCAAATACACAGAACATCCATCAGTCACATACAATATCCATCAAATACACAGAATATCCATTAGTCACATACAATATCCATCAAATACACAGAATATCCATCAGTCACATACAATATCCATCAAATACACAGAATATCCATTAGTCACATACAATATCCATCAAATACACAGAATATCCATTAGTCACATACAATATCCATCAAATACACAGAATATCCATTAGTCACATACAATATCCATCAAATACACAGAATATCCATTAGTCACATACAATATCCATCAAATACACATAATACCAATAAGTCACACATAACAAAAAATTTTATCCATCAATTACGTACAATATCCATCAAATACACAGAATATCCATCAATCACATGCAATTTTCATCAATCATATGCAATACCAAATAAATGAGGATAAAACATGACAATGAAATGTAAATTTACTATATAAAAGATACATCTTCGAGTCAATAGTCCTCGAGGTGGTGACACATGAACAAGGTTAATTACACTAGAACCAAAAAAGATGTTGTCAATGGTAAAGATGTCATTTAACCACAAAACAATAACAACTGTAAAGAAAACATTTGCCAAAGTTTATTGACTAAATGGTTTTCATAAGTACATTTACTACATTATACCCAAAGCCATATAGTCAATGTACATCAATATACATACACAAGGATGATTCTTTAAGCTATAGATGACTTATTTTGTTTAAGATATGCTGGCAGCAACATTGGGTTTAAGACTTTTGGACAACACTAGCAACAATGGTTAACTTCCTTGGGATTTATCTGCCTGCCAGCAAAATGTTAACAGGGCAAGTCATCTGTATAGCATACTACAATATACACAAGGAAGACCCTCTAAGCCATATATTGTACTTCAATTTGCACAAAAATGATTCTCTAAGCCGCATATCGTACTACAATATACACCAGGATGATTGTCTAAGCTATATACTGTACTATAATATACACAAGGATGATGATCCTCTAAGCCATATACCGTACTACAATATACACTAGGATGCTCCTCTAAGCCATGCTTATATCATACTACAATCATACATAAGGATGATCCTCTAAGACATATACCGTACTACAATATACACCAGGATGCTCCTCTAAGCCATGCTTATATCATACTACAATGATACATAAGGATGATCCTCTAAGACATATACCGTACTACAATATACACCAGGATGCTCCTCTAAGCCATGCTTGTATCATACTACAATGATACATAAGGATGATCCTCGAAGCCATCCATATTGCTAACAGTCAGTTTTAAACAAGACATAATCAACTCATCGGTCGTCACTTTTCAGGAACACAAACAAAAAGAAAATACTTTGATGAAAGTTAAAGGATTACTTTTCATCTTAACATACTCATTCTTTGAAGGTGAGTCAACAACATTTCCTGAGCTTGATGAAGAAGAGGAGTATCTACCCCACATCGACTTGGACTTTCATCATGTCTATTAAGATCTAAAAACAAAATATTTAATTTTAATAGTTTAAAATGTGTTTGTTTAAGCTGCATGTGTTGAGGTCACCACATGTAAATAGATGGAGGATTGCTTAAGATTCTTTCAGTGATGACCACACACACGCTGGTCATTGGACTGTATTAGTTTACACTTAACAGCATGTCATTAAAACAATGCTCAAATATTGAAGGTTAGGGCCTTTTATCAAATTTATGGAAGACAACACAGAAAAGTAGCATTACGTTATTAAAATTTACTGTTTACTCCAGAAATAAATAAGGAAAGCCAATTAATAACAGCTGATGACGAGGAACAATCAAGAAGGCGACAAAATTATAAGGCAAAAGTTCTTCCACTGAGGTTTTGTGGTCGTTTTGTTAGAAGCTATTCAAATCAATAAATGTGTTATTAACGTTATATTAAACGGTAAACATACCTGAAATCAGCGACATAACTTCTTAGCACTATATCATCTCGCGAAAAAATATCTACACTTCATGATAGCAACGAGCAAAGTAGTTTCAAATGTAAATATTAAAGATAACTATAAACAAACAATATTTTTTCGCCATTTTTGTTGCGCCTTCGATAACCGCGCGAAATTCGAGTTTATGCGTGACAGCCACGCGCGCTTAACTGCGTGGGGTGTGCGTGGTTATTTCGTGTGTTATTATCACGCTCATTAGTTTTGCACATTGAGTTATATTCATTGACTCCATTGTGTTCTCTATGAGTCTTATTAATAAAATATAGTAATTTGGATGATGATTTTCCGTCCAGGTAATTAGTATACAGGTCAGTGGTTATGCATGTAAACAAAAACTCGACAAGAAAAGATGGGGAGTTTGTCTTGTATTTTGTTGGATTTACAGAATCTGAAGAATGATAATAATTAAATATACTGGTGGAATACTCATATCATGCGCTTAAAAAATGTTTTATAACAGTTATGATGTGACTTGTGTTCTTTTTTCCGAACTAGTCAAACCACGTTTAAAAAGAGTATTAGTATAACAGACTATTATAAATACAAGACGATGGTTGTTGAAAAGACTAACAGTTATACAGTCAATAATAACAGAACACCTCCTGCACGCTCCATGACTAGAATACGGGCAGCAAGATTCCAACCAACGGCTATAAATCGCATTCAGACACCCTCAAAAAACGTCAACTAGAAAGAATTTAAATTCCAATGTCACTACAATATACAAAATCAACATGCCAGCGACAGCGTCATCAAACGGTAAATTCATAGTAATTATATTAGTTACGTTTAGCATACTCTCCAGGCTTTGTCACTTCAGACACGAGGGCGATAACCTTCAAACTTTAAGGCTATGGCTATGTTTGTTAACGTTATTTGCGTAGAAATCCAAATTACCACATTGTACGTAAGTATCAAGAAACTTTTTGACTAAAACCTGTTTCATACCTCATTTTGTACCTTCTGACTTTGATAATTTATATATGTATATTAGACAAACTGGGGTTTTTGAACAATGTGGATTGATACAAACACGATTCAAATTTACTTTCAATTCAAGGTAATGCATTAGAAGTAAAAAATGAAATGCCGCCGCAAGATGTCGAGGCAATGGATATTGATTATGTTTACGAAAATGGCATTGCTTGTTCTCAAGATACTAATGTCACTCAATCAGCAAGTCATTCAAAAAGCAAATCAAGATACTCAGAATCAGATAAAACAAAAGGAAGAAATGATTTAGAAGAACCAACTCAAATCAAAGAGGTAAAATGTTTCAATATGTTTAAAACCATGATTTAAAATCTTCCTAAGTCATGTCCAAAATAAAAGATAAAAATTCTCAACTAATCGGATGAACTTGCAATTTTCCTTTTTGTGCTGTTTTATAGACTTGTACAAAAAATGAAACAAACACAGCTAACAGCTGTTCCAGTAAACTCAAGAGAAAAAGACCGGCGTCTATAATACTTCATGTATCACATGTCAGAATTGGAGATTTAGTGGGAAAAGCATCACAACCAATCAGAGTGAGTATTCTTACATATGATATTATACTCAGCAATTTGACAGGGCAGGAGGGGGGGGGAAGGGGCAATTTGACAGGTAAATAAGTTGCTTTTTTCGGCACTTACTAAGGGACTCGCTGTCCAATTTCATAAATCCTACCTTAGCCCTTGCAGGGTCGTCAGGAAAGTAGAATAAAATGTATAGAAATTGTCTGGTCATTGCACCTGTTCTGTAGACTTAACTTGTGAAATCATACAAAATAACATTTCTGTTCACAATTAGTTGTTTTCTAATGTGAGAATGTGATGTATAATTTTACTAGATCCAAGCTCAACGAATTCTCATAGAAATGGAGTTGAAATCAACGGTCAAAGGTAGTAAATGCATAAAAAAGTTTGTTGAAAAACAGAAAAAGATTACAAGTATAACAATACACCTGTCTTCTGAGCATAGCAACACACTTGTCTTCTGAGTATAACAATACAATTGTGTTTTATTTAGATTTTGAAAGTTTAACATTTCAAATTCCTTGTAAAGATTTATCAAACATCAATGTGAGTATAATCTAATTAAAACTAAGCTAAAGACAGTTTTCCATAATATTTAACTTGGGTATTATGAACAGGTAAATTTATCTGAGCCACCATTTGTTATTGTGGTAATGGTCAACAAGACTCGATCTTTATCTTTGCTTGAAGGCATGAAGAATAGATTCAAACTATTACAAAGTATGTTCAATGGTAGTGAGATTATTTTACTGATTATTTTACTGACAAATTCACAAGGAAATGTTTGTAATAAAGTCTTAATGTTTTAGGTGATGGAAAACTACAAGTGGTTATGTATTTAAGATATGAAGCCATTCCTAATGATGTAAAGAGAGAATTTGAAAATGTAAGTATAAAAACATGAGTGCAAGTTAATATAGCATATGGTAAACCTCCGCATATATTAAGGCCTCCCCCCATGCATAAATCCCTTCATAAGTAAGCACCATGGGTCACCACCATAACTAAGCACTGTGGGTCACCACCATAACTAAGCACCATAGGACACCACCATAACTAAGCACCACAGGGTCACCACCATAACTAAGCACCACGGGGTCACAACCATAACTAAGCACCATGGGCCACCATCATAACTAAGCACCGTGGGCCACCACCATATGTAAGTAAGCACCACAGGGCCACCACCATATGTAAGTAAGCACCATGGGCCACCACCATAAGCACCACAGGGCCAACACCATATGTAAGTAAGCACCGTGGGCCACCACCATATGTAAGTAAGCACCACAGGGCCACCACCATATGTAAGTAAGCACCACAGGGCCACCACCATATGTAAGTAAGCACCACAGGGCCACCACCATATGTAAGTAAGCACCACAGGGCCACCACCATATGTAAGTAAGCACCACAGGGCCACCACCATAAGTAAGCACCACAGGGCCACCAACATATGTAAGTAAGCACCATGGGCCACCACCATAAGCACCACAAGGTCACCACCATATGTAAGTAAGCACCGTGGGTCACCACCATAAGTAACTAAGCACCATGGGTCACCACCATAAGTAAGCACCATGGGTCACCACCATAAGTAAGCACCACAGGGCCACCAGTGTAAGTTTTAACACCGGTATAGCATTGCACCTTCACCATTCTTTGGTATATGAAAAGGATTTATAAAATGAAGACTACACTGCCATCATGTTGAAATATTGTAAAATTACTTTTTAGTTACGAAGCGATCTTGATGCCAGTGTTCATTGGAATGAAATAAGGTTGGAAGATATGTATTATAATTACTCGGGCCACCGAAGGTGGAGTACAGTAATAACGTCGCGAGATTACATAATTCACGCGTGACTGACACGAAATCCTTGAACAATCAAAATCTTAAGAGAACCACATGTGAGATTACATTTTCGTAAATTTCGTTGTGCTATTTAGCAACTATTACAATACGCAACTATAACCAAACACTACTCTCGAGCAACCCCAAGTGAACGCCTGGCCTCGTAGGCGTCTTGTTGAAATATATGTTGAACATGACGAGGAAAAGGTCACGGAATTTTGTGTTTATTTTTAGTTCTGAAATGGCGTTGCAAGTTTTAAATGAAGATGATAACCTAAGCATTGAGAAATCAAAGTACCAACCTGAGAAAATAGAAAAGAAAAAACTAGATGACGAAGAAAAAGAGGCAACAAAGATTGTTTGTTCGCCAGTTGCCAAACGTCGACGTAATATGATAAATGTTAATGACAAACATAAGTCCAATGGTGGTCGAGAGAATGAAATTCTTTGTCCCAAAGATGACGAGCAAAAATACGGCAAACCTGATGATTCAAAAGAAAGGAATTACCGTAAGGTTAATAAGTGTAGAGATGGTCGAAAAACAAAGAATTTTGTGACAGAACAAAGTTTTGAAGAAAATAGAGTTGAGATGATGAGAATGTTGTCACTTGAGAATGATCTTACGGAAAAGGAAAGTGCTTTGAAGGCACAAAAACGGATGGTTGAATTACGGGATCTGGAATTACAAGAGGAACGAAATAAAGTTCGCGAATTGCGTGTTTCGTTACGTGACGTGGAAACACATCTCGAGACGGCTAACAGAAAACTCGTGGAACAGTCAAGACAGAAGGCTATCGACGGCTCTCGTACAAATGATTTAGAACAAGAACTGTCTGAGTTGAGTTTACGTCTGAATAACAACAGAACTGAAAATGAGGAAATGGTCAAGGAATTAGAACAGGTAAGAAAGATTGATTTGATCTTCATGTTTAATGAGCACTGCTCTATGATATGATACAGTTTGCAATATGAAATTGTGAGAAGTAGCTCAATAATTGAATGTAAAGGTTTCTATCATATTTAGTCTTGTAGTTCAGTTGATAGAACATTAAAGACAATGATTATCTTATGACTATACCTGAGTACATCGCAGCAACGGGGTGTTATATCTATGATATTAAGATATCAAAAACTAGAACTGTGTTTTGTAATATCATCATGGTCTACATGTTTGTAAATGTAGATCGTCCATGTTGGTATAGTCCTGAAAATGACTGTTTTTGTAAAACGTCAAGGTTTTCGACAACCTTACCGCTAAGGTTGTCGAAACGTCAGTCAACAACAACAAAAACAGTCCTTCTCAGGACTATACCAACATGGACGATCTACATTTACAAACATGTAACGATACTCCCGGGTTCAAACCATTTACTTTATCATAGTCTACAGTTGGTCTTATAGTTCAGTTAGTAGAACTTTGGATACAATGATTATCTTGTTACTACACCTGAGTACATCACAACAACGTCATGTTAGTATCTATGATATTAAAATATGAAAGAAACTAGAACTGTGTTTTGTAATATCATCATCCATGTTCATAACGGGCATGTTCTTCTCTTTTATAAGACACGCAATCGTTTTCGTGAAAGCCAGGCTCGTTTAAGTGAAAGTGAAGCGAATCTGTTGGAGCAACAACAGAGAATCTCGAGGACAGAAGAAGACAATGAAAGAGAGAGACGGACGGTAGAAGAACTACGACGTGATTTGGAACAAAAACATTTAGATTTATCACAAGAACGTGAACGACGTCAAAGAGTTAGTGCTTGTTTGACTGATTTACGAAGTCAAATGGTAACAACTCGAGCGGAGTATGAGAATAGGATTCGTAGAAGCAATGAGGAATATCAGAGGATGCAGAGGAACTACGAGGAATGCGATAACCAGCTTCGATCAACTCGTCAACAGTTGGAAGACGCGAACCGTGCTTTGCATCGAGCCCAGGAGACTGTTGATGAATACTCTAGGATGCAGCCGCGTGATTGGACGATAGCGCGAGATGAGATTGAGATCACGGAAAGGGTGCTCGGTCAAGGGGCGTGGGGTTGGGTAAAAGAAGGAGTGCTACGTGGCACATCTGTGGCTGTAAAACAAATGCATGAGTTGATAATATCTCCCCACAATCAACGGCTTTTTGAACGTGAAATGCAAATTGCTTCGAGATGTCGTCATCCAAATTTGTTACAATTTATCGGTGCAACGAACGACAATGGCGTAGCGTTGCTCGTCACGGAACTGATGGATATTGATCTTCGATCAATTCTCAAACAACGCTCGCTCTCCCATGATGAAGTTGTGTCCATAGCACTTGATGTTTCCAAAGGACTCAACTATCTTCATCTCACCAAGCCGTTTCCCATCATACATCGCGATATAAGTTCGACGAATGTGTTGCTGTGGCAACGTGGTGATACATACCATGCCAAACTGTCAGATTATGGAGCTGCTAATTTTATGCGTCAATGTATGACCGTCAGTCCTGGTGCTTGTATTTATGCTGCACCCGAATCAACGACGTCACAACAGTCAACTAAGGTTGGTATATCATTATTTTTGTAATTCTACTTTATATTTTAATATCATAGATAATAAAATCACATTGTTGTGATGTACGTACTCAGGTATAGTAACAAGATAATCATTGTTCTACACACTGAACTACAAGATCAACTGTGAACTATGATATTTCAAAACATAGTTCTAGTTTCTTTCATATCTTAACATCATAGACAATAACATCACGTTGTTGTGATGTACTCAGGTATAGTAACAAGATAATCATTGTCTTCAATGTTCTACACACTGAACTACAAGATCAACTGTGAACTATGATGATGTTTCAAAACACAGTTCTAGTTTCTTTCATATTTCAATATCATAGATAATAACATCACGTTGTTGTGATGTACTCAGGTAAAGTAACAAGATAATCATTGTCTTCAATGCTCAACCAACTAAACTACAAGATCAACTGTGAACTATGATGATATTTCAAAACACAGTTCTAGTGTCTTTCATGTCTTAACATCATAGATAATAACATCACGTTGTTGTGATGTACTCAGGTATAGTAAATAGTAAAAAATAATCAAAGTTTAATACATAGAAAGGTACAATGGTCGAAATAAAACTTAATAAAACACCATGTCAAAACTTATCAATACTCCGCGTCATGCCTTGAGCATTGACCATGATATATATAATGAATTATCACCAACAATAAAAATATTTGATATTTTATAGTTGGATGTCTATAGTTTTGGATTACTCCTTTGCGAAATGTCTATACGTCAATTGCCTGTGCCTGGTGAAACACGCGATCAAATCCGATCAATCACCAATGCTCGCCTTCGTGAACTTGCCGAACGAAGTACTCACGTGACAAGCGAAGCTCGACCGACGATGGCCGAGATTCTTACGGTCTTGCAACGAGAATCTGCGAACTCTCAGTTTGGGACAGTTGCCGTCAATAATCGACAAATTTTAGTGACGTAAGATAGCAAACGTATGTTTCGAGTCAAATTTTTAAAACATAAGAAAATTTAAATGTTAGGGTTTTATTCAAAGTTTTGTTGATGAAACTTCACTTAGGAGAAAATATTTAAATTGGAGTATTTGGGAATATAAATACATATAGAAAATACATTTTAGTATTTGTATTTTTTTGTTATAAATCCACGCAATCATCATCAGCGTTTATAGTTCTTCAAACGGTTTCAGATAAAAATTTTCCAGTTTTTAACACTCATAAAAATTGCTCTGAAAAGTGAACTTTATGTCTTTCATAGAGGTTTCACGATAGGAAAGCAATTTTAAGTAAATATTACGATCTGGATAATCTTCAAATAAAAAAAGAAATCGTGTTTATGATGTTTTCACGAGATATTGAATCAAAGTGAAAGTTTAAACTCGTCATAAACATCAATTGCAGGAAATTGCAGTTCTGGGGCAGGTTGCACAAAACTTGGATAGCGTTCCATTGGATAACAAAAATTTTCAAACTTGTAAAAAAAGTGTTTATATTTTTCTTACGACAAAGAAATTTCGTAATCTTCGAAACAATATTTTATTTCAGTGATTGTTCAGTTCGAATCTTATACTTTTTGCTTTATGAAAGGTTTTATAAAAGTTTAAAAAAATGCTATCCAATGGATAACGCTATCCAGGCTTTGTGCAACCGTCCCCTGAAATGAAATTACGTAAAATAAGCTTACGACTGACGATCCTCTAGTCCTGTTTCACACCGTCATCATGGAGTCCATTTCTCTCTTCTTTCTGAACTTTACTATTTTGTTTAAGTCCAAATTTGCTTCCCTTTTTAGAGTCGGTAAAATGCACCAATATCCGGAAAGCCACATAACCTAGAGGAACATGATATGAATATACCTAATAACAACGTGTATTTCTAGCTACAGTACATAAGCTTCTAAAACCGTGGTAATTTTTTTAGTAGGAAAGGTGCAAATCAAGTATCGAGATGAATGATTTTCATTACTGCGAATAATGCTATAGCACGACTCTCATCGTGACAAAGCACTAGATAACAAGACTTTCAAAATAGCTGATCAATTGATACACGACTTTTCCAAGGAGAATCACGTCTAATAGTTAGGCATACATTTCGACATTGACAAATGTGTTGAAAACAATGTTACAAGAGCGACATGTTATGATACTTCGTAACCACGCTACCCGCGGTTGTCTGAAGCAAAGTGCAAACCTTGGTCAAAACAACTTATGCAAACTTAACAAATGTATAAAATTTAGATTTCTACCGTAGCATTCTGAAAAATTTACCGACAAGAATTTTTGAGTTTTTGGGTTTGAAAGAATTAAATGAAAGAAGTAATTCGTTTTGAGTAGGCACTATGACCGTAGACTGTGCATGGCTAGCCGCGTTTTTTTTTACTAGCAAAAGAAAACAAATTAATGCATAGACATGGGAATATTGTGGCAGTATAACCCTTATATTGACTGATATAACATATACTTTACATGTTTGTAGATGTAGATTGTCCAGGTTGGTATAGTCCTGAGAAGGACTGTTTTTGTTGTTGTTGACTGACGTTTCGACAACCTTAGCGGTAGTCATCTTCAGAGTCAAAAGAGGAGTAAACGTCAGGCAACGTTTTGTTGACGAAACGTCGGTCAACAACAACAAAAACAGTCCTTCTCAGGACTATACCAACCAGGACGATCTACATTTACAAACATGTAACGATACTCCCGGGTTCAAACCATTTAACATATACTTTGTCAATCATTCATACCTATAAGCAGTAGAGCTCCAACAACTGGTATCGAGACAACTAAACGCGACACCAATAATGAGTATAAAGTATAGAGAATTGGAGCAGATAGTAGTAAGTTCCAGAATATGACAAAGTAAAGATTTTTCTGTCTCCTCGGTAAATTTACGCGATTTCCAGCGAATTTCCCATTCTTTACAAAGTCCGACATGATTGCATCCTACAACACAGAATATTTTATGGTTCAATATCGTCAACCATGCCTTTGGGTAAACTCGTTTGATCCAATTATTTGTAACCCAAAACTGTAAACAATGAAAAAAATTTATTCCTTCGAAAAAAAAAACAAATAACTGGGTACACTGGGTACACCGAAAAAAGTTGCTGTTTATAACAATACATTTGTGATACCTTCTCTACAAATAACTGGGTACACCACTTTGAAATTTCATCATCAGAATTACATGGTATTTCTTCAATGGGTATACGTCTAAAAATATAGCTACATTGAAGAACTTACTAATAACCTAAAGGAAACAACTAATTAGTGAAAGGTACGATCAATGATATACAAAGGAACGACTAATGATATGTATAAAGGAACTCTAAATGATCAAAAGTAATGAATAATGATAGAAAGGAATGACTAATGATAGAAAGGAACTCTAAATGATCAAAAGTAATGAATAATGATAGAAAGGAACGACTAATGATGTAAAGGAACTCTAAATGATCAAAAGTAATGAATAATGATAGAAAGGAACGACTAATGATATGTATAAAGGAACTCTAAATGATCAAAAGTAATGAATAATGATAGAAAGGAACGACTAATGATAGAAAGGAACTCTAAATGATCAAAAGTAATGAATAATGATAAAAAGGAACAACTAATGATAGAAAGGGACTCTAAATGATCAAAAGTAATGAATAATGATAGAAAGGAACGACTAATGATAGAAAGGAACTCTAAATGATCAAAAGTAATGAATAATGATAGAAAGGAACAACTAATGATAGAAAGGAACTCTAAATGATCAAAAGTAATGAATAATGATAAAAAGGAACGACTAATGACACAAAATTATGAACATTTGATAAAATAGAACTAAAGTCAAGATTTCGTTGACATCTTTGTCTTTCTACGTTATTTCATCAGTACAAACTTCTTACTTCGATAATTTCATTTTCTTACCTAAGATAAAAATGAACTTCGCATTTCCCGCCTTTCAACAAATGTTTCATTGTTGGTTTACAGTCCCCTGGATAAGCTGACTCGATGTCATAAACAGCAGGTACTAAAATGGTACGAACATTAAACAAATTCATTAACGCGTTTGACATTTGTGTGTATTAGGAATGTATCGACAAAAACAGAGGCGAAGAATAATAAAGTATAGCGTTGCATCAATTTTTTCATCGTTAATGGATGCTATTTTTCTACTAAACAATTGCGATACACTTTAAAAAGGAAAATTAAAGTTCAAGAAACAGATAAAGAGTGAAAGCAACGACAACGATGGATGAAAACTTTTACAAAGAGAATCCGCAACACGTTGATAAGTAGAAACATAGTTGAAAACACACCAGGCTAAGTGGAAACATCTAAAAACGAAATGACGTATGCAAAAAAAGGCAGGCAAGAGAAAAGACGTTGCACCTATAAATATTTTCTTATGTACAGTTTTCATATGTACAATTTAGAATACAAAAGTCAGTGAGCAATATCAAGTCTAACAAGACACCTTCGCGCATAAAATCTAACTAAGTAGACACTAAGTCAAGAAGAAGATTTTACTCCCCACCCAGAAAAAACAACTTTGCTGAAGACATTGTATAAGTATTTTCTTACATGTATCTTTAAGACATTTCAAAGTGATAATGACGCCTTTCGTTCTCGGGAAGAGATGATGCTTTAGCTCAGGTAAACCACGCGATCTTGAAAACTGTAAACTATTTTCATGTTTAGCTTCGGTAAATCGTGTTCCCTCCGGGAATATGCCAAGCTGAATGAATAAATATAGAAATAAAATTTGAGATAGTGAGTCGGGGAGTGAGTTCTAAAAACGGAGATCTGGGCAATGACGTGCTGTGAAGGATGCTCCTGGGGAGAGTCACTTTGCACTAAGAATATCCACCACCAAAATATACCACCTTAGAAACGATAGCCAAAGGTCTGAACCAAACATTGTACATAGGTTTGAGTCTTACGGGTGGAGTCAGGGGGGGCATGCCCACATGGAAAATTTCTAAATCAAGAAGCTCTAAAATGTCATTTCCCAGACTTCCACAGATAAAATAATACCATCTGTTTCATTTCAAATAGGTTTTAAACACATTTTCAAAATTGATTTCACATATTCATTTCTGCACTCCCAAAAAATCAACAGCTGGGGAGGGGGCATTCCTCTCTGGCCTCTGCTGCTGGCATACCACAGAGCGGGGCATAGAAAAAGTTAGATGGGAGACTGGAAATGGATTTCTATTGTGGTTTTTGGAAGACATTTTCGCTACATGCCTTGAAATAAGTATTTGCATTAATAATTAACAACTAAAGGCACTTTTTGCCATAACTAAGAGTTTTTCTCTTCGTGCCCACAAACCTTGTCACAATATCATCATTTCATAATAAACCATCATTCAGATTCAATAATGTGTAATTTTATGATGTACATTTTTGGTATTTGATGTTATGTAAATGGCCGCAATCTTTCATAAAAAGCTCATTTCAAATTAACCATAATCTTTATCCATGAATATAATCATTAAAACCTTTCCACTTACAAACATAGGGATTGGATAATCCTTGAGCTCATCCAAACTTCTCTTCAACATGGGAAAATCAGCGTTCCAGTTTCGTTTCAGAAACACATATTCGGCACACCACCACATCCAACCAATCACAGGCAAGTATTTTAGATAATACTTCATGTAACATTTTGCACCCTTAAAGAAATGAGAAAGTACTTGAAAATGGGTCTAACAGCAATAATTTTATGTCAAGTATGTCAATACTTTATCCTTATACTGTATTACTATGAGTAGACAACTACATACTGTTCATAAACTTTACACAAACTTTATAATCTTGAAATTCATTAAACTTGCCAACAACATTACTAAACTATCATCTTTTTCTTGGTCAAAAATAATCAAATGGTTTGCTTATAAATTGCCAATATAGCAATTTCTTTTGCTAAACATTTCCCACATTTTATGATAATAAAAGAATTTTCAATCCACTGTAACTTATTATCACTAATTATCGTTATTCATAGTAGTCAAATGAATTAAAGCTACCCCTAATATCCCTGTACGTTCACAGAGAATCCATCCAATCATCCAGTCAATATCACTGCGATGATTAGGTAAGACAAGACAATGTTCCTTTCCTATCAAATCATAATCTTCTTTCTTTCCATAAAATTTAATATCTAATTCACCCCACCATTCGCCAGCAAAGGTCAACACTAAAAGAAAGGAATAAAATATATTTACTTACTGATGAATCACAACTTTATAAGTCTGTCCTTTTGCAAAGCTCTTAAAACTCATACAACTATTTTGAAAATCTGTTCACACAACTTATATAAATGCATAAATGAAATCTAAACAGCTTTCAATAATCAAAACAGTTTCATTTCAATGTCTAAAGACAACTTGCAATAAATGAACGCTCAATAAAAGCTCTTTCACTACATTTAATCGTCTAAATAAATTAACAAAGGACAATGCTTGAAAGTGTGAAGTATGTCAAAGTGTGTTAAAGACACGACGTTTTTAAAACAGACAACTTATACTCGAGATTTTAACAATAAAAAACTTACTTGACCAGTGGGAATAGCAAAGAACAGCGTTGATCCGTCTAAAATGATTACGGGAAATGTACCATAGTGGCAACAAACAGACTTGAAGAATATTGACAATTAAGCCACTGATAAAATACACCATTAAAAGCCACAGGAAAAGTGCCAAAGACCTTCGCATGTTTCAACAGGAACGCAATTCTAATGATATAAAATCTATAAAAACAAAACGAGTTATAGCTTCGTTGTATCAGGATGAACGAAGTATTAAAATTTAAATTGTATTTCCAGAATTCTAGCCAGCTACGATCATGGTGAAGAAGATTAGTTAAAAAGGCGTGTGAGAGGACGGACAGATAGACGGTTATCACGTGTAAGTAGCTGTAGCATTTTATCACCTTAATAAAATATCTTCTTGCCAAATTACAGCATATACAACAGTATCAGTAGTTCACCTTGAGTGACAAAACATGATAATTTGGACTTTGTCATGTTCAAACCTGTTATACTAAAATAGTCGTAAACAATTAAACCCATATTTACCTAATCAAATTTCCTTGTTAAACAAAAGGAGTGTATTGTATTACAGTGAAAACTTTAACCATAAACTTATCGATTAATTAATTATAAGAAGAGCTTGTCCATGTAGAATGTACTGCAAACATGAAAACAACACGAGATATGAAAAACTCCAGCAAAATCATCGACTTCATCATACATACGAAAGGATATATTTTGAACCCACCCCTCCCCACTGGGTTGACCTTTATTCAATCAATCAATGGACACAGTCGACACACCACGTGAGGTCAAAGTATATTTAGAACACATTTTGTTTTGAAATAATCACACAAGACAATTTGCCAAAACTTATCTTGGATAAATTAGTTATGTATTTTAAGACCAGATTTCATTTCCCAAGCATTTCTTTTCCGTCCTTTTCCGGCTTTTTCCGTGTGTTTCGCTCCACCATTGTGTTGCAAACATTTCGTTGATTTGATTGGTTCTATTATGGTACCGGGTAAAGTCACAATACGCGGTTTCACCAACTTCTGATGCACCGAGGTTGCGTTCCAGTCTTTTCCTAATGGTACACGGACACTATGTTCCCATTCATCATGTGATGTAAACGGAAACGGCAATTGGCTGACCTGAAACAATAAACACGTTTTTTAGATTGAATGGTTTATTTAAAACCGTGTTTTCGTAGATGTGGATCGTCCAGGTTAGTGGAGTACTGAGAATAACAGTTGGTGAAGGAGTTGAATGATGAAATGTTAGTAAACATCAACACGAACGGTCCAACATTAACCGTCCGCCACAGTACTCCACTAACAATGGTGATCTACAATAAAATCATTTTTGTTCATTACAGATGATTTGAAGACACTCAAATATTATTCGTAGACTTCATATCTTGCCAATGGCAGTTTTTATTCTTACGATAGTTAACAAACTACGTCCATGATACCAGTTAGACGAAGCCTGTTTGGGCGCTGTGCATTACAAAGAAATTTCTTGATAATTTAAAAACTTAATGAAAGCAGAAAGTAACAACGCATTTAATAGAATATAACTTTAATTGAAAGAGAGTAAGGCCTAAATTTTTGCGAAGAATATGCCAGGGGAGAAGCCGGACCATATTTGGAAATGCAAATATTTTGTGCTCAATTACTAGAAAAACAATAAATGGAATCGATTTTCTTGCAATGATTTTACCAAAAACTTCGCATTGTAAGTGTGAAAGATCGGGCTGGCTTTATCACTGAAAATACTATCAGTCAATATAGTCATTATCTAGTGAGCAGCAGTGCTGTCTGCAGGCTTTGTGCAACCAGTGAACCTAGATTTACATTCATTACTATCATTAACCGCATCTTCATTGAAGATTTTATCTTTCGGACATTCAACTACTGCTAACATGAAGTACTCACTACAGATGATACCTGATTCCTAGCAATCTTTTTATCGTGGTTTTCATTGATAATAACATGAGCGAGTTTCCTATCTTTACGCGCAGGGGCAGGCTTTGCAGGCTGTAAAAATTTCTTTTTTCTTTGAGTTTCGTCAATGCCCGGTCCACCCCAGTCTCCCCAGCCGGGCAAACTAAGATCAAGATCCTTAGGTTTGCTTGCTTCAATGGCGTCGTCTTTCTCTTTAACAAACTCCTCAATAACATCATCATTCGCAAAAGCTTCTTGTATGGTGAGTCTCTTGTTTTGCTCCTCGACATCGCTTTGGCCATTAGTGATGTTGACTAAATCATTTTCATCTCCTAAATCTTCGAGTTGAAAGACATTTTTTGGATTCAATTTGATCTCTTCATCGGGAATGGTGTCGGTCACAGTGTTGTTAGAAATAATGCCACGAATATTGGGTTCTACTAATTCATGTACATCATCATCACCTTCTATCAACAGTGGTCGGTCACGATCCACCATTGTTCCATCACCATCATCATCAGCGGTCAATGTCTCTATTTCATTAAATTTTACGTCTTCTTTATCATTCTGTTCGATAGAATCCTTTTTCTTCTTTTTCTTTGCCATGCGGTCTGAGCTCTTTGTATTCTTAAAACCATTTTTCAATTTGTTATTCTTCTTCGACTTTTTACCAACAACTTCCTGATGACTATTTTCATCCAAGGAATTCCCTTTGGACTTTCTATTTTTCTTTATTTTCTTTTTAACCCCTGTGCCATCCTCATTTTCTTCCACTTTTTTTCTCTTCAATTTTTTTTCTTTAGTTTTCGTCAATCCTTTTTTCTTGACAACGTTTCCACTTTTTTTATTTTCATTTTCCTTCACTAGCTCAAACTTTTCATCTTCGTCGGAGTTGTTCGACTCTTCAACATCGTCATCACAATCGTCAACTTTCTCGTTTGTATCATCTGCCGTAACAGGCTTTAGTTTTCTAAATCGCTCTTCACTACACCCATCACCTAAAGTACAACATACGTAAAAAATCTGAGATAACCATCCAAGACTCGTGCTGCACGGGTTTTTCATGATTTAAATACCATTTATGGTATTTGGTGGTTAGATGGTGACCTTTACTGTACGGTCACCATTTCCAAGGTCCCAAACTAAATTTTTCATTGTTTTGAAAGTGCATTCAACGGTCAGGCAAAGTAACCACAGCACATGATACAGTACTATACATAAGTCATTCTTTATTCCAAAGCCATCATCAGAGAGATTATACATAATATTAATCCTAGGATTTATATTATGTATAACTCATTCTTTATAACGGAACTTGTTAAAGTCTTTATATTCGTGCGATCCGTAACAAAAGAACAACAAACTAAAAAATTTTGGCATTTAAAACTGTGATGTCGTTTTCGACAAGATCTGCTCCAAAACGGTCAACCTGTACTGAGCGGTCACAGGGAAAATCCCCGAGACATAGGGTAACCACTTATCGCAGGTTTAACTGTACTTTGCATTCGTAGCTTCAACAAGGGGAAAAATCAAAAACCTATTTGACGTTGCTAGTATATGAGGCAATAATATGACTCTGTTCTTTTTCTTTATCAAATCAATTTTTTCATAATTTTGTAACAGCACGATTGAGATCAAACAATTAAAATAAAAGGCAACTTTTTTAAAGTATGATACATGATACATTCAGAGTAAATATTTTATTTATCCAGCACTGAAGATGGCATGTTTGCCAAAACAGGTTTGCACCAAAAAGTTTAGAAAAGTTTTCATTTACGATAAATGTTTGATACTTAATTAATTTTATAGTAAAGAAAAAATATCAAGTTAAAGTTGCAAATAAATGCAAGAAATATATCAAACAATGTCTCCATTTTGACATAATCGTTTCAGCATTCGCACAAACACATACCTTGGGGATCATTGCTCATGATTTCCTCCTTTTTTCCATCATTCAAAAGCCATGGATTTTCAGAACAATCGCCGAGCAGTGCGAAGTTTCGAAAATTTTTGTCATCCTCCGATTTCCTTTCAACTTCCTTCGTCTCGTCTTCGTCACTAACAGCCTCATCTGTTTTTGTATCCGTGAGTTGCCGACTAAGCCGAAGCTGTTCCGATAATGCTTGCCGGGCCTAGTGTTAAAAACATATATGTTGTTGGAACCACACATTGAACTTAGTCTAACCACTGAACTCAAATAAAGACTGGAGTGATAATGCCTATACTAAAACCAACAGGAAGACTATCTTCCACTACAATTTAATAGATCTAAATAAATTTCATTATTACACACATGACTGAAGGCAAAATTTGTCTTCATGCATGCAAAGGCCACTGAACTGTATAATATTACCGTAGATATTACAGTTCAATGGTACAGGATGTTTACCTAAAAATAGCATTCCAGTTATATATTTAGTTTAATGTTAATTACAGATAGAAAGACCCCAAGGAGTTGTGTAAATTTTATGAAGCCGGGGGGGGGGGTTGTTACGACAATTGATGATGACTGCATACATACAAAATCTCCTGCAAAAATTACAAAACACAACGCAGCTACACAAAGAAAACGAACCTGAACATTACTGATGCCTTTTGAGATTATATTTCTCGCCCATTTTGAAGAATTGCGATGTTTTAAACTCATTCTCTCCTAAGAAAAGAGAGACAAAAAATCGTCGGCGCTGTTAAATTACTGAATATCCAATTTCATTCGATTATATTAGATCTCAGCAAAATTACGTAAGGAAATAATATGAAAATTGAACTGTAACTAACTTGAACGCGAAGTTTTTCGGCTTTTTCGAGTTCTGCTTTTGCTTCGTCAGGTTTGTCTTTTTGTAGCTGCTCAAATGAACATTTACTCTTTGATTTTAATTCAGCTTTCTTTTTAATTCGGTGATATCTAAAAAAGAAAAATAGGATAGTGTAGTAAATGATTAGTACATCATTTATATGACCACAAAATGAAAAAATGAAAATGTAAACAGCTGAGAAACCACAAGCAGTAATAACGATGAACTCGACCACGGTCACTGTACAGGATGAAAAATATCAATCACAAATCCGATCAACTCCAGTGTGTTAACCCATTTAAAAACCACTAATAACTACGCTGACTTTAACAACTTCCAAATTTTCCCATCTTCTCCAAACGCATATGTACTTTCCATCCACGAAAGTCTTCACAACTCGAAACCAAACTCAACTCTTAATGTTCAACCATAGACGGCCCGGAAATCTGTTTTACTCTTTATGCTTTATATAGTAAATATATTCCTTGATTCATATGCAATGTTAATCACGCACACTGTCTCGCGCGAGTTCCACGTTTGCATGGTCTTAACCAGGGGTGGGCAACTTCTCCAGTGGACGGGCCAGATTTGGGAGAATGAAGTTATTGGTGGGCCGGATTATTACATGAATAAAATTCAATATTCAATGGTCGGATACAGTCGGCGGGCCAGTTAAAATTCCTTCAGGGGCCGTATGTTGCCCACCCCTGGTCTTAACAGTGTTATATTTTGACAAAATTTAAGACTGTTAAAACCATAAAAACGAGGAACTCGCGCGAGATAGCGTGCGTGATAAATATTGCATATGAATCAAGGAACATATTTACTATTGTTGGTTTCACATAAACCCTAAAAATAACAAATTTCTGGGCCACCTATGGTTCAAGACAGTTCAATCCCACTAAATCTCACTTCATCACTTCATCACAAATTTCACCACATTGTCATCATCACTTCTTGTAATCTAACGCTCTGTAAATAAAGTAAATGGTTTGAACCCGGGAGTATTGTTACATGTTTGTAGATGTAGATCCTCCAGGTTGGTATAGTCCTGAGAAGGACTGTTTTTGTTGTTGTCGACTGACGTTTCGACAACCTTAGTGGTAGTCATCTTCAGAGTCAATATTTTCAAACCATTTACTTTATTACGATCATTTAGACGACAGAGCGAACAACTCTGTAAATATCTTAAAATCCGCATACAATTGTTCTCAAACTTCCTGTGTACGCCATAAGTACTTTACATCGTCTGATGACATGATAAGTTAAAGAAAAATTTCATCCGTGTCCTTACAAAAAGTTTTATTTTGAGTGATTATGTTTATACTAAGAATTCAATGGTTAAAAAATAAAAAAGATTCCGTTACTTTTTACTCTTGATTTTCTTCATTCTTCGACATTTGCGTTCGTAATAAGACTGCAATGCCCGCATTTTTTGTAATTCTTGTCGTCTCTCAAGTGCCTATAAAGACGAATAGCTCATAAGGACTTGAAGCAAACAAGAAAACATAAAATCACGAAGACTTTAAGATATATGTTTGTTGATGAAGATCGTCTGGGTTAGAAAGCCCTGAGATGAATTATTGATATTTGTGTTGACTGACGTCTCGACATCCTTAGCTGCATGTACTCAGTTAGCTTCAAAGTCAAATTTTCTCTTCTCAGAACTGCACTAACCTGGACGATCTACATCTACAAAAAGTTAGCAATACTCCTAAGTGCAAACCATTAACTTTACTTTGACGAACATCAAAATCTTTGACACGAAAATTTCACGGTTAAAAAACAATAAACTCCGTTACAACCTCCTCCAAACTCATGTTTTTTAACGCCTCCTCTTCTTCAACACTAAGTTCTTTGTTTTTGCGTTCTAACATATTTGTATTTTGCTGAAGAACATCAGCGATCTCTTGCTCAAGTGGAGTGCGAGCCTAAACGTGTTACAAGTTGAAACGTTAGGACAACCTAATTTTAGAATTTCCTGAAGACAATAACGCTACTTTCAACAGCATAGTCCCATGCTGTGAATTTAAGAACTTTATGATTAAAAACTGTTAGAAATGAGTGGATATCCTCTCATTCAAGTACTAGACTTTACACTCATCGTCCACGTTCAAACTTACCTTGAAAGTAGTATGAAGCATCTTTGTTGACATGTCTTCTGGTTTATAGTTGTTCAGTGGAAATGATAACTGTTCGGTCTGATAATAAAAAATTATTTCATTGTTTTTTGTGTCTAAGACATGTAAAGTTTCTAAAGCATAAGGTCAGAAACTTTAACTAAAGATCCATAGATCGTAAATGCTCAAAACAAACACTGCCTTTCTTAATTTGTAATATGAATCAACCGCATTTTCTATACATTTACTATCCACTAACTCCTATTTTGACTCATGCTAAACAAGAAAATTTTGATTGACTTCATGAAAAGTTAATGCACAAAAAAGTTAATATACTTTTTTTTCTTTTTGACAAGTTTAATTCGGTAATGATTACAAGTGATAGCTTAAAAAAACAACTTGTTGTCCACGATTAAAATATCAACAGTTGTCTTGTTTACTTTAGCGTGCCAAGGTCGCAACAGTCATTGATGGAAATAAACTTGAAAATGCATTTGTTGAAAAAAAACTAAACCAATATATAGATCCATTGAACTGTAATAATTAGCTTGCTTAGTCAAAAATCAATAAATTAATTATTTGCGCGTGCGTGGTAACGGTTCAATCACACCACAATCGTCGAACAGTCTCAGCATTATGCTGTATAAATAAAAAGATAAACATGATTAAGATAGGTCGACTAGCACAGAGCGGATGCCCGAGGCGTAAGAGTGAACCACGAGTTAAGATGTGGGCCTATAAAGAAAGGGCTTTGTGTTTACCTCTGTGTTAGTCAGGTGATGACCTCCCAATCAGTGATGAAATACTTTAGGCCTAAAGATGTGAGAGGCGGGCAAGTATTGGATTGGGTTTTTTTGATCTTCAAAAATTTTCTTTTGTAAACACAATTTCTTCTTCGTTTTTAATTTCAGGCGAGTATAAGCACGTTTTCTACATTTTAGCCAGTTTATTTCATTCACGATACAACTTTCTCATTGAATATTTTCATAGCAAATGAAAACTATACTCGGATTGTCGGTTTTCCTCGTCTCGTAATGCCTCAGGCATGAATGTAATTCTCAAATTAAAACGAAAGGTTGATGAATCACAGCTGCTACACAATTGTTTTGCGCAAGATTTAAAAATATGATGTGAGAAAAAAGTAGCGAAAATCTCTAAACTTGTAAAAAAGGTGTTTATATTTTTCTTACGACAACGAAATTTCGTAACGTTCGAAACAATATTTTCTTTCAGTGACTGTACAGTTTGAATCTTTTACTTTTTACTTTTTAAAAGGTTTTATAAAAGCTTAAAAAACCTGCTATCCAATGGATAACGCTATCCAGGCTTCGTGCAACCGGCCCTAGTTTTCTAAGCAAAATTTCATGAGCGCTGAAAATGGTGTCCTGTTAAATCTTATGATTGCAAAAACTTCAAAGTATTGGACCAAAGACCCAATTAATTATTTAAACACCGAAGTGAACGACAATGATTTTTAATTAAAAAATATTTGCTTTTTTGTGAAATTTTTACAATAACTCCAAAATATTGATTTCTATAAAGTAAACAGAGCTTTGGAAATCTTTGAAGAAACGATAAAAACGAAAATAATAACTTAAAACACCAGTAACAAAGATTACTATCCCCTCCCATCCCACATTGAAAAATTCTCAACTCTCTTTTCATGCTTAACTGATGCGAATTGTGCCACCTACGTGCAACAATAGTCCAAAGTTTCTTCTAAACTTTATGGTAAAAATGATCAAGAACAAAAACAAGGACTAGCATACGCAAGGCGATAAACACAAAGAAAGATTGTAGTTTTAAACTCAGTAATTGTTCCTCAGTTAACATACCCGTCTGTTCTTTTGTACGGTAGAATCCCATTTTGCAATGTCTTTTGAGGTTTCCTTGTAGGCAATAACTCGATGGATCTAAACCCAAAGACAAAAAATAATGAAACATTCGCCTTCCTTAATACTAAAAACTGCGAACAGGATTCTTACCCGGTCTGCAGCTGGTTTTGCCAAAGGTACATCAACAGTCTTGCACATTTTCTGTAAGCTTTCCTAGATAGGTAGTTATTGAGGAGATTATTTCAGTATAAAAATGATGGGAGGAGGTTCAATGGATTTTAGTTTAATGAATACCAAAGATTTTTTAAGTTTGCTGTTGTATGTTGATGATTGTAGCGAACCAACAAGATCATCCAAATTAACATGACCCTCATCACCTTCGGATACCAAGTTCAATTCGGAAACGTTTTTGTTTGTTTCTGTCCTCAGCTGAACTTTACGCCTGAATGGTAATTTAAGATAAATGAATCAAAATGCAGATTAAAGAGGTAAGATTAAATCATAAATTTACGATGACTGGAGGAATTACAAACTTCTTTAAAGTTCCCTTCTTGTCTAAAGATTTTATCTTTTTCAATAAATCATCATGGTTAACATCATCTTGTTCGTCAACATTCTTCAATGGGAAACAAAAATGAAAAATATGATTGAGAATTCCCAGAAAAAAGTGTAATTAAAGAAAGAAATAAGAAAAGTAATAAATAATGATAATAAGATACAAAGTCATGGACAGATACTATAAAATACAAACACTTAAGCAAAGCAGATTTTTATGACATAATTTAGATGGCACATTTTAAGTGATAGTAACAAAGCACTCCAACTGGACAAAAAGCCCACCACAATAATTTAAAGTTTAAGTCTAGTAAAGACCAGTCAGGAAAGTATGTTGTTTTTCAACAAGATCTTTGGAGATCAAGTTTAACCAGCTTTACCATGTGCATACACACAGGACAGGTGTCCAGTTTGCAAGTTATGAAATAAAAAATAAAACAAGTTTAACCAGCTTTACCATATACATACACACAGGACAGACATGCTTTTATAAAAAGAAAGTCTCTAATGCACAAAACAAGACATAATTTTAGATTCCTAAGTGGTAAAAGCCTTCATCGTTCTCTCATTGGAAAGTTTGTATGTATAATAGAAACACCAAGCTCTCAGCCATGAACTTTTCTAACTATTTTGAAAATTTTGCCAGAAAATCTCACAAGGAAAAATTTTACCAGAACCCTCAAATTTATAGGTAACTCCGATCTGGACCGCGCATTTTGCAAATTTTCCAGTCTAGGTCATTGATCACCATGTCACAGTATTGTGTTTGCTTTGCTTTAATGATTATTGGGAAACAGTTGAAAGGAAAACACAAGGAAAAGCTTACATGATGAAAAATTTCTTCCTCATCGTGCGTAGCTCTAGTCGTTAATCTAAAACAAAATATATTTTGATAAAAATACAATGTTATAACATAAATAAACCACGTGTTGCACCGCCATTGCAAGTTTATGTCATGAAATTTATAATACTGACAAATATCAAACATCTTCACAAGGTTATCCAAATCTTAATAAGCAGCAGATGACACATAAAAATTGCTGAAACCTCCATGACTGAACATGATCACTCAGTTTTCAACGTAAATTACACAACTTACTTCCGAAGTGCTTCAACGGCAGCCATCTTTCTATCAAAACGGGGGGAGAGAAAACGGTGAACGTGTACACCGAGGAAGGGGGGGAGTGCGAAAATTGTAGGAGAAGATGAAAAGTGGCGAAATTTCTGCGAAGTCGTAAACATGACCAGTAAAAAAGTCATTTCTGTAAACGAATCTTCGGTGAGTATTATTTGTTTCCATTCTTGTGTATTTCCCAGTATTCACTGAATATTCCATCTTTCGTTTAGTTGGTTGATTTAAAAGCGGAACTTTATCGCAAGGAAACTCAACTGAAAAGGGAAAAAGTAAAATCTACACCAGCAAAGGTATTTTTGACTGATTGTAATTTCACGAAATATTTTAACTCATTAACAATCATGAAACATCAAAGCGATCATTTCATCTTTCATTTTAGTAATCGTGTTGACGTCCTCTGACAAATATGATATTTCCATTGCTTGATCATAGTTCCGTTTTTAGAAAGCCCCAATATGGCAAAAAAAGACAAAAGAGTTAAAAAAGAAAAATGGCAAAGCTAATGAACCAGTTGCTAATGATGCGCTCAGTAGAGAATTAGAAAAATCTAGGTTGTAAAACTTACTAAACATTTTACCACCCAGTGATGTACCATATTTAAGCCCATTGTTCAATGCACCTAAGCATATTTTCTGTGCTTGCTTGCTATGACTACAAAATATTTCTGAATTCTGAACAAATTTATAATGGTATTGTTCTAGAATTTACATACGCATTTTTGAAGTCTAACTTTTTTCATTTTCATTCACTTGTTAGATTAAAGTTAGAAGCAAAATCAGCACTTTATGACAAGCTTTCAACTGGGGAAATTGAAGGTTTGTATTTGCAAAAAATGCATTGTAACTGTGAGTGATTTTGAAAAGAGTCCTCGTATTTATTTGGTGCAGTTCCATCAGATGAAGATGATGAACAAGGAAGATTTCTTGTTGATTTTCAACAGAAAACATTTGCTAAGGTAAAATTGATCATTCACAAACTTCTTTAGAAGGGAAACTCTTCTATTTTGATAACTTTATAAAATCATCATTTATTCTAACTCAAGTCTGACAATCATGATGGAAAAGAAGAATCCAGTGATATGCCACCAGCAGTGACAAACGCTGGTGAAGAATGGTAAGGAAATAACTGGATTACATTTTAGCCAGCCTATAGTAGTCATGTTTTGTTTCAAAGTAGACTGTGTTGAGAAGTTTGCTTGCTGTGTATGTGCATATATGGTGGATGGTAAGCATGTGGTTGTGTATGCTAGCTGTGGTTGTGTTGATATAGTGGTACTTATGGTTTTGCATGTATGTTGATGGTACACAGATGGTTGTAAATTGTACTGTGGTTGTTTATATATGGTATGGTGATGGTATGCATATAAATCCATGTGGTAGCTATGGTTGTTTATGTATGGTGATGCTTGTGCATGTATGATGATGGTACATGTATGGTTGTAAATGGTACTGTAGTTGTTTATATATGGTGATGCTTGTGCATGTATGATGATGGTACATGTATGATGATGGTACATGTATGGTTGTAAATGGTACTGTGGTAGTTTATATATGGTGATGCTTGTGCGTGTATGATGATGGTACATATATATTGTTGTTTGAAAATAAAACTTTCTTTGGATTTTATAAATAATTTTATTTAGCTTATATAAAATCCGGAGAAACTTTTATTTTTAAACAGTACAATGCCTGGATTACCAATCTTTAAACGTATATTGTTGTGTATGGTACTGTGATTGTGTATGGTAGAGTGGTTGTATGGATGACTGTGTGTAGAGGTGTTTCTTATGGTTAGGTAGATTAGCAATGTAGGAAAAGCAATAAATTCATTTGTGAAAAGATTTGAGGCACGAGCACTTAATTCATATGATAGGGTTGAATATACTGATGCATTTGGCCGTTCTAAAATGTGTATGAAAAAAGACCTCGAAGCAATGAAGGAAAAAGATAAACAAGTTAAATTAAAATCTACGGAAGATAGGTTTGTGTTGACACGTCTTGAATGGTTATTTTATCAATCTAATGTAATAAGCACGAAAACTTAAGTGTTTCTTCTTTTCTTTTATGTTCAGTAACAAGACTCTGTTGTCAGATGACATGAGAAGAGAAATAATTCGAAAAAAATGGGAGGAAGAAATTGAGGAAAGTTTAGATCAACCCATTGGTCCAGTTCATTATCAAGATCTTCTTTTTGATGGTAAGAAAAATCTGACTTCCAGAAAGCATTTCATGGAAAATCATCAGATGGTTGTCCATTTAATTTATTCTAAGTATTTTACGTCACGTTCACGCATGCTCGATGTTCTTTCTTTAGAACCACGTGATCACGGTGTGGGTTATTACCAATTTTCAAAAGTGGAAGAAGAAAGACAGCAACAGCAAGCAGCATTAAACAAACTGAGGACACAAGTATGTTTGAGAAGCCTCCATCAATATTTACATATCTTAAATTAATGAATAATGAAAGCAAGAAATTACACTGGACTGTTATTGCTCGACTGTGATTGCTCTCAAATATCAGGACAAAAATTTGTTACAAATGTTCGAAATTCCGCAGCAAAGGACAGATTAACAAACAGTTTGTCTCGTTCATTTCTCGTACGTCGGTTTTCTGTACTTTTTTTGTCAAAATTCCACTCCAAACCATGAAACCATATTATTACATACAACAGTTAATGTTTTATCTGAGAATTATTTTAAAGAGAAGCAACAACTATTAGTCAAAGACTTGGAAATCGTCTTTATGTGTTGCTATTTTATTCCCTAGTTCATTTGTTGCATCTTTTTGTTTATTTAGACTGAAGAACAACGCAGCAAACGCGAGAAACTTTTAGCACAACGTAAAGCAGCGACAGATGCACGTTTAGCAAAGATACGAGCTCGAAAACAGCGACTGACGCACGGAGAAAATGAGAAGGAAGAGGGAAAAGAAAAAGAAAAAGAAAAAGTAGAATCTGTTGATGAAACTGACAAGAAAACGATCGAAAACGATGAAAATGAAGCTGTAATTGACACTATGCTTGCAAGAATACGTAACGACAGTACAAGACTTGAAAATGCTCATTTGAATGAATGGGAAAAAGGAAAAGTTGGTAAGAAATTCTTTGGTATATTCTAGAACTTTTGTCCTACTTATCTGAAATGTCATTTTTATCCAATATCTTGCTTAGTTAATGTCATGTGTATCCTACTTTTGTTCTTCATATCAAAATGCCCTTGTTATCTTACGATTTTCCCGCTTATCCATTAAATCTAATGTCCTACCTATCCAGCGTCCTGCTTATCCTTCTTTTGTCCTATTTATCCAATCATTGTCCTACGTATCCTATTTTTGTCCTAGTTATGCAATTTTTGTCCTTATCCAAGTTTTCTCCTACTTATCCAATCTTTCTCCTACTTATCCATGTATTTCTCCTATTTATCCATGTATTTCTCCTACTTATCCATATATTTCACCTATTTATCCATATATTTCTCCTACTTATCCATGTATTTCTCATAGATTTGGAGATGTTCAACAAACCAAAAAGAAAAACACCAATTTATGACCCAAGAAGTGAACGCAATCCTGAATTTGCACCACCATCTTTCTACAACGATGACAAGAAAAACATTTCTATGGCAAAACGAACTAAGAAACAAAATGAAAAATATCAAAGCGATCCCACGACGATCCATAAGATGACATCATTTGACCATCACAACGATGATAAGCTGAACTTTCAAACCCATAAGAACAATACTGACTTTGATATTCCTGAAGCTGGTACTTCAATAAGTGATGCAAATAACCATGGCAACAGTGATGTCATCAACATCCAACAACAAGATTTGAACAAAAATTCAGACACGAGCTTTTCTGCGCCAATTATGAACTCAATTCCTGGAGACACGAATCCTTTAATGCCTCCAACGTTATGGAATAATTACAACACGAACGTCGATCCACAGAACACGCACAATAATCCCTTCAACACGTTTCAAAATACAAACTTCAATGCGCATGGCATGAATCCTCATGTCTTCAATACACAATTTCCCAACTTACCTCCTCCGCCTATCCACATTTACCCACCACCTATAAACCTCTTCAATCCAACAGTACCACCACCTTACCCGTTTCCTCCTCAATACCCTCAAAATATGCCGAATTATCCACAATCAACCACCAATAACACATCATATCCTAATGCCCCTCAATAACGCTTATTACTAAATATAAACATTGAAAGGGAAAATTGTTTGGAATATTTTAAGTATTATCTTAAATGAATTAAAAGACTATTTATGAGCGAAAAAATCGCTGAAAACTTGAATTTTACCAAAAATCTTCTGTCGTAAATGTCCGAGCTTTTAACGAACAAGGCGGACTGTACCGACTTGTAACCGACTACATACCGAAGTTTCATAGCAACAAAATGGCGTCCTCAATGTAAAATGTTTAAATTTTTTGTTTGTCTTTGAAAAGGTCAATATTCATAATGGTTATACTGCACGTGAAAAAAGGAGATGAAAGCCAATTTCTTTACGAAACAACCTGTCAATCTAAATTGTCTGATTTGATACCACAACTCATTGAAATCTACAATGGTCGTTTAAAAATTGAACGTCTTAACTATGGTAGGTAGGGTCAAGGTGTAAATGAAAATAGTCTATCTATGGCGATACATTTGAGAAACAAGCATGACTTACACCTTTAAGTGCTTGATTACGTTTTAGAGTTAGAAGAATTGTCAAAACACGGCATAAGTTTGCCAGGAAACATGCAAGGACTAACAGAAGATCAGATTAGTGATTTAAAACTACACGATAGTTGGGCAGACAAATGTTACCCAACTGGTGGTGTTAAAGAAAGTAAAGATCCAATGGGAAAGAGAAATGGTCAAGGTACCAAGGAGCTCACTCTTTGAGAAAAATTCAAAGTATAATTTACTAAGGGGAAGTCTAAAAAGGGAAAATTTGAAATCAAGTCTGATACATGTCATGGTAATTTTAACCCAGACTGTTTGTGCATCCAAGATCTCCAATGCACATTTTTGTGATAAGTTGGCACTTATACATGAAAATTATAAATCTTGTGTACAGAGTTTACAAAGTTTACACTCTGGATCTTAAGTATGTCAAAAGAGAGCAATGAAAGCTTTCAATTATTATTATATCTTAGCACCTTTAGAGAAAATGGCAGAATTAATTAACAGAACAAGAAGTGAAGCAATGGCTGATATATCAAAGGTGTTTGTTTTCTTTAAATGAAATTAAACCAATCCACATATTGCACATCGCTTAACATGTTTTCTTTGTCCACACAATGATATGACTAGTCCCAGTCTTTCCACACAATGATATGACTAGTCCCAGTCTTTCCATGCAATGATGTGACTAGGCCCAGTCTTTCCATGCAGTGATGTGACTAGGCCCAGTCTTTCCATGCAGTTGTTTTACTACTTTAATTAATGGTTACTTAAGTATTTGATACACTCCAGCGCTGGCCTGTTTATCTAAGACACCTTCAGGTTGTTTATAGAGTTCAGTGGCTATACCAATTACCTTTTTTATATGCAAATTTTTGTTTAAACTTGTTTAAACTTGTTATTGACTGTTTTGTTTCTTAAACAGAACAATGTGATGGCAAAGACATGTTTAACACAGGAAACAATAAAGAATGCTTTAGATAAACTTCGTGGTGCTGTTATGATTGTATATCCGATGGGACTTCCACCTTATGATCCAATAAAACAGGAGTTTGAGAACAATGAAGATCTCTCCGGGACACAGGTATCCATGATATCCCTCACTAGCCCTACCTCTTGACATAAAAATTTCAAACATTTGTGAATAATCTTAACATGTTGACATTTAAGATGGTTGTTACGCACATGATGCCAAAATAAAACCTGAAATTTTTTTAAAATTTCTTACTCTTACTTTGACCTTATTTATCCCACCCTTGATGAGGCATCACTCCAGGTTTTGGATAAAGATACAGGTCAGTTGTGGTGGGCGGGAAAAGAACTTCAGCGATCAAATAAACTCGAGGATTACATTGGAAAGAATGAAAAGACAAAGATTGTAGCGAAACTTCAGAAGGTGAATTTTTGTAACAGAAGCGTGTGTATTTTTTTGAAAACGTTAACATTTGGGAAGACGTCGTGAAGTTCATCGGCGTACAAAATATGCAAAAAAATTAGCTGGAATTAGTTAAAAATTTCAATGGCTTGTCTCACAGTAAATTCGTGGTAAATAATAACCATTTATAGAGAGAGTATTTTGTTAAAGGAAATAAGTTTTGAAAAAGCCTGCGTTAAAAAATAACTAGTATAAAATGAAAAGCAATTGAAACATATAGAGTTAAAATATTGCTCATTTTTTTGATCGTGACTAAAATACCACACGAGTACATACGAGTACATACGAGTACATACGAGTACATACGAGTACATACGAGTACATACGAGTACGTCTGTTGACTTGCTAATAGCTGATTATTTTAGTTTTTTCGTTTATAATACAATTTTTAAAGCCCTCGTCCATTATTCGTGTTTGTATTAATTTACGTTTTTCAAGAGGAAATTACTTTACGACAATTTAGATTTGATTCATTCGACGTTCAATCACTTAATTCCACCGAAAATTTTTTTTCAAACTTTGCGCGCTGATTGATTTAACGCTATAGCCTGCCAAAAGTAAAACCTTTTATGATACACAACTAGTATTGCTTGTAATAAAGTAAATGGTTTGAACCCGGGAGTATCGTTACATGTTTGTAAATGTGGATCGTCCAGGTTGGTATAGTCCTTAGAAGGACTGTTTTTGTTGTTGTTGACTGACGTTCCGACAACCTTAGCGGTAGTCATCTTCAGAGTCAAGAAGATGACTACCGCTAAGGTTGTCGAAACGTCAGTCAACAACAACAAAAACAGTCCTTCTCAGGACTATACCAACGTGGACGATCTACGTTTACAAACATGTAGTATTGCTTTTGTTCATCAAAAGTTTGCTTTGCGTAACTTCGACGTTGTTGTTTTAATGATAGAAAGGTCAAGGTGTTCCGAGTAGGGAGCCAGTTTTCACAGAAGAAGATAAAAAACAAATGATGTCTTATGCATATAAAAAACAAGAGGAGATGAAGGTATAACGTCATTTTTGTTGAAACGAAGGAAAATATAATGTAGTTGTTTGAAGGTTTTTGTAAATCTAACTGGAAAAGTCATAAGTCAGGACAATTAAATACGTGTATTGTAAATACCTTAAACTTTGTACCATCGTAATACAGACTTAATATGGACATAAAAATTTTGACTTCTTAAGCAATAGCTAGCGAAGATAGTATATTTGATGCCCGCATGAATATTATATATAACCAAGCTCATTTCTTGCCATTAAACAAATTGTACGCGTTTATACGTAGAAACTGGAAGCAGATGATGATGTATCATACATGAATTCATCATGGGCCGACCCTCATTCACTCAAAAGACAATTTCAAGGAGTTCGAGATGTAAAATGGCGACCTTGACATCTTCAAAATCAACCGTAGGAACATTTTTACACAGCAGCAGATTTTCGCGCCAACGTCATAGGTTCACATCGCTTATATATGGAGTCAAATATTTAGTTAATTATTTTCAAGAACATTTTGATAAACTGGTTTATTGCATGAGTATACAGGCCCAACTGATCTCGTAATATAAACGCAACTGGGTTATCTTTATTGATGTTTTATATTAATTTTTCTGTTGTAGAATTCTTGTGTAGCAAATTTTCAACTTTTGTAATGCTGTTTATTTGCACAAGAGATTTATTACAAAAGCTTTTTGAAATCATATATTTCCTTGCTTTGTCATATAATAGTTAACTATAACTTATTTTCAAAGTTCTTATGACTTGTTTACATCGATCAGAAGTCCCTCGCACCACAAAGTTGTCACAAAGTCCAATCGATATTCAGAAGTCAGCGGTAAATCACGGACCAATATTGGAGTAGGGGTATGGAGTAGAGTTAGCAAAGCATTTCGGTAATGCAGGGGAAACGATAAATACTTATTTTCCTAAAGCATAGAAAATCCGTGTTGACATTTTTTGTTGGTATATCTTTGAAGAGTTTTTAAACTGGCCTAACATGTTTTAACGCAAAGAATAAAGACGCCTCGAGGATCGAGCTTAAAGCTTTAACAAGACGATTTAACGAGCTCTCAAAATTATGAATTACGTAGCATAGACCTGTTGGACAATCTCATTTGTTGACAAAAAAACTATTTTTGAAATCTTGATGATTTGATTGGTCATCAAAAAACCATCGGAAAATTTGATTGGTTGACACAATCATTACTTAGGTGGCAAAAGCCCATTGAACGATCCGATTGGTTGCGAAAAAAATACAGGACAGAGACTATGGTTGGTGGAGTATTCGAAATAAAATATAACAATGTATAAACACGAAAACTTACCTCATCTGTTGTAATATCATCCTCTGTATCATCTTCATCACTTTTGGTATTTCTTCAACGCCATCTTCATATTTGTTATTCAATGAACTGATTAAAATCCAACAAGATGGTTTTTTGTCGTTTCCACTTAGCTCACTCTTTTTTCTTTTGGATTTTTCTTTTTACTTTTAGCTTTGCTGTCTGTCTCTTTGGAAGATTTTCTCGCCTAAAGTTTTGCGAAGGGTTCTTTAACAAGAATCGTGAGAATATAAAATAATCGCCAAAATCACAAGTATCTTTAGATGAAGAGTTATTAACAAATATCTACCAACATGACGCTCCTATTACAAATCAATTGTCTCATAACATGCCTTAAGTACCATGAAAGAAAGTTCTTATTTTGCATCATTCAACCTTAAGATGACCACGTGACGTAATGTGTCTCAACAACCAATAGATTTTAGAAAATGTGACGTATATAACACGTCAACCAATAGCGAGAATAAGATTTAGTTCCATTTTGCAAGAGATTTTATAAATGTCGATGAACACTCCAAGAATAATGAAATCTAACTAGGAGCACTAAATTCACAATATGGTTTAGGTACTTTAATATACACGGGAAATTAAAATGACTACCTGTATACTATCACGTTGATCACGTTGTTCATCTTTAATCAACTCTTCCTCGTCATAATTATACTCAACCTCCCATCCTGAGCTATCGTCTGATTTATCAAGAACCAGGCGCACATGACTAGGATACTTCAACTTGACAAAACTTTCCTCTGTTGGTACAATTTCTTCACCAAATTTGCTATCTTAAAAAACAAACGTTGACTATTTTATGTATGTTTATTGTATGGCCAGCGTCACTTCCGACAAAATGGCGCACTTTGATTGGCTCAGAAACATTTTTGCCGGTTCATTATTTTTCCGTAATCGACCACGGTCCAAAAAGCAAAATTTTACAGTCAAATGTAAACAAACTTCGTAAAGCAAACAGCAAAACAAAAAAAAAGAAACAAAAACCATTTGCGAATGTGAGTCAAAGGAAAACAGTTTAACTATCCAGAAGATACAATTTGAAACAGCAAGGTCGAGAAAGAAAGCAAGCTTCGTTTTATGTCAAATAATGCCATATAATAATCCTTTTAGTAACCTCGCTTTCTCGGTCTTTACTGAGAAATATCTGACCTTCATTTTTTTGTAGAAACCTCGCTCTACGGGCTCGGCCTGTACAAAAAAAACCTCTGTCCAATATTTGTCCGTAAAGACCTCGAGGTCGGTTATTATAAGAGCTAAGTAATGTAAGGGAGAAAAAACAATCAATTTTCCAGGAGACACATGATGCAAGAATATCAACTTTGGAACATTTACCTTTGTTTTTAGGAGGTAAACGTTTTGTGATGAACTGTTTTCCATAATAAAAATCTGCGCCGTAATGAATGTCTAAATATTCATTCAGTTTGGACAGTAATTTCTTCAACTCTTCTTTAAACATTTTTTGTCTGTCCAAGTCCAACTTGCTTATGGCCGGCAAGCGTTTTATTGCTGTCTCATCATCCTTCGTCTTACTGACGCCAAAGTCGTGTACTTTCTGTAAAATTTTGCAAAACCAAATGAATAGGCCATTCTTTGAAAAACGAAAAGCAAAAACAATAAGGTCATTCTGAAATGGCAAATCTCATTCCAACGAAAAAGCCTCTCATTTCACATGACATTGAAATACCTATCAACAAGAAACCTAGCTATGACTAATCTTTGGATGAAACAGCTGTGGATGGAATACTTAGAAATACATATATTGTATAATCTACGTGATTCCGTTATTCGTCATTAAACTGTATTTCTGTTGCTATTCCTGGCTTAAAGCGTAGACAACAAGAAAAATATTACAAAGAATGAAATAATATTGTGTTGCCGCAAATGTGTCGCGTCTCATGTGTGGCCAAACAATTGGAGGTTTGAGAAGTCTTTTTGACAAGTGCCACGTATGACTTGGCGAAGAAAACAAAAAATATACGAAAAAGTACATCAAGTAAAACTAATTTAAACTGAAATGGACATGTTAACATTTTAAAGAACACTATACTATCAGTTTTGAAATGTTTCCATTGCAAGCTCTAAGTGATAAAATTGCCTTGTTTAAAGAACTGCATGGAGGAAATTTATTAAAGAGCGCGCAAAACATGAGCATACTTTCAACAAACCTTTGCAATACCAAGGGAATTTAAAAACTTCAATGGTAATCCCTTTCTGAACGCTATATCTTTCTTCATCGCCGTACTGATGGCTTGCTCCGTTATGTTAGATAGAAAGTGACCCCATGTACTGCAATAAAATAAAGTACAATGAATCTATGTCAGTAATTTCATACCACAAACACTCAGAGAAGGGGATTTCACTTAATTTCAGAAAAATATGTAAATAATTGTACTTTAAAGGTAAAATAGAAAGTATGGTAATACACCCTTCTTATTAAGTAATCTTTGTAAGTATTCTAGTTCCCTTAACAACACCACCTCCCGTGGCGATTGTGATGTAGTCTTAAGCCGATTTAAAACGTCGGATTTTGCATGGGCCAAATGCATTTAAGGCAAAAGATAATAAGGAATTTTGTCTCATTATGTTTTGTCTTAAATGAATTCGGTGCATGTAAAAGGCGAGGTTTAAAACGAGGCTTATGCAATTAAATATAAACGTGTCAATAATGACGCATTGAAGTTGCTTTTGGGAGTGAAGAATCACCGACATGACCTTCAAATATCATACTTATTGTTCTTGTGGTGCAAAACCGTTGTCAATTGTAAAGTCTACAGGGTGTATAAAAATAGCTGCAACTCTTTAAAATCACCACACTGTTGAAATTTGCATGGCGTATTCCCAAAGAGCTGCATCAACTTGGGATTTGCCATGTGCAGCACCCGCAATTCTTTGGGGTTTTTTTTGTTTTCAATTGTGTCTACGCATCCTTAGGGATCAATTATTACTGAATCATGCAAATTCTAAATGTCGAATGTTTTCAAAGATGACCATTTTTTAATTAAACACACCGTATAATAAATACTACACTCAACTCAACAATCAAACTCCCTTGCCCTTCTCTCCTGCTGTCTGGGATACACAAAATTACTTAATACAAAACAGAAAACTTCCTACTTTGAGTAATAGCTAATAATACTCTATACACTCATAAAGCAAATAATTATAAATTCATTTTCCATAGGCAATATATTAAATTCCGCTAAAGAAACTCACTATTCTTCGTAAAACTCGATACATAAATGAGAAGATGGAAAGTCCTCAACACTGTTGACCTTAAACACTGTTCCACGTGGAAAATATAGCAAATCACCCGCCTGCAAAAGAGAATAAAAAATGAATACAAATAAAGTCCCGCTTTCTGTCACATTTCATCGGTAATTCGAACAATATTGACCTCCATAATAAATTCTTCTGAAACTTCACCAATATCTTCATCGTTCAGATCGTTATGTTCGAGAAACGCCAATTTTAGTTTTGGCTCGTACAAACTCCATTTTTTCTTGCCTTCAGTTTGAAGTATGAAAGTCTACGTACGGTAAAATTACAGTCAACATTTTAAAAAGAAAGACATTTTGATCTTTGAACGGTTTTTTAATTTTTAATTCAATTTCCCAGGATGAGGAGTAAAATGCAGGAAACATGGGAAGCCAGATGAAAAAATGTCGATTTTTGGAAACAGAATTAGCTATACAAAAACATGCAATTTCACAATTGTATGTGAATACAGAAAGATATTTTCACAGACCTCTTTGCCATTATATCCAGGTTTACCACCAAATGCGTGTTCTGGACTGACTTCGAGGAGGCAAATCATCACAGATCCAAAATATTCTTCCAACAGCAACAACAATTTATACAACTCATCCTTTATTGACAAAGCAATATAAAATCTTGCATAAGAATTATAAAGTTAAAACAGCGATGATAGCCATGTAAGTTAACAAAAGCGCATTCATGCATTCAATTTTGAGTATTTATTAAGGCCCCGTTTACACTATACCGGATTGCTATCGTAGCAGGTTGAATAATCTTTGTATTAAAAGGCAGAGAAATTGTTCAACGTCAGAAACACAATCAAACAGACAAAATTTATCAACTTAATAAGCTTTTACTCCGAGCAGTGAACCTTTAAAGCAAATGAAGATATCGTGATGAGCGAATCCGGTATAGTGTAAACGCAGCCTGAGCTAGTTCCTTGATGAAAAGATCAAATCATCATCCGTTTCATTATATTCACTTTTCAAATCAGCGAGCGCGACAAATTGTGTCGTAAATAATCAGTTCTTGAAATTGCTTTAGTAGAAATATCATACTTACGTGAAAACGATGAGGTCTTTCCAAAATAACTGTCGTGTTCTCTTTCCAAAATTTCTCCAAAGTGTCTAATGATACGACGTCTAGATCATCCATGTCAGTGCTCCCGCCATAGTGTGTGAGAAATACATCTTCGTCCCACAGTAATTTATTTGTTTCAATAACTTCTTTCAATGTCGTTTTACCAGGAAACTCTTTAAAGTATTGATCGTCATTTCTTGCCACAAACAACGCTTCTTTCTCCCAGTGTTTAGCGAAGAAATCCTCCAGAGTTGTAGGGTGAAAAAGCGAATTTACACATTGCTCGGCGCTGTCAAAACTCAACTTTGACATGCACGATTCCTTGTCGCTTGCTGACTCACTTCTTCGCTTCTTTTTGGGGATTTTGTTACTTTGCCTGGCTACTTTACGTTTAGGCATTCCCTTTCAAATTTCAGCCCGCTTTCAAACTTTTCTATCGTTTCTCAAATCAATAAGTATAGTGTATGTACAAAATGTTGAAATCATTCGAAGTTGTATTTAAATTTTCCCGCGTGGTCGTGGGTGACGTCACAAGGACATTGGCAATGACGTTATGAATTGAACAATAGACAACTTCACGGAGAAGTGAATATCAGCCACTGGAGTTATTACTCTCAGATAATACAAAGAAACGAAATATAATACGCTTAATTAAGCACATATTCATCTTTCAGACTATTTCCAACGAAAACTGCTGGTATCATTGTGACACATCGTTATGGGAAGACATTGAAAGCTGTGCAACCTCCCCGAAATTTTACAAAGCATATTAAGAAAATTTACAATGCAACATTTTTATTTTCATGAAACGTACTCAAAAGCGAACTACCTGGAAATGTCCAATTACGTATTTTAGATTTCTTATACGGAATTGTACTTGAACCAGATTCCTGGTAGGAGATTAAGTTGAAGCACTTTTGAGATTTCCAAGTGTTTAAACAATGATCATTAAAATCGTACAATTGACCACCTTTCAACTTGATTATTCTTTCACTCTTTGCCACTATGGTTATTTTGCAGACAAACAAGGCGAAGAATAAGAGATTATAACAAGTTTCAAAACGATACTTTAAGTTAATAAGATAAAACGATGTACTACAATAATAAAAACTACTTGCAATAAGTGCGATTACATTGCTGAAAGCAATTAAAATCCCGCTACAATAAGATGTGAATTTGTTAAATGATGAATGAAAAGCGGAAAAGTTAGGACGCATAATTTCATCACGAATTTAATACTTATGCTTGTAATATAATGCCATACTGGCATAAATGCACACAATCACAACGCAAAACTATACATAATACACCAAGTTGGTAATCTCTATTGAAGCAAGCGTGTTCATATAGCGATGATTTAATATATGCGTTTCCGAGAACACTTAATTTTACAAAGAATGTAACAAAGATTTTTTAAAGTTACTGGGGGTGTTGAAGAGTCATTGAAGGGTATTTAGACTAATTTGGTTGACCCCTATCGAAACAAAGTGACTACAAAGAGGTCTTTCTCGTCATGCTGAAACGTTCTTCCATATAAGAATTTCAGTGTTTGCAACCAGGAGCAACTAAAACAAACTGCTAAAATATCTATCCAAAATGCAATACCGCGCACAGCTGGAGCGACGACAAATTACAAGCGAATATTTGCTCTAAAAGTATATTACATAACTCTGCATTACATCGAACAACTATTTCTTTTTATTAAACATTTTCCAAAGTAGTTTTTTTTTGCTTGTTATATCATTGCAATTGAAATATAATAGTGAAAAACCTTCAGTAATCTTTGGAATGCTTACTAAGACAGAATATGTTAATTTTTCCGTGGGAATATAAGGCTCTGCAGTCATATGAATAACTTCGAGGTCAAAATGTGACAATGCTGGCTGGATTTGTGGACGGCTGGCTACAGATCCACTTTAAATAAAACAAATTCCTCATAGAAAATTCAGAAACGAACGAAGATTCTACAATATTTTTCGAAAGAAAATTCCTTCGAATGGACGTTTTGTCTCTAGAATTTATTTGGAATTTGTCGTATTTTCATTGTTCTTTAGTCATCAATACAAAGAAAGTGATTAATCAACAGGAGTTAAAACCATTAATGTACATAAACAAAATGTGGGGTCATGTTTCATTACAAGTTAAAGAAATACTTTTACCATGGGTACACTGCATAGATTTTTCCTGAATATTTGACTGGCAAAACGAATGCATGGCAACCTTTGAATAAACTTATAAACAAACGTTATTCTAACCATAACAACAAGTCTTACCGAAAATTCGGAAAATATTCTAACACATTTTCAACTGAGTTGTAGGATTTGAGAAAATACGAGTAAGTACTACGCAAAGAGATTTCAACGTTTTTCCCTCGCTCTCGTCACTTGTATACAAGAAACTCTTTATTCAGGGCGATGTTAAAAATACTCCTCACGCAACACGGTGTGTGGGAAACGTGGGAAATAAAACTTTTCAATAAAATTATAACTTTTCAATACAGTCGAAGTTCGTCATGTCCTCGTTGGCACAAGCAACGTGAATCAGCACATCTACAAACAGACAAATATTGTTTATGACAAAGTTCAAAAGCAATGGCACACTTTGATCTTTAGCAAAAATAGTTGTGAACTATATTTTACATAAATTTTACAACTCCAGAAATATTTATATACATATATATATACATAATTTTTGCAATATGCAATGTAAGATTATCTGACGTTTCGGCATGCTCTAAAGTGTGTAAGCACAAACATCTATTTATAAATTACATAACAAGTACTTCCATTCAAATATAAAATGAAAATGAAACTTTCACTTTCAAGTGTACGACTGCATCTTGATAAATATTGTACGAATTTCGAAATCTTAAATTCACTTGGGAAATGCATGGGCCCTGCCATTGCACAAACTTGATAATTTACAACAAAAATACCGCTATATACAACTGTCCACAATTTTCTATCAAAGGCATTTGTCCATATATTACAGATTGTGCCAATTCTTCAATATTTTAACAAGCTCCTTGGCAGTAGGACGCTCGGACAGGTCTGGATGCCACATTGATGATGTCAAATTAATGTACATAGTGTTTCGAGAGTTCAAAATAACTTCCTGGGGAAACTGAGGCCTTAGACCTTTCTGTACAACGCCAAATATGATCACAAAATGGCTTTCCCTTCCGTAAGGTTGTTCTCTAACACATAATTGCCACAAGCAAACGGCAAGCGAGTAAATATCGGCTTTTGTTGTGGGGAATCCGCCTTTCAATAGTTCAGGTGCACGATAGGTATAAGTTCCGGCAAGACTTGAGTTTGTAGGGCTTGGTGGATGGTAATCTTTAGTGTCGCTCAGTTCCACATATTGACAACATCCAAAGTCACAGATTTTACATTCAAAATCTTTATTTACTATAATATTTGCTGGTTTAATGTCCAAATGAGCGAGACCTCGCTCATGCATGAATTCAAGTCCGCTCGTGATATCCAACGCTATACGAACACGCAGAGACTCAGTAAGATCAACAAATTCATCGTCAATAACAGCTTGCAAATTTCTCTCCCCGGCAAATTCCATGATAACGAAACAATCATCGATGGAGTCCCCACTAAAAACTCCTAAAACTTCAACAAGATTCCGATGTGTATACTCCAAAAGCAAACTTTCAGCTTTCAATGTCTCTTCAGGTGCATTTCTGTTTCGTAGCTTGGATTTTAACGTCAGCTGTTTTACTGCAACCTTTTGCCATACCATATCGCCTCAAAGACCTGCCCGAATCCACCACTACCCAAAACCCGGCCAAGTTCAATTTCTGGACAATAATTCCCTTCAATATCCCAATGATTTGCACGACTGCTTATGGTATTTGTTGATCTTCTGGTGTTCGCAGGTTTCGTTTCTTCGCTTGGATGCAAAAGCATTTCGCAAGTTCGAAGATTTATCTTGGCTTTATTTTTCAAAGGCTTCATCTTCTCAAATTTGAGGAAATAATTCCTTACGACGTGTCGCTATGAGAGTAGAGTGCATGAATGAATATCGTCGCTTCGAGCCTACGTATTTCATAATGCATGTTGAAATTACAAGCACTTGAGTGGAGCCATGTCAATAACAATGTTGGCTAATTAGTGCAATCTTAGCAATTGTTGGTCAGATTCAGATAATTGTTTTCAATTAACCAATCGTCGCTTGCAAATGTTTATTAATGACCAATCAGCATGAAGTTACTATAACCGCAAAGAGTGCGGAGTTTTCCCTATCACAAAAAAATTTTGTTTTCTAAACGGACGTCAGCGCTCTCGAAGGTATTTAAACTTTACCTATCTATTGCGTGCTAAATGACGCAAACTATGGCAAATTTTTTAACGCATAAAAGCATGCATTTATCAAATGGAAGGCTCTTAAAAAATTTTTTTAAAAGTGAGTTTTCGTTATCGTAAGAAGTTGGACTTCCGTCAGCAGAAATACAACTTCCTTTATATCAAAATGCCAGAAGGGGCATGACTATACACACATGACTTAATGATCTACACCAGACACCAAAGCAGAGCATGTGGTTTTAAAAAGCCAATTTTATTGTCTCTCTTATGATAGTCAAGCATGCATTAGGAAATCATATGCTTTGTTGCTCGATCCCATTTATTGCATTATTGCAAGTTGTAGCATATTTGCAACAATCACTAAACAAAACGAAACTCGATTTACAATGCGCGGACAACAAAGTAGCATTGTATGAACTATTTTCGATTTTGGTTACTCTAAGTACCAAAATGTTAGCCTTTCATTCCAATATTCCGCTAAATTTTTTATGATTTCTCACATGAATTAATTTTGCTCTTTTCAACTGTCCATATTTCACACAAATATATAATTTATACACGAACACATCGACAAAATAGTTAAATGACACAAAAGAAACTTAAAATGAAGATTCTTCACAAATATAATAGCTGATGCACAAGTTAATGTTTTACTAAACTTGAACATACACAAGAAAAATGTATAAAATTTATCATTAAGTATATTATCAAGTCGGTAAGTGATAGCAATAGGAAGGAACATTAATAATTGTTCATTGTAGGTACAAGAAAATGTATAAAATTTATCATTAAGTATATTATCAAGTCGGTAATTGATAGCAACAGGAAGGAACATTAATAATTGTTCAGGTATGTTACATGATTACAGCTATCACAGATAAAGTCGCAGTTCCTTTCTTACTTAAATTGCTTCCAGTGTCAAGGATTTTGCAATACTGCATGTAAGAATTGCTGTTGCGAAATTCTACTGTTGGATCCGGATGGGAAATGTAATGACCTTTGATCAACAAGATTTACAAGTTGTCTTTAATAATTAGTGTAATCCAGCATAATTGCAGTATTCGTCTTCAGGAAATCATTAACGAACCATCCCCCCAGATTCACATGATTATATGTAAAACATTTCAGCTTTGATCGTTTGCGCGAACATTCCGTTGCTATGCTGAAAAATGTTGGACAATGCGGTTACATCAAATTGTAGAATGTGCTTGCATAACCATTTAACATTCATTAAATAACAAATTTCACCAAAATGTGATCAGTAACAACAGCATTTCACCATTTTGCTGATTTAATAGCAACATTTATCTGCTAACAATTAATTTTGATTTTATAGTTGCTTTGAAGTCCTATAGCAACAGTTAACTTTATTTTACCACCAGTGAGACACGAAGTTGTATTGTTTGCACTTGAAACTTAGGTCACTCCAAAACAATAGGATTTATGCCCGACGTTGATATCTTTCACAGTTTGAAATTGTATGTTAATTTGAGACGTAGTTAGTTTCAAAACAACTTTGTTATGAAAACGTGTTTATTGTTGAAGCTTGGAAGTATGCAGTGAAGCATTACATCAGAGGGAATCTTTGAATCACGTATCACAATTTACTGACGGAGACGAAGGAAGCTCAAGATCGTGGTATATTGTAAGAACGTAGTATATTTGAGTAATTTGATCTTGTAAACTTGGCGTTTTACAGTTTGTTTATTACGATTGTTTGCAGTTATTGCATAGGTAATACTGAAAACAGAGCATGCGCTGTTATACAAAACAATGCAGAGTTTAAAAGCAGGCCAAGAACAAAATCAAGCACCGAAGTTTGCGCTTAGAAATCGTAAGGGATAAAGAGACTTCGTCAACATCGATCAAGATGACAAACTTGCAAAGCATTTAGATAACGCACAATAGAAACTCTTTAAAAAGTTGAAAATTTAAGAATCCATTTCGCTGCTCACGCGTTGCAGATTAACAGAGTTGATAAAATTTTACTTGTTGCAAAGAAGGTCCAAGAAATGCAAAAAGGAAATGATTTGCTCTCTTCAGTTTTTCATTTTCAGCATTGTTCATGGTTATTCTGTAAACAGTCTTCAGTTCTGGCGAGCTCAATGAAAGAAAATGCACATAATGACGTCATATTCTCGAGTGAAAACGTCATTATAAAGAATGACAAACACACCACTACACAAGGTCAATGTCAACCATAAAATGTGTTTTACAAAATGGAACACTATGTGTTTTAGATGTAGATCGTCCAGGTTAGTATAGAAGGACTGTTGTTGATGTTAACTGACGTTTCGACAACCCTAGCGGTAGTCATCTTTAGAGTCAAGAAGATGACTACCGCTAAGGTTGTCGAAACGTCAGTCTACATCAACAACAACAGTCCTTCTCAGAACTATACTATCCTGCACGATCTACATCCACAAACATGTAACGATACTCCCGGGTTAAAACTATTTACTTTATGGAACACTATGCTTACTTTATTTTGAGACTCTTTGAAATGATGGCAATTGATAGAGGAAAATAAAGCAGTATTTTAAATTCTGGAAATAACCAGGAATTCTTTATAGGAATAATAAAGATATAGAAAATAGAGTGGTTGTGCTTTGATAGTTATTTATGAAAATCGATGCATTTCTTTTTAAAGAAAGTTTAAGAAATGTGAAAATCCAGAAACTGCATAAAACACAAATTCAAAGTCACGTGACAACACCTTCTGATAGGAATTCCAAGAATTTAATACCGTCTTTGAGTAAATAAGATCATCAACTGATATGGCTATCAAACCGAGAAAGAATTTTTCAAAAGAGTTTTGTCAGGGAAAACCCATGCTGGCTGTTCAATTCACACGTTTCTATTGTTCATACACCCTATTGTTGAATAAACATGTTTCTCCATGTGACAAACATCTTAAATGATGTTACCAAATTTGGTTTGAAAACAATGTACATTAATGATCTTCCCACAGTGAACTAAAAATAAAAAAACAATAACATGTTTAATGCAACTGCGATCCTGAATGAAAATCCATAAGTAACTCGCAAAGGACGGTGGATTAAGATTGATTAACGAGAAGCTTTACTCATATATTCATGTTATAATCCGTAATACTGTCCGTAATCAAAAATGATCCCGATACTTCATGTTATAAATCCAAAGTATTGTCCGTAATCACAATTGGTTGCAATACTTCGTGTTACAAATCCAAGTAGAACGCGCAGAACGTCTAACCCCTATTGCAAACTCGCCTTGCGCTTATAAAACAACTTCAATTTTTTTCTTCGAAAATATTGATTTTCTTTGAATGACAAATTATTAATAATGTAAAACATGCATGCGTGAAAATGTAAATGAGAATTGAAAACGATTTTTCTGCGTCATTTGGGATTTTTCAAAATATCCAGTTGTGAGAGAGCATAGTGAAATGCAACTACACAATACGTCATAAAGATTAAATCCAGTAGTTTTTCTGCACGTGCAATACGAAATTGATTCGGCAGTCAATCAGTACAGAAAATTAAGGAAACTCCCCATGACTTTTCGTTGGATTTGTATGCCTTATATTTCTAATGTATCCAGGGGGGATAATTTCTTAAGTTGCGTGCACTGACTGAATGGCAAATCAATAGAGTATAGCACAAACACAAAAATTACTGAAGATGAACCTTGTATATGTTAAGCCCTGTTCACACGACGTAAATTAACCTGGATTTAACTCAGGTTGAAAGTAAACCAGGTTAATATTTCTGCGTACTACAAAATTACTTCTTCAGATGTGTTGAATTCAACCCAGTTAAAGCCACGTTTTAGCTGAATTTTTACTGTTCAAGTAAAGTCTGGCAAATTAATAACGTGTTTACCTAATTTTATTATATGGCAAGCGTCACTTTCGGCAAAAATGGCGCGCTTTGATTGGCTCAGAAACATTTTTGCCGGTCCATTATTTTCCCGCAATCGACCACGGTCCAAAACGCGTAATTTTACAGTTAAATGTAAAAAAACTACGTAAAGCAAATAGCAAAACGCAAAAAAACGAAACAAAGAACCATTTGGGAATGTGAGCCGAAGGAAAAACATTCAGAAAACAGTTAAACTATCCAGAAGAAACAATTTGAAACGATTTCTTTTTTACTGACGAAAACTAGAGAAGTGAAAGGCAACCCGTACAAAATAGCAAAACAAAACGAGAAAGAAAGCAAGCTTCGTTTCATGTCCAATAATGCCATATAATAAACCTCACCCTACGGGCTTTGTCTGTACAAAAACACCTCGGTCCGATATTTCTCGGGAAAGACCTCGCGCTCAGTTAGGGCTTAAAAGCTTAAGATTTACCTGTTTAAATTTAAAGGTTGTATTACAAGTAACACGAACATGACGTACGTCTGTACTGGTTGTATTACCAACAAATACCAATCTTGAATTTTGAACTTGAATTATATTGAATTATAACCGATATCTTTTCGTGCGTTGTAATGCATTACTGGCTGCGATGAACCTGACAAGTAAAAAGTTTACGTGTTCAAAGGAGAAGAGCTATTTTTTAAACAAAAAAAGTTGTTGTCTTTGCATGTGTGCATGTGCAAATGAATTTTAAACAAACATACAATCGTAAATCCTTTAATTGGCTTTAAGTTATATAAATACAAAGTTCACATGTATATCACGTTCTTATAGCAAGACATGACTATGACCCATGAGCGTAAAATTATTTTTAAATGCTTTAACTAAATTTAGCAACATTTTACGTCATTTAAGAATTTGTTAACCGCACGTTATGCAAATTAGATAATCTGTAAAAACCACGATGCGTCCAAACGCTTGAAAAGAATAAGGAAATACAGAAAAATGAACATCATTATTTTATTATCATATTCGTGCGTAAGAAAATTTTCGCACACATCAACAGGAAAAAGCGTTTTTAAACTTTAACAAGCAAGCATTTAGCTAAAAATCAAGAGTGCTTTTATATCCCGACCTCAATATTTTTGGGACGTTGCTGCTGAGGTCGAAAGGCTTTATCGCTATGAAAAAAGAACGTGTTTTTGATTTGAATAGGCAAGGTTTAAGGTATGAGCTTCATTATTTAAAACTTGACTGCAAACAGTTCTTTAATAACAAATTATCGAGTGATTTAATTCTGACCACAATAACATTGAGGTGTTTCACTATTTAAGACTTGAGTAACGAAAATTGGAGACGTTAACCACATACCCCCACAGCCAAATATGTAAAAAAATATTGCAGTTTTCTTGGATTTGTAAATGTCCTATAAAAGCTCATTCCACTCCCCCCCCTGAAAGTCTGAAACATTACATAAATGAGACATTAGTAAGAGTTGAATGATTTTGCCATTCAAACAATCTGTATATGATTAGAGTATCATTTTCATTGCGCTATTTTGCTTGAAGCAAAATTCGAAATTCGTTAATTTTGAATTCAAAAACTTAACAACTTTTCGACAGAAAACTAACAATGCGACATAAACAAATTCGACCCTAATATAAGGCGATCCTGAACGATGACTTATTGGAAATACATTACCATCCCTTATGGCCCATCATGATTCACTATGATCCATTATGATTCATTATGACTTTTTTTTAAAAATGTTTACTGTGATTGCGCCATTGAAATGAATATAACTGTTAAAGGGGAGAACTCGAAAGTAGATCAGTGCAAGCCTGAGACCGAAGGTCGAGAGTTGCACATGCTCGAAAGTTTTCACAAACATCTCCGAGGTTTGCATAAGCCAGTGCAAACACGAAAAACATCTTTTATTTCTTTTATAAATATTAATATTGCAAAAAAGACAAACATTTCAATTTTCCCTCAAATTGTACCAGCTCAACCAATCAAATCAATCAAAACATTACAAATGTATTCATGATCGATTTGCAAATTCTCTTTGACTGATTGATTGTTTTGATTGATTTGATTGGTTGAGCTCAGATGTGTTTTACACAAGCTAATGCAAACACGGCTCTAGACCAATAACCGCACGCGTTTTACTGTGTTTATTTTATAATAATTATTAGTCAACACTGAGCAACTGGTCCAAGTGAAAAATTTACGATGTTTGAATATAAATTTTAAATATATTCAGAAATAATAATGAGAACAATGTGAATTCACTTTATTGGTGAGTTAATCTCACTAAAAGGAAATTCATAAGCATGATGGCGATCCTCAATATTAAATTATCGAAGAGAAACGTGGACAGTTTAATGAGAAATAAATTTAAATAAAATCAAAGACAATTCATCATGTTAACAATCAAGAAAGAAAGATATATTTCTAATTGTTCCTTAAACTACATTGAGTACATTAAAATTTTTACTTAAATTGTTTACTGTTCCTGAATCTTACGATGAAACAAATTAAAAATCTTCCCGACAATTCTCTTTATCTCTTTGTAATATTGAGGAGATAGAAGAAGCCAATGGATCACGTGAACAAGTGGGAAACTAATGACTAAAGGCATGAAAAAGAAGATGATACGATCTAAAGTAAGGTTTTCTTCGTCGTAAAATACATTGTAGATCACAATACAAGTATACATCGGAAGTGTTAAGACAATCAGCTCTAAAATGTAAGTAAACATCACTATTGCTAGCCTTGAATTTTTTGCAATGATGACGGATCCTTGTTTTTGTTCAGACAAACTAAATGTTTTTAAAAGCGTCTTTTTCCTTTGATATAATGTCTTGGTGATTTTAAAATATAACATCGAGAGAATAACGGTCAAAATCCAAAATATACCGACTTCTATCGTCAACAACATTTCTGTGTAAAATTCAAAATCCTCAACAAAACTGGGGACAATGAGGAGTACGAGTGAGAATATTATCCATACTGGTCCCACGATAGCAATAACAGTTCTAAATTTGGGTGTTAACATTTGAAATTTTATGGGTGTTACAATAAGACCATAATTATTTAGTGCCAAACAGAGGGTTATGAGATAGTATGTAGGCAGATACATGGATAAAGCTCGGATCATGACAGCGGTACCGAATCCAAAGATCATATCAAAGATAGCGACACCATATATGAAAATATTAGAGATACAAGCACATGCTAAAAGTAGACTATTGTTCTTTCTAGTAGAAGAATGATATGTCTTGTAAATAACGTAAAAAAATATCAGATTGGAAAGAAATGAAAGCACAACCAAAATATCATGGATTATGACCATAACCTCATAGTTATCAACAACGTTTGTTGGAAAACGAAACCATCCTATATCAAAGAAATCAGGTTTACTGTTATTTCTTGTGAGGTTAAAATACATCTTGAGGCGGTCAACAAGTATTGAGAAAGATGTGAGTGCTTCAGCGATAAAGTCTTGATAACGGATTTCAAAGAAATGTATCACTCTCTCCCTCTTTCTGTAGTTGGCTAGCTGTTGGTTTTGGCGGTCACTAGTTTTGCTACAGATGGTTTTATGTATAAAAAATAACAATTGCAAGTCTTTCAGTTGACTCCTTGTCGGTTTTGGTGGCGATCATTACAGATGGTTTTATCCAAATAACAATTGCAAGTCTTCAAGTCTTTCAATTTTTCATTCTTCACGGTGCTTGCTCCTTCTTTCGCAATAACAATTCGCTCAGACTCTTCAAACAAAAGTACTTATCTCTTTCAAACGTAAGAATGTGTTTGTCTTTAACTAAATAGAAGTAAATTCTTCGATGACCAAAGTTTAATCTCACGATTATAAATCTTTATTAAACGAACTGCACCAAAAAATATTGTTGTGAGAGCTGTAGAACAGCTACTGATTCCATCAAGATGTCAACGACGAAATATTTTTCATGAACGGAGAAATGGAATCAAAAGCCAACGTACGTAGTTGTCTGTTATCTGTTTACATTCGCCTTTTCAAGCCGCCATTTATAGAGAAATCAAAACAACTGGAATTATTGAAAAATGGCAATCGTCGATTCTCGTCTTCACAGTTTCTCCACTTTTTCCACGTTGAAAAAAAAGAATCGTTTGAATCATCGATAAATATCAAAATACAAAAAGAGTGAATGTTTACAGATACGCGTTCTTAAAGCATAACCAACCGTGACGATACACGAAGATTCAATAAGAGTAATACGTCAAACTAGCAAATTATATATTCATTAACGTATTACATTTCTTTGTCAAGGTGACGTTCATTAACGCATAAATCGGTAAGAACAGAGATCATTTCTCATTGTTATTAAACATTGATTACCTATGGCAAAAAAAAATACGTTGTGTGATATCTTATGCAGGCAGCTACAGTGGATTGAAAATGTTACAGTTCAAAACTGTCTCAGATAGTTCATATGAAATTTTGATTTAGTATCTATTTTAGCTACAATAGCTATTTTACAGATAGTACTTTCTATTCAAAATCGTCAGGAAAGGATTGTGTATTATATATTCAATTTTACTGTGACAACAAATAAAGATATAAAAAATTAGATCATTCAACTGAATAATTCGTAGAGAAACATATGTATAAGTTTTTTTATACTATCTCGGCTCTGAAAATGAATTATTTCTTAAAAATATCAATTTCGTAACGCAAACTTCTGACGACAACAAAAGATATGTACGAACATATCGTTGTTAACGTTGTAAAACAGGAAATATTAAGTATAATTATTAAATAAATTACTTTTTGAAATGAGCGAAACATCTCCAAGATTCGGTTGCACGAAGTTTAGATAACGTTATCAATTGGATAAAATTTTGTAGTTGTATCGAAAATCTCTCTAAATCCAAGAAGTTTTGATTCAAACTCGACAATCAATAAAAAGAATTTCTCATTTAAAAATAAAAAACTTTCATTATTTTAAAGTAAAAAAGAACCACATGAGCAGCAGAAATTGGAGACTTTAAACACACACCACGCAGCCATTAAAATTATGTAAAAAAATATTGCAGTTTTCATGGATTTGTGAATTACACATGAAAGCTCATTCCACTCCCCCCTGCAACATTTCAGAGGATGAGATCACTAGAACATTGAGAGGTAATAACAACTGAAATTTTGTCATCCAAATAATCTGTGTATAATTAGCGTATCATTTTCATACTTGAAGCATAATTTTCAGATGATATGCATAAATATGCAGTAGTTAAGCTGCATAGCAAAGATGAAATACTTTTGTACAAATTTATTCACGGGAAAGAATAAAAAAATATAGTTGTTCAATGATGTCATCAAAATGGTGTCAGTGAAAAGTTGAACAACGACACAATTTTACCATTTTGCCACAATTTTAACCAACTTCATGTGTTTTTGTAAGAAAAGGGAGGGAGCCTTCTTCAACACTAAATTCCAAATTTTTTAATTCTAAATTAAACAACGTAACAACTTTCCGACAGAAAACTAATAATGCGACATAAAAAAAATTGACCGTGATATAAGGCGATCCTGAACGATGACTAATTGGCAATACATTACTATCTTTATGAGCCATTATGATACACTATGATCCATTATGATCCATTAAGATTCATTTTATAAAAATGTTAGCTGTGTTCGCACCATTGAAATGAATAGAACTGTTATATTCACTTCAATGGTTTGCACAGGCTTATCCACAGGCTTATCCACAGGCTTATGCAAATCGAAGAGACCTTTGGAAGAGCTCGAGAGCAGATCAGTGCAAGCCAGAGACCGAAGGTCGAGAGTTGTACATGCTCGAGAGTTCTCACAAATGTCTCCGAGGTTTGCATAAATGCAAACACGAAAAACATCTCTTTTTTCTTTTATAAAATAACAATAATGCAAAACCGACAAATTTTAAACAAACGTTTTGATTTTTCCTCTAAAATATTTTCGTGTACAATACTCAATATTCAAACATTATATATTCATCGACCAAAAAACGTTTTTTACTGTTGTAGATGAGTGGCGAGATTTTTACCATGGGCAACAGACAAAAAGATCGATATCATTAAATATTAGTCAACACTGGGCAACTGGTCAAAGTGAAAAATTTACGATGTTTGATTAAAATTTTAAATATATTCAGAAATACTAATGAGAAAAATATGTATTCACTTTGTTCATGGGTTGGAATCAAAGTAAAAGAGTTTGAGAATATTTCCTATTGCCATTATCAATTTAATCTCACTAAAAGGAAATTCATAAGCATGATGGAGATCCTTCAATATCAAATAATCGAAGAGAAACGTGGACAGTTTAATGAGAAATAAAATTTAAATAAAGTCAAAGACAATTCAGACAGTTTAATGAGAAATAAAATTTAAATAAAGTCAAAGACAATTCATCATGTTAACAATCAAAAAACAAACATATATTTTCAATCGCTCCTCAAGCCACATTATGTACATTAAAATTTTTACTTAAATTGTTTACTGTTCCTGACTCTTACGCTGAAACAAATTTAAAATCTTCCCGACGATTCTCTTTATCTCTTGGTAATACTGAGGAGATACAAAAAGCCAGTGAATCACATGAACAAGAGGTAAACTTATGACCAGAGGAATCAAAATAAAGATGATACGACTTAAAGTAAGGTTTTCTCCGTCGTAAACTATACTCTGTATTACAACGCAAGTATATATCGGAAGTGTTAAAACAATCAGCTCTAAATTGTAAATAAACATCACTTTTGCTAGCCTTGAATTTTTTGCAATGATGACGGATCCTTGTTGTTGTTCAGACAAATTAAATGTTTTTAAAAGCGTCTTCTTCCGATGATATAAAGTCTTGGTGATTTTAAAATATAATAACGATAGAATAATGGTCACAATCCAACATATACCGACTTCAGTCGTCAACAACGTTTTTGTGTACAACTGAATATCCTTAACAAAACTGGGGACAATGAGGAGTACGAATGAGAGTATTATCCATACTGGTCCCACGATGGCAATAACAGTTCTTGGTTTGGGTGATAACACTTGAAACTTTATGGGTGTTACAATAAGACCATAATTATTTAGTGCCAAACCGAGGGTTATGAGGTAGTATGTAGGCAGATATATGGATAAGCCTCGGACCATGAAAGCGGTACCGAATCGAAAGATCATATTTAAGATAGCGAAGCCATAAACGAAAATATTACAGATACAAGTGCATATCAAAAGTAGACTGTTGTTCTTTCCAGTAGAATGAAACGTCTTGTAAATAACGTAAAGTAATATCAGATTGGAAAGAAGTGAAAGCAAAACCAAAATATTATGAACTGCGACCATAACCTCATAGTTATCAACAACGTTTGTTGGAAAATCAAACCATCCCAAATCAAAGAAATTAGGTTCACTGTTGTTTCTTGTGAGGTTAAAATACATCTTGAGATGGCAACAATTATTGAGAAAGATGTGAGTGCTTCAGCGATAAAGTCCTGATAACGGATTTGAAAGAAATGTATCACTCTCTCCCTCTTTCTGTAGTTGGCTAGCTGTTGGTTTTGGCGGTCACTAGTTTTGCTACAGATAGTAAATAATAAATGCAAGTCTTTCAGTTGACTACTTGTTGGTTTTGGTGGCGGTCATTACAGATGGTTTTATCCAAATAACAATTTCAAGTCTTCAAGTCTTTCAGTCTTTCATTCTTCACGGAGCTTGATCCTTCTTTCACAATAACAATTCGCTCAGACTCTTTAAACAAAAGTACTTATCTCTGTGAAACGTCGGAATGTGTTTTTTCTTTAACTAAACAGAAGTTAATTCTTCGATGACCAAAGGTTAACCTCACGAAGATAAATCTTTATTAAGCGTACGGCACCAAAAAATGTTGCTGTAATATATACAGTACCAGTATTGATTTTATCAAGATGTCAACGATGAATTACTTTTTCATGCAATCTGTTTACATTCGTCTCTTCAAGCAGCCATTTACAGAGAAATCAGAAGAGCTGGAATCATTGAAATATGGTAATCACCGATTCTCGTCTTCACTATTTCTTCACTTTTTCCACTTTGAAAAGAAATAATCGTTTCAATCATCGATAGATATCAAAAATACAAAAAAAGATGAATGTTTACAGCTCCGCCGTCTTTTAAAGCATGACCAACCGTGACGATACACAAAGATTCAATGGGTGTAGATAAAAAGCGGGCGCGGACGACGGACGCGGACGCGGACGCAGACGACGGACGCGGACGGCGGACGCAGATGTAAGACGAACGTCTGTTTGTTGTGGGCGGGAATTGCAAATGATTTATTGTAGGAGTTTGACAGTAATTTAAACGAGCTTTAACTTTCAGGAAATATTTTTTAACCACATTAATAAAAACAATTAAACATGCATATTTCAATTTCAGTCAGTCATATAGAGTGTACCGCAATGAAACCTCATTGTATTTTTTTCGTGTTTTGTCAATGGCATTTCACTCATGTTGGCCTTACGTGGGTGAGCCTGTTCATATTTACTGCACTATAATGATTTCCGTCAACTTGTCATTTGGCAAGCAGTACGTATATTACAGTTTTCAACTTTAACTTCCTTTTGAAAGCTGAGGTTAGAAGCAGTTGCAAGTTAGTCAGTGCGTCATTTACAGTCATGTTTGCTGTAGCTATATGACAACTTTTGATGAATATTAGCCAAACGCATTCAAAAAGCGTTATGATATTTTCCGTCGTAATTTCCGTATAACTTAGAGTCAAATTAAAAATTCTGTTTCACTGCATTCTTTCAGTCATAGCAATAGAAATATCGTCGCTAGGTTAGTTTCCGTTAATATATCGAAAGAGCTATATACAAGTTCTTTGTTTATTTGCTTGAATCTTTCTTTTTGCAATGCGTGAGAAACTATAACGCTAGCGATTCATCTATAAAAGAAGGATTGACTCATGTTTTTCAATATAACTACCGTTCGTATCTAAGGATGCAAGTAATTATTTCTATCACATAGAATTACCTCAGTGACTTAAAGTTAAAACGAATTGTGTTAAAGAAATATGGACCAGCAGAGAAGTGGGACCTCAACAAATATTCTTATCTTATCTTTAAAAAGGAAATTACCTTTAGGACAAATTTTGCATAAGTGCATGCAAAGCTTTTACTTACTTATGGTTTCAATTAATACATATTTTCTTTATCGTATGATTTGAGTAATATAAGATTGACGTTTTTTAAAATTGGAAAAGCAAGGCTCACCCACGTAGGGCAAACATGAGTGAAATGCCATTGACAAAACACGAAAAAAATACAATGAGGTTTCATTGCGTTACACTCTATATGACTGACTGAAATTGAAATATGCATGTTTAATTGCTTTAAATAATGAGGTCAAAAAATATATCCTGAAAGTTAAATTGCGTTTGGCTAATATTCATCAAAAGTTGTCATATAGCTACAGCAAACATGACTGTAACTGACGCACTGACTAACTTGCAACTGCTTCTAACCTCAGCTTTCAAAAGGAAGTTCAACTTGAAAACTGCAATATACGTACTGCTTGCCAAATGACAAGTTGACGGAAACCATTATAGTGCAGTAAATATGAACAGGCTCACCCACGTAAGGCCAACATGAGTGAAATGCCATTGACAAAGCACGAAAAAAATACAATGAGGTTTCATTGCGGTACACTCTATATGACTGACTGAAATTGAAATATGCATGTTTAATTGTTTTTATTAATGTGGTTAAAAAATATTGTACAAATAATAAATCATTTGCAATTCCCGCCGACAACAAACAGACGTTCGTCTTACATCTGCGTCCGCCGTCCGCGTCCGCGTCCGTCGTCCGCGCCCGCTTTTTATCTACACCCAGATTCAATAAGAGTAATACGCAAACTAGCAAATTATATATTCATTAAATGACAACATTTCTTTGTCAAGGTGACGTTAATTACACAGAAATCGGTAAGAACAGAGGGTATTTCTCGTGGTTATTAAGCATGGATTAACCATAGCAAAAATGAACGGTGTTTGATATTTTATAGGCAGCTACAATTGGCGGAGACGTTTGTGAGAACTCTCGAGCGATCTTCGATAAATATCAAAAATACAAAAGATTGTGAGTGAATATTAAAAATTCACGGCTTAGAGCCATGACCTTTCGTGACGAGCACAAACATTTAATCGAAAATACGCCAAACTAGAGCAAATCATATATTCTAATCTTTATTAACTAAATTCAGTCCTTATCAATCTAAGGTTATATTACAGTTATTATCATAGAAATCATTAAGAGCAGAGAGTATTGTCATGATCATTTAATATTCATTGACAACGGCAAAAAAACACAATGTACAATATTTTATAGCTGCAATGGATTCAAAATACTACAGTTGAAAACCGTCTCGGTTGGTTTACGCAATCTCAAATTTGAGTTTAAAATAGAGAAGTTTTAATACAGTTCTTTATATTTAAAATCATCGTCCGGAATAGATTGTGCACACAATGTCCTGTTGACTGACAACAAACATAAAGAAAAAAAAACTAATTAGACTATAAAAATAAACAATAGGTAAAAAAGCATATCAATAAATATTGGATATTACAAAAAATTTCTCGACTCTGAAAATAAATTATTGCTTTCATGCAGGAAAATGTCAATTTCCATATGCAAGCTTTTGACAACATTGTAAGATATGTACGTACATAATTTTGCTAACGATCGCGATGTGAAACAGGAAATAATACGTTTAATGATTAAATCAATTACTTTTTTAATAAAGACTTGAAACGAGTGAAAGGTACATCTCCAAAACTCGGTTGTACGAAGTTTAGATAACGTTGTTAATTGGATAAAATGCTAATTTGTAGTTGCATCAATAATTTGACTCTCTCCAAAGCCAAAAAGCTATCATTAAAACTGGACAATCAATAGAACTTTAATTCAAAGATAAAAAAGTTTCATTATTGTAAAGTAAACATAACCACATTTTTAAAAAAAATTGGATCACAAATTAGATCACTTAGTGGTAAAAACAGTTGAAATTTTAGTCACCTAAACTGTCTGGGCATGGTTAGCATATTTATACTCGAAATTTTGCAAAAGAGATAACGAAATAAACACAATGAAACGCGTGCGTTGATTGGTCAAGAACTGTGTTTGTTGTAAATTCTCATGTCAAGTTATGTAGCCTGTGACTGTGTTGTATTATAGATTATAAATGATATTATTGAATTGATGGAAAATACCTAGATAGATAAAAATTTCTGTGATAATCCTGTACGTAAAACTAAAATACTATAGTCATGTCAAGGAAACACTTTCTCATCGCAATGCGTCATTGAGGTAGGACGTAGATGGAAACAAAACTCCAGAAACGGAATGGTAAAGTTGCAAGTCATGTAAACGCCTAAAACCACTTCCTAATAATTATATATAAATATAGCTTGCAAGCGTTGGTTCGGGAGTTCGGAAAAGTTGACGTTGTTGGTGCATGAGCTAGTCATACAAATTTGATAATTTAGAGTCGTATTGCAGAAGGCAATAAAGTTGGGAAACTCAGTTTAATGATTGACTGTTGTCCGTAGTATGAATGTTTTATGCAGTGCGGTGTTTGAAATTAAATGAAGATATGATCTTCGCACTTTTCTGGACAATTTAAGCAATCGTCTCAGGAACCTGAAAAAATCAGGTGACTCAACGGGATTCGAACCCATGACCTCTGCGGTGTCGGTGCAGTGCTCTGACCAACTGAGCTATGAAGTCACACAGTGGTGAGCAGGTCAATATTGTTGGGCTCATGTTTTCTCGTGAAAGGAATGTCGTATGAATGTTTTATGCAGTGCGGTGTTTGACATTAAATGAAGATATGATCTTCGCACTTTTGCTGTACAATTTAAGCAATTGGGATCCCGTTGAGTCACCTGATTTTTTCAGGTTCCTGAGACGATTGCTTAAATTGTCCAACAAAGTGCGAAGATCATATCTACATTTAATGTTGTCCGTAATCTTAACAATATCAATTTAAATATCACGTATCGCGAAGAACCAACGTTTGGAACTCCGTAACGTAAAAATCGTGCACATCATTGTAAATATCCTATCAAAGTGTTAAATATAATTGTCAAAATACAGTCCCATCGTTCGAGTGAAGTTTGAGAACAGTGAACGAGCACTTCGCACAGATTGTGCGAAAGTGTTTGTATTAGCCTGTGCAAAACTATCTGAGCTCAACCAATCAAATCAATCAATCAATAAAAGAGAATTTATAAGAATATTAAAACTTTTTTTTGTTTCGCATTATTTTTATTTTATAAAAGAAATAAAAAATTTTTTTGTGTTTGCACTTGCTTATGCAAACCTAGGAGACGTTTGTCAGAACTCTCGAGCAGGTGCAACTCTCGACCTTTGGTCTTGGGCTTGCACTGATCTGCTCTCGAGTTCTCTCAAAGGTCTCCTCGGTTTGCATAAGCCTATGTAAACACAGTAAACATTTTTTATTTCTTTATTATTAGTAGAAGAGTATTTCTTATCATGTAACTGTACATTGAACATCATTATCATTGTTCAAACAAAAACGTACATGTATTGTGTTTTTTTAATGGCTCATAGCTCGTTGCTCTATAATGAACGTGTTCAATAAATTGTCAAGTTGGCGGAAATCAAATACCACAAAAATGATGAAAACATGCAATAAATAAGATATTAAATGTCTCAAAGTATCTTTTTTCCAATAAAGAGACACTATTGGCAAACCGAGTATCAAATATAAGAAGAGTTAATTTCTACAATAAAATATAAACAGGAAAGAGAAGCACTACCTTCAAACTATGTATTTTCACCAATTCAAGACAATAACCAGAACGTTAATTTGGGGAGGGGGGGAGGGAGTAGGAGTGAAAAATGTTTACAAAGCAAATTATTCGTTATTATTTTCTGTGTATCATCTAAATTTTTCAACGTGATGCATAAATATATAGTGGTTTAGCTCCGTAGCAAATATCTTTAAAAAAATTCATGCAATAAAAAATTCGTTGCTAAATGATAGCATGTCAGATACAAAGTTGAGCCAAGGCAAACTTTTACAGTTTTACCACAGAATTAAAAAACTTCACGATTTTTTTATGAACAGGAAGAATTCGACATATTCCGACTTCATTCGTTTTAAACAAACAATCGCTATAAGGACAGCAAACTAATAAAGAATGCAATATACATGACTCTGACCGTAATAGAGAGTGATCCTGAACAGAATAGTGGAAATGGCGATCCATAATGATCCATTGGAACTTGAAAACCTTTCACATTTGTTCTATAAGAAATAAATGTTAATAAATATGTTATTTGCGTGAGAATAAAAAATCACAAATTACGCAATTATGGATTCCACGTAAAGGCTAAGAAACTATTAAGAAAAAACTCCTCACATGCTACACATGTAACTACCGTTAACAACCTACCATTACATATGTATCATACTGAAGTGGAGAGTACTCTAAACAACCTACCATTACATAAGTATCATACTGAAGTGGAGGGTACTCTAAATAACCTACCATTACATATGTATCATACTGAAGTGGAGAGTACTCTAAACAACCTACCATTACATAAGTATCATACTGAAGAGGAGGGTACTCTAAACAACCTACCATTACATATGTATCATACTGAAGTGGAGAGTACTCTAAAAACCTACCATTAAATAAGTATCATACTGAAGTGGAGGGTACTCTAAATCACCTACCATTACATATGTATCATACTGAAGTGGAGGGTACTCTAAACAACCTAACATTACATATGTATCATACTGAAGTGGAGGATACTCTAAACAACCTACCTTTACATATGTAACATACTGAAGTGGATGGTACTCTAAACAACCTACCATTACATATGTATCATACTATAGTAGAGGGTACTCTAAACAACCTACCATAACATATGTATCATACTGCAATAGAGGGTACTCTAAACAACCTACCATTACAAATGTATCATACTGAAGTGGAGGATACTCTAAACAACCTACCATTACAAATGTATCATACTGAAGTGGAGGATACTCTAAACAACCAACCATTACATATGTATCATACTGAAGTGAAGGGTACTCTAAACAACCTACCATTACATATATATCATACTGAAATTGAGGATACTCTAAACAACCTACCATTACCTATGTATCATACTGCAGTGGAGGGTACTCTAAACAACCTACCATTACATATGTATCATACTGAAGTGGAGAGTACTCTAAACAATCTACCATTACATAAGTATCATACTGCAGTGGAGGGTACTTGAAACAACCTACCATTACATATCTATCCTACTAAAGTGGAGGGTACTCTAAACAACCTACGATTACATATGTATCATACTGAAGTGGAGGGTACTCTAAACAACCTACAACTACATATGTATCATACTGAAGTAGAAGATACTCTTAACAATCAACCATTACATATGTATCATACTAAAGTGGAGGATACTCTAAACAATCTACCATTACATATCTATCATACTGAAGTGGAGGGTACTCTAAACAACCTGCGATTACATATCTATCATACTGAAGTGGAGGATACTCTAAACAACCTACCATTACATATGTATCATACTGAAGTGGAGGATACTCTTAACAACCTACCATTACATATGTATCATACTGAAGTGGAGGATACTCTAAACAACCTACCATTACATATGTATCATACTGAAGTGGAGAGTACTCTAAACAACCTACCATTACATAAGTATCATACTGAAGTAGAGGGTACTCTAAACAACCTACCATTACATATGTATCATACTGAAGTGGAGGGTACTCTAAACAACCTACCATTACATATGTAACATACTGAAGTGGATGGTACTCTAAACAACCTACCATTACATATGTATCATACTATAGTAGAGGGTACTCTAAACAACCTACCTTTACATATGTATCATACTGCAGTAGAGGGTACTCTAAACAACCTACCATTACATATGTATCATACTGAAGTGGAGGATACTCTAAACAACCTACCATTACAAATGTATCATACTGAAGTGGAGGATACTCTAAACAACCTACCATTACATATGTATCATAATGAAGTGGAGGGTACTCTAAACAACCTACCATTACATATGTATCAAACTAAAGTGGAGAGTACTCTAAACAACCTACCATTACATAAGTATCATACTGAAGTGGAGGGTAATCTAAACAACCTACCATTACATATGTATCATACTGAAGTGGAGAGTACTCTAAAAACCTACCATTAAATAAGTATCATACTGAAGTGGAGGGTACTCTAAACAACCTACCATTACATAAGTATCATACTGAAGTGGAGGGTACTCTAAACAACCTACCATTACATATGTATCATACTGAAGTGGAGGGTACTCTAAACAACCTACCATTACATATGTAACATACTGAAGTGGATGGTACTCTAAACAACCAACCATTACATATGTATCATACTATAGTAGAGGGTACTCTAAACAACCTACCATAACATATGTATCATACTGCAATAGAGGGTACTCTAAACAACCTACCATTACAAATGTATCATACTGAAGTGGAGGATACTCTAAACAACCTACCATTACAAATGTATCATACTGAAGTGGAGGATACTCTAAACAACCAACCATTACATATGTATCATACTGAAGTGAAGGGTACTCTAAACAACCTACCATTACATATATATCATACTGAAATTGAGGATACTCTAAACAACCTACCATTACCTATGTATCATACTGCAGTTGAGGGTACTCTAAACAACCTACCATTACATATGTATCATACTGAAGTGGAGAGTACTCTAAACAATCTACCATTACATAAGTATCATAATGCAGTGGAGGGTACTTGAAACAACCTACCATTACATATCTATCCTACTAAAGTGGAGGGTACTCTAAACAACCTACGATTACATATCTATCATACTGAAGTGGAGGATACTCTAAACAACCTACCATTACATATGTATCATACTGAAGTGGAGAATACTCTAAACAACCTACCATTACATATGTATCATACTGAAGTGGAGAGTACTCTAAACAACCTACCATTACATAAGTATCATACTGAAGTGGAGGTACTCTAAACAACCTACCATTACATATGTATCATACTGAAGTGGAGGGTACTCTAAACAACCTACCATTACATATGTAACATACTGAAGTGGATGGTACTCTAAACAACCTACCATTACATATGTATCATACTATAGTAAAGGGTACTCTAAACAATCTACCATTACATATCTATCATACTGAAGTGGAGGGTACTCTAAACAACCTGCGATTACATATCTATCATACTGAAGTGGAGGATACTCTAAACAACCTACCATTACATATGTATCATACTGAAGTGGAGAATACTCTAAACAACCTACCATTACATATGTATCATACTGAAGTGGAGAGTACTCTAAACAACCTACCATTACATAAGTATCATACTGAAGTGGAGGGTACTCTAAACAACCTACCATTACATATGTATCATACTGAAGTGGAGGGTACTCTAAACAACCTACCATTACATATGTAACATACTGAAGTGGATGGTACTCTAAACAACCTACCATTACATATGTATCATACTATAGTAAAGGGTACTCTAAACAACCTACCATTACATATGTATCATACTGCAGTAGAGGGTACTCTAAACAACCTACCATTACATATGTATCATACTGAAGTGGAGGATACTCTAAACAACCTACCATTACATATGTATCATACTGAAGTGGAGGATACTCTAAACAACCTACCATTACAATGTATCATACTGAAGTGGAGGATACTCTAAACAACCTACCATTACAATGTATCATACTGAAGTGGAGGGTACTCTAAACAACCTAGCATTACATATGTATCATACTGAAGTGGAGGGTACTCTAAACAACCTACCATTACATATGTAACATACTGAAGTGGATGGTACTCTAAACAACCTACCATTACATATGTATCATACTATAGTAAAGGGTACTCTAAACAACCTACCATTACATATGTATCATACTGCAGTAGAGTACTCTAAACAACCTACCATTACATATGTATCATACTGAAGTGGAGGATACTCTAAACAACCTACCATTACAAATGTATCATACTGAAGTGGAGGATACTCTAAACAACCTACCATTACAATGTATCATACTGAAGTGAAGGGTACTCTAAACAACCTAGCATTACATATGTATCATACTGAAGTGGAGGGTACTCTAAACAACCTACCATAACATATGTAACATACTGAAGTGGATGGTACTCTAAACAACCTACCATTACATATGTATCATACTATAGTAAAGGGTACTCTAAACAACCTACCATTACATATGTATCATACTGCAGTAGAGGTACTCTAAACAACCTACCATTACATATGTATCATACTGAAGTGGAGGATACTCTAAACAACCTACCATTACAAATGTATCATACTGAAGTGGAGGATACTCTAAACAACCTACCATTACATATGTATCATACTATAGTAAAGGGTACTCTAAACAACCTACCATTACATATGTATCATACTGCAGTAGAGGGTACTCTAAACAACCTACCATTACATATGTATCATACTGAAGTGGAGGATACTCTAAACAACCTACCATTACATATGTATCATACTGAAGTGGAGGATACTCTAAACAACCTACCATTACAATGTATCATACTGAAGTGGAGGATACTCTAAACAACCTACCATTACAATGTATCATACTGAAGTGGAGGGTACTCTAAACAACCTAGCATTACATATGTATCATACTGAAGTGGAGGGTACTCTAAACAACCTACCATTACATATGTAACATACTGAAGTGGATGGTACTCTAAACAACCTACCATTACATATGTATCATACTATAGTAAAGGGTACTCTAAACAACCTACCATTACATATGTATCATACTGCAGTAGGGTACTCTAAACAACCTACCATTACATATGTATCATACTGAAGTGGAGGATACTCTAAACAACCTACCATTACAAATGTATCATACTGAAGTGGAGGATACTCTAAACAACCTACCATTACAATGTATCATACTGAAGTGGAGGGTACTCTAAACAACCTAGCATTACATATGTATCATACTGAAGTGGAGGTACTCTAAACAACCTACCATTACATATGTAACATACTGAAGTGGATGGTACTCTAAACAACCTACCATTACATATGTATCATACTATAGTAAAGGGTACTCTAAACAACCTACCATTACATATGTATCATACTGCAGTAGAGGGTACTCTAAACAACCTACCATTACATATGTATCATACTGAAGTGGAGGATACTCTAAACAACCTACCATTACAAATGTATCATACTGAAGTGGAGGATACTCTAAACAACCTACCATTACAATGTATCATACTGAAGTGAAGGGTACTCTAAACAACCTACCATTACATATATATCATACTGAAATTGAGGATACTCTAAACAACCTACCATTACAATGTATCATACTGAAGTGGAGGATACTCTAAACAACCTACCATTACATATATATCACACTGAAAGTGAGGATACTCCAAAAAACCTACCATTACATATGTATCATACTAAAGTGGAGGGTACTCTACACAACCTACGATTACATATATATCATACTGAAGTGGAGGGTACTCTAAACAACCTACAATTACATATGTATCATACTGAAGTAGAAGATACTCTTAACAATCTACCATTGCATATGTATCATACTAAAGTGGAGGATACTCTAAACAATCTACCATTACATATCTATCATACTGAAGTGGAGGGTACTCTAAACAACCTACGATTACATATCTATCATACTGAAGTGGAGGATACTCTAAACAACCTACCATTACATATGTATCATACTGAAGTGGAGGATACTCTAAACAACCTACCATTACATATGTATCATACTGAAGTGGAGGATACTCTAAACAACCTACCATTACATATGTATCATACTGAAGTGGAGGATACTCTAAACAACTACCATTACATATGTATCATACTGAAGTGGAAGGTACTCTAAACAACCTACAATTACATATGTATCATACTGAAGTGGAAGGTACTCTAAACAACCTACCATTACATATGTATCATACTGAAGTGGAGGATACTCTAAACAACCTACCATTACATATGTATCATACTGAAGTGGAGGATACTCTAAAGAACCTACCATTACATATGTATCATACTGAAATTGAGGATACTCTAAACAACCTACCATTACATATGTATCATACTGCAGTGGAGGGTACTCTAAAGAACCTACCATTACATATGTATCATACTGAAGTGGAGAGTACTCTAAACAACCTACCATTACATATGTATCATTATATTTGTTACCATTACATACCATTACATATGTATCATACTGAAGTGGAAGGTTACTCTAAACAACCTACCATTACATATGTATCATATTGAAGTGGAAGGTTACTCTAAACAAGCTACCATTACATATGTATCATACTGAAGTTGAGAATACTTTAAATAAACAAAGTATAGTTTCAATGTTCGTACGAAGTATGTATTTAGTAATTTAGATAAATTGTGAACGATCAAAATATTATTAATAGCTTGCAAAATTTAAATACTTGACAAAATTCAAGCGTCATAAGGCAGAATTATAAAGCCTTAAACAAAAAAGAATTCTGAAACTATACATACCGTATTTAATAAGAAAATACTGAACATTCCCCACATTTCCATCGTTCTTGTATAAAGATTTCAAGACTATTTGTAACTGCTTCTGGTTCTGGTTAAAATTGTTTATAGTATTTGAACAATAACATTTGAGGCTTTGTTTGGTTGGTAAAAGGAAAGGGGTTTTTTCCGTATATTGTAGGCGCTCTTCTCCTAGGCGTAACAGAACTCACCGGAAACGTAAATAATTAAAGATTATTCCACAGCAGAATCGACTAGAACGCCGCACGTGAGTTGTTGTGCGAGGAATTTCACGAAAGCACGCAAATTTGCATTCGCCATTGCAAAAAAAGGTACGCGTTGCGTACAAATGTGAGCAAGAAAATCAAGTGGATTTGTGAAGAAGACAGGAATAATTAATTTCATTGATGCTCATCTTCTTTTGCTGACATGACACTTATTGACACATGTAATTTTTCAATATGTCACAGCATAAAATGTTCTTACAATTTGTTAACATGACACAGAAATTGATCGCAAACCTTTATGTTAAGCTTGTGCTTTGAATGTATATCACATGTCTATGTATGATAGCATTCTTTAAACCAATCGAATTGGTATAATAGTAAATTCTTTTTACAACTTTAGAAGGAAGATCTTTGAAACAGTAGAAAAAGATTATTTCTCATGGTTATAAATCAGCTATTACTAACTAAGCAAGTGACTCGTAAAATGTACTTACAACCAAACATTGTGTACATCAAACATACTCTACTGTTCAATGAATAATCAGTAATAGCATTCTTTTTCACATGACTTTCTTCGTTGCTAAGATAATTTGACTGTAGATAACCTTTGCTTTTCTCTGTAGTGACAATATCATCAAGTAGAAACTTCTTCTCGCCAGGCTTTCTCGATTGTTTAATTTCATCTTGACATGAATTTTGTACTTATGCTTCGCAGACCGGTGAGAGATGACGTCATATCATGAAATGACAAATAACAAATTTGGATTTCATATTCTATTGTGTGTGAACAGAATTCTATATTTTACAATAAAAACAGCAGGTGATTAAAATTGAACATTTATTGAACATTCCAATTTCTTTATTATCAAGAAAAAGCAAAGACATCATGTAGATGGTTGCGTCTTTATTAATCTTTCTAAATTTGTTAAAGTATGTTAATTGTAAAGGATTGGATAATTTATCATTTCAAAATACTGACCTTTCTTGCATTATCACCAACAATTAATTTCATCAGTCTTTTCAAATATCATTGGTACGGCAGGGCTAAAAAATCAACAAGAGGAATCAAAATAATGACACGTCACAGAATTTTAGTTATGTATATCATTATGTGCAATAAATTTAATTCTATCTAACATGGCTTTTATCAAGAAGAATTTTTTTCCTCATTCATATAGTCATTTATTTATTTATCTTCTTCCTAACACAGATGATGCCATAAAAACGTTTTGCTAGGTAAGTCTTTAGAAATTGCGCTTACTTGGAGTGAAAAGCTCACTTCTTCACGTGATAGTAAACGTGATTTTTTTTCTTGTCTATAATTGTTAAACTTGTTGTAAGATAGACTATTTAAAATACTTGTTTGCGTCAAAGTTCACAAAATGGCAAAACTTTGCCTGATGAGCTGTCAAGTGCAAACGCTATCAATTTTGAAGTATCTCTGATTACTGAGATGTGACAAAAATCACAAAATTATCCAAAATTAGGGACTTCGAGATTAATTACTCTGAAATTTCCTTTTCAAATAAAGACTGCTCCTAAAATCTTGAGCCCCCCAACTTTTACTTGCTTCTCACGCCCCTGATCAAATTATTTGTTTATCCGGATCAAAAGTTTACAAAATGACAAAACTTCATTGACCACATTTCAACGCTGAAAATTTAAGAGAAGCTCTGTTTATCGATTTTCTAAACTTCCTATACTATAAATCTTTAATTATTGAGCTATCTTACTTGGAAAAGGCTGGCTGCCCGTCTTCCTTTATGATTATTTCATTTAGTTTGCATGTAAGTCAGGATATTCAATAATTGAAATAAATAATAGTAAACTGTGTAAGGTTTATTGGCATAAAGCTTCCAAGTCAAAACTTCTTTGTGTTTACTTCAGTCATAGCTAAAATAAAAAATTTGCATTTCATTGTGTGTGAACAGAATTCAATATTTTACAATAAAAACAGCAGGTGATTAAAGTTGAACTTTTAGTGAACATTCCAATTTCTTTATTATCAAGCAGAAGCAAAGGCATCACGTAGTTGGTTGTGTCGTCTTTAATGTTTCTGAATTTGTGAGGGTATGTTGATTTTAAATTCCATCTGTAATTGTTTGTTTTTATGTCATCTGTCACAAATGACTTCTATAAATAATTTCAGTTCTATACGCATGTGTTTACGGACAACACTTGTAAATTTTGATGAAATTTGTAAACAAACGGCAATTTATTTTGGACATTTTACCATTAAAAAGTACGAACCTTTCTCACATTAACATAAATTACACATTCCGAAAGTTTATATAAACATTATTTGTATGAAGAAGCTACAACTTGACAAGATGATTCCAAATAACGACACGTCATAGAATGTTATATATGCATGTCATTATGTGCATTAATTTTACTATTTCCTAACATGGCTTTTATAAAGACTTGTACAACATTTTACTTTTTCATTAATTTGTTACGTCTTATACAATTTACAAATCTTCTGTTAGACATATTTTGAATCGTCAACCAAAAACAGTCAACAAGATCTTAAAGTTCTTTGGACAATTTAGATTGTATGTCGCCGTACAACCATTAATATTTTAGTGAATATATGACCAGAATATTTACATCGAAAGAGAGTATGAAGTTTATTATCTAGATCTTAACATTTCGCAAATTTTGCGTTAGATAACTATGGAACAATTAGTTGCTACAGATTTGCATGATCACTATTTTTGTGTTCTTTCTGTGTCTTTATTTAAAGGCATTTTGATATGAATAAGATTTGTTGATTTTGATGGGATTTTTTAAACAATCACAAATAAATTTTAGATAATTTAACGTTGGAAAACACTGAACTTTCCAGCATTATCGCCAGCAATACGATGTACTTAATCAAATATTCCGATAGTTCATTTTAAATATTATTCATACAACAGGTCTAAAAACTCAACAGGACGTGTTAAAATAATGACACGTCACAGAATTTCAGTTATGCATATCATAAATGCGGAATGATTTTATTTTTATCTAACATGGATTTTATTAAGAAGAATGTTTTCCTCATTCATACTATCATCCAGATGATGCCATAAAAACGTTTTGCTAGGTTAGTCTTTAGAAATTGCGCCTACTTGGAGGGAAAAGATCACTTCTTCACGTGATATTACACGTGATTTTTTTCTGGTCTATAATTGTTAAACTAGTTGTAAGATTGACTATTTAAATTATTTGTTTGTGTCAAAAGTTCACAAAATGACAAAACTTTGCATGATGAACTGTCAAGTCCAAACGCTATCAATTTTAAAGTATCTCTGATTACTGAGATGTGACAAAATTATTCCAAATTAGAGACTTCGAGATTAATTACTCTGAAAGTTCCTTTTCAAATAAAGACTGCTCCTAAAATCTTGAGCCCCCCAACTTTTACTTGCTTCTCACGCCCCTGATCAAATTATTTGTTTATCCGGATCAAAAGTTTACAAAATGACAAAACTTCATTGACCACATTTCAACGCTGAAAATTTAAGAGAAGCTCTGTTTATCGATTTTCTAAACTTCCTATACTATAAATCTTTAATTATTGAGCTATCTTACTTGGAAAAGGCTGGCTGCCCGTCTTCCTTTATGATTATTTCATTTAGTTTGCATGTAAGTCAGGATATTCAATAACTGAAATAAATAATAGTAAACTGTGTAAGGTTTATTGGCATAAAGCTTCCAAGTCAAAACTTCTTTGTGTTTACTTCAGTCATAGCTAAAATAAAAAATTTGCATTTCATATTTTATTGTGTGTGAACAGAATTCAATATTTTACAATAAAAACAGCAGGTGATTAAAGTTGAACTTTTAGTGAACATTCCAATTTCTTTATTATCAAGCAGAAGCAAAGGCATCACGTAGTTGGTTGTGTCGTCTTTAATGTTTCTGAATTTGTGAGGGTATGTTGATTTTAAATTCCATCTGTAATTGTTTGTTTTTATGTCATCTGTCACAAATGACTTCTATAAATAATTTCAGTTCTATACGCATGTGTTTACGGACAACACTTGTAAATTTTGATGAAATTTGTAAACAAACGGCAATTTATTTTGGACATTTTACCATTAAAAAGTACGAACCTTTCTCACATTAACATAAATTACACATTCCGAAAGTTTATATAAACATTATTTGTATGAAGAAGCTACAACTTGACAAGATGATTCCAAATAACGACACGTCATAGAATGTTATATATGCATGTCATTATGTGCATTAATTTTACTATTTCCTAACATGGCTTTTATAAAGACTTGTACAACATTTTACTTTTTCATTAATTTGTTACGTCTTATACAATTTACAAATCTTCTGTTAGACATATTTTGAATCGTCAACCAAAAACAGTCAACAAGATCTTAAAGTTCTTTGGACAATTTAGATTGTATGTCGCCGTACAACCATTAATATTTTAGTGAATATATGACCAGAATATTTACATCGAAAGAGAGTATGAAGTTTATTATCTAGATCTTAACATTTCGCAAATTTTGCGTTAGATAACTATGGAACAATTAGTTGCTACAGATTTGCATGATCACTATTTTTGTGTTCTTTCTGTGTCTTTATTTAAAGGCATTTTGATATGAATAAGATTTGTTGATTTTGATGGGATTTTTTAAACAATCACAAATAAATTTTAGATAATTTAACGTTGGAAAACACTGAACTTTCCAGCATTATCGCCAGCAATACGATGTACTTAATCAAATATTCCGATAGTTCATTTTAAATATTATTCATACAACAGGTCTAAAACTCAACAGGATGTGTTAAAATAATGACACGTCACAGAATTTCAGTTATGCATATCATAAATGCGGAATGATTTTATTTTTATCTAACATGGATTTTATTAAGAAGAATGTTTTCCTCATTCATACTATCATCCAGATGATGCCATAAAAACGTTTTGCTAGGTTAGTCTTTAGAAATTGCGCCTACTTGGAGGAAAAGATCACTTCTTCACGTGATATTACACGTGATTTTTTCTGGTCTATAATTGTTAAACTAGTTGTAAGATTGACTATTTAAATTATTTGTTTGTGTCAAAAGTTCACAAAATGACAAAACTTTGCATGATGAACTGTCAAGTCCAAACGCTATCAATTTTAAAGTATCTCTGATTACTGAGATGTGACAAAATTATTCCAAATTAGAGACTTCGAGATTAATTACTCTGAAAGTTCCTTTTCAAATAAAGACTGCTCCTAAAATCTTGAGCCCCAACTTTTACTTGCTTCTCACGCCCTGATCAAATTATTTGTTTATCCGGATCAAAAGTTTACAAAATGACAAAACTTCATTGACCACATTTCAACGCTGAAAATTTAAGAGAAGCTCTGTTTATCGATTTTCTAAACTTCCTATACTATAAATCTTTAATTATTGAGCTATCTTACTTGGAAAAGGCTGGCTGCCCGTCTTCCTTTATGATTATTTCATTTAGTTTGCATGTAAGTCAGGATATTCAATAACTGAAATAAATAATAGTAAACTGTGTAAGGTTTATTGGCATAAAGCTTCCAAGTCAAAACTTCTTTGTGTTTACTTCAGTCATAGGTAAAATAACAAATTTGAATTTCATATTCTATTGGGTGTGAACAGAATTCTATACTTTACAATAAAAACAGCAGGTGATTAAAATTGAACTTCACTTTAGTGAACATTCCAATTTCTTTATTATCAAGCAGAAGCAAAGGCATCACGTAGTTGGTTGTGTCGTCTTTAATGTTTCTGAATTTGTGAGGGTATGTTGATTTTAAATTCCATCTGTAATTGTTTGTTTTTATGTAATCTGTCACGAATGACTTCTATAAATAATTTCAGTACTACGCATGTGTTATACGGACAACACTTGTAAATTTTGATGAAACTCTTAAACAAACGGTAATTTATTTTGGAACATTTTACCATTAAAAAGTACGAACCTTTCTCACATTAACATAAATTACACATTCCGAAAGTTTATATAAACATTATTTGTATGAAGAAGCTACAACTTGACAAGATGATTCCAAATAACGACACGTCATAGAATGTTATATATGCATGTCATTATGTGCATTAATTTTACTATTTCCTAACATGGCTTTTATAAAGACTTGTACAACATTTTACTTTTTTCATTAATTTGTTACGTCTTATACAATTTACAAATCTTCTGTTAGACATATTTTGAATCGTCAACCAAAAACAGTCAACAAGATCTTAAAGTTCTTTGGACAATTTAGATTGTATGTCGCCGTACAACCATTAATATTTTAGTGAATATATGACCAGAATATTTACATCGAAAGAGAGTATGAAGTTTATTATCTAGATCTTAACATTTCGCAAATTTTGCGTTAGATAACTATGGAACAATTAGTTGCTACAGATTTGCATGATCACTATTTTTGTGTTCTTTCTGTGTCTTTATTTAAAGGCATTTTTGATATGAATAAGATTTGTTGATTTTGATGGGATTTTTTAAACAATCACAAATAAATTTTAGATAATTTAACGTTGGAAAACACTGAACTTTCCAGCATTATCGCCAGCAATACGATGTACTTAATCAAATATTCCGATAGTTCATTTTAAATATTATTCATACAACAGGTCTAAAAACTCAACAGGACGTGTTAAAATAATGACACGTCACAGAATTTCAGTTATGCATATCATAAATGCGGAATGATTTTATTTTTATCTAACATGGATTTTATTAAGAAGAATGTTTTCCTCATTCATACTATCATCCAGATGATGCCATAAAAACGTTTTGCTAGGTTAGTCTTTAGAAATTGCGCCTACTTGGAGGGAAAAGATCACTTCTTCACGTGATATTACACGTGATTTTTTTCTGGTCTATAATTGTTAAACTAGTTGTAAGATTGACTATTTAAATTATTTGTTTGTGTCAAAAGTTCACAAAATGACAAAACTTTGCATGATGAACTGTCAAGTCCAAACGCTATCAATTTTAAAGTATCTCTGATTACTGAGATGTGACAAAATTATTCCAAATTAGAGACTTCGAGATTAATTACTCTGAAAGTTCCTTTTCAAATAAAGACTGCTCCTAAAATCTTGAGCCCCCCAACTTTTACTTGCTTCTCACGCCCCTGATCAAATTATTTGTTTATCCGGATCAAAAGTTTACAAAATGACAAAACTTCATTGACCACATTTCAACGCTGAAAATTTAAGAGAAGCTCTGTTTATCGATTTTCTAAACTTCCTATACTATAAATCTTTAATTATTGAGCTATCTTACTTGGAAAAGGCTGGCTGCCCGTCTTCCTTTATGATTATTTCATTTAGTTTGCATGTAAGTCAGGATATTCAATAACTGAAATAAATAATAGTAAACTGTGTAAGGTTTATTGGCATAAAGCTTCCAAGTCAAAACTTCTTTGTGTTTACTTTAGTCATAGGTAAAATAACAAATTTGAATTTCATATTCTATTGGGTGTGAACAGAATTCAATATTTTACAATAAAAACAGCAGGTGATTAAAGTTGAACTTTTAGTGAACATTCCAATTTCTTTATTATCAAGCAGAAGCAAAGGCATCACGTAGTTGGTTGTGTCGTCTTTAATGTTTCTGAATTTGTGAGGGTATGTTGATTTTAAATTCCATCTGTAATTGTTTGTTTTTATGTAATCTGTCACAAATGACTTCTATAAATAATTTCAGTTCTATACGCATGTGTTTACGGACAACACTTGTAAATTTTGATGAAATTTGTAAACAAACGGCAATTTATTTTGGACATTTTACCATTAAAAAGTACGAACCTTTCTCACATTAACATAAATTACACATTCCGAAAGTTTATATAAACATTATTTGTATGAAGAAGCTACAACTTGACAAGATGATTCCAAATAACGACACGTCATAGAATGTTATATATGCATGTCATTATGTGCATTAATTTTACTATTTCCTAACATGGCTTTTATAAAGACTTGTACAACATTTTACTTTTTTCATTAATTTGTTACGTCTTATACAATTTACAAATCTTCTGTTAGACATATTTTGAATCGTCAACCAAAAACAGTCAACAAGATCTTAAAGTTCTTTGGACAATTTAGATTGTATGTCGCCGTACAACCATTAATATTTTAGTGAATATATGACCAGAATATTTACATCGAAAGAGAGTATGAAGTTTATTATCTAGATCTTAACATTTCGCAAATTTTGCGTTAGATAACTATGGAACAATTAGTTGCTACAGATTTGCATGATCACTATTTTTGTGTTCTTTCTGTGTCTTTATTTAAAGGCATTTTTGATATGAATAAGATTTGTTGATTTTGATGGGATTTTTTAAACAATCACAAATAAATTTTAGATAATTTAACGTTGGAAAACACTGAACTTTCCAGCATTATCGCCAGCAATACGATGTACTTAATCAAATATTCCGATAGTTCATTTTAAATATTATTCATACAACAGGTCTAAAAAACAGCAGGATGTGTTAAAATAATGACACGTTACAGAATTTCAGTTATGCATATCATAAATGCGGAATGATTTTATTTTTATCTAACATGGATTTTATTAAGAAGAATGTTTTCCTCATTCATACTATCATCCAGATGATGCCATAAAAACGTTTTGCTAGGTTAGTCTTTAGAAATTGCGCCTACTTGGAGGGAAAAGATCACTTCTTCACGTGATATTACACGTGATTTTTTTCTGGTCTATAATTGTTAAACTAGTTGTAAGATTGACTATTTAAATTATTTGTTTGTGTCAAAAGTTCACAAAATGACAAAACTTTGCATGATGAACTGTCAAGTCCAAACGCTATCAATTTTAAAGTATCTCTGATTACTGAGATGTGACAAAATTATTCCAAATTAGAGACTTCGAGATTAATTACTCTGAAAGTTCCTTTTCAAATAAAGACTGCTCCTAAAACCTTGAGCCCCCCAACTTTTACTTGCTTCTCACGCCCCTGATCAAATTATTTGTTTATCCGGATCAAAAGTTTACAAAATGACAAAACTTCATTGACCACATTTCAACGCTGAAAATTTAAGAGAAGCTCTGTTTATCGATTTTCTAAACTTCCTATACTATAAATCTTTAATTATTGAGCTATCTTACTTGGAAAAGGCTGGCTGCCCGTCTTCCTTTATGATTATTTCATTTAGTTTGCATGTAAGTCAGGATATTCAATAACTGAAATAAATAATAGTAAACTGTGTAAGGTTTATTGGCATAAAGCTTCCAAGTCAAAACTTCTTTGTGTTTACTTCAGTCATAGCTAAAATAACAAATTTGCATTTCATATTCTATTGTGTGTGAACAGAATTCAATATTTTACAATAAAAACAGCAGGTGATTAAAGTTGAACTTTTAGTGAACATTCCAATTTCTTTATTATCAAGCAGAAGCAAAGGCATCACGTAGTTGGTTGTGTCGTCTTTAATGTTTCTGAATTTGTGAGGGTATGTTGATTTTAAATTCCATCTGCAATTGTTTGTTTTTATGTCATCTGTCACAAATGACTTCTATAAATAATTTCAGTTCTATACGCATGTGTTTACGGACAACACTTGTAAATTTTGATGAAATTTGTAAACAAACGGCAATTTATTTTGGACATTTTACCATTGAAAAGTACGAACCTTTCTCACATTAACATAAATTACACATTCCGAAAGTTTATATAAACATTATTTGTATGAAGAAGCTACAACTTGACAAGATGATTCAAAATAATGACACGTCATAGAATGTTATATATGCATGTCATTATGTGCATTAATTTTACTATTTCCTAACATGGCTTTTATAAAGACTTGTACAACATTTTACTTTTTTCATTAATTTGTTACGTCTTATACAATTTACAAATCTTCTGTTAGACATATTTTGAATCGTCAACCAAAAAACAGTCAACAAGATCTTAAAGTTCTTTGGACAATTTAGATTGTATGTCGCCGTACAACCATTAATATTTTAGTGAATATATGACCAGAATATTTACATCGAAAGAGAGTATGAAGTTTATTATCTAGATCTTAACATTTCGCAAATTTTGCGTTAGATAACTATGGAACAATTAGTTGCTACAGATTTGCATGATCACTATTTTTGTGTTCTTTCTGTGTCTTTATTTAAAGGCATTTTTGATATGAATAAGATTTGTTGATTTTGATGGGATTTTTTAAACAATCACAAATAAATTTTAGATAATTTAACGTTGGAAAACACTGAACTTTCCAGCATTATCGCCAGCAATACGATGTACTTAATCAAATATTCCGATAGTTCATTTCAAATATTATTCATACAGCAGGTCTGAAAATCAACAAGATGTGTCAAAATAATGACACGTCACTGAATTTCAGTTATGCATATCATAAATGCGGAATGATTTTATTTTTATCTAACATGGATTTTATTAAGAAGAATGTTTTCCTCATTCATACTATCATCCAGATGATGCCATAAAAACGTTTTGCTAGGTTAGTCTTTAGAAATTGCGCCTACTTGGAGGGAAAAGATCACTTCTTCACGTGATATTACACGTGATTTTTTTCTGGTCTATAATTGTTAAATTAGTTGTAAGATAGACTGTTTAAAATATTTGTTTGCGTCAAAAGTTCACGCAATGACAAAACTTTGCATGATGAACTGTCAAGTCCAAACGCTATCAATTTTAAAGTATCTCTGATTACTGAGATGTGACAAAATTATTCCAAATTAGAGACTTCGAGATTAATTACTCTGAAAGTTCCTTTTCAAATAAAGACTGCTCCTAAAACCTTGAGCCCCCCAACTTTTACTTGCTTCTCACGCCCCTGATCAAATTATTTGTTTATCCGGATCAAAAGTTTACAAAATGACAAAACTTCATTGACCACATTTCAACGCTGAAAATTTAAGAGAAGCTCTGTTTATCGATTTTCTAAACTTCCTATACTATAAATCTTTAATTATTGAGCTATCTTACTTGGAAAAGGCTGGCTGCCCGTCTTCCTTTATGATTATTTCATTTAGTTTGCATGTAAGTCAGGATATTCAATAACTGAAATAAATAATAGTAAACTGTGTAAGGTTTATTGGCATAAAGCTTCCAAGTCAAAACTTCTTTGTGTTTACTTCAGTCATAGCTAAAATAACAAATTTGCATTTCATATTCTATTGTGTGTGAACAGAATTCAATATTTTACAATAAAAACAGCAGGTGATTAAAGTTGAACTTTTAGTGAACATTCCAATTTCTTTATTATCAAGCAGAAGCAAAGGCATCACGTAGTTGGTTGTGTCGTCTTTAATGTTTCTGAATTTGTGAGGGTATGTTGATTTTAAATTCCATCTGCAATTGTTTGTTTTTATGTCATCTGTCACAAATGACTTCTATAAATAATTTCAGTTCTATACGCATGTGTTTACGGACAACACTTGTAAATTTTGATGAAATTTGTAAACAAACGGCAATTTATTTTGGACATTTTACCATTGAAAAGTACGAACCTTTCTCACATTAACATAAATTACACATTCCGAAAGTTTATATAAACATTATTTGTATGAAGAAGCTACAACTTGACAAGATGATTCCAAATAACGACACGTCATAGAATGTTATATATGCATGTCATTATGTGCATTAATTTTACTATTTCCTAACATGGCTTTTATAAAGACTTGTACAACATTTTACTTTTTTCATTAATTTGTTACGTCTTATACAATTTACAAATCTTCTGTTAGACATATTTTGAATCGTCAACCAAAAACAGTCAACAAGATCTTAAAGTTCTTTGGACAATTTAGATTGTATGTCGCCGTACAACCATTAATATTTTAGTGAATATATGACCAGAATATTTACATCGAAAGAGAGTATGAAGTTTATTATCTAGATCTTAACATTTCGCAAATTTTGCGTTAGATAACTATGGAAAAATTAGTTGCTACAGATTTGCATGATCACTATTTTTGTGTTCTTTCTGTGTCTTTATTTAAAGGCATTTTTGATATGAATAAGATTTGTTGATTTTGATGGGATTTTTTAAACAATCACAAATAAATTTTAGATAATTTAACGTTGGAAAACACTGAACTTTCCAGCATTATCGCCAGCAATACGATGTACTTAATCAAATATTCCGATAGTTCATTTCAAATATTATTCATACAGCAGGTCTGAAAATCAACAAGATGTGTCAAAATAATGACACGTCACTGAATTTCAGTTATGCATATCATAAATGCGGAATGATTTTATTTTTATCTAACATGGATTTTATTAAGAAGAATGTTTTCCTCATTCATACTATCATCCAGATGATGCCATAAAAACGTTTTGCTAGGTTAGTCTTTAGAAATTGCGCCTACTTGGAGGGAAAAGATCACTTCTTCACGTGATATTACACGTGATTTTTTTTCTGGTCTATAATTGTTAAACTAGTTGTAAGATTGACTATTTAAATTATTTGTTTGTGTCAAAAGTTCACAAAATGACAAAACTTTGCATGATGAACTGTCAAGTCCAAACGCTATCAATTTTAAAGTATCTCTGATTACTGAGATGTGACAAAATTATTCCAAATTAGAGACTTCGAGATTAATTACTCTGAAAGTTCCTTTTCAAATAAAGACTGCTCCTAAAACCTTGAGCCCCCCAACTTTTACTTGCTTCTCACGCCCCTGATCAAATTATTTGTTTATCCGGATCAAAAGTTTACAAAATGACAAAACTTCATTGACCACATTTCAACGCTGAAAATTTAAGAGAAGCTTTGTTTATCGATTTTCTAAACTTCCTATACTATAAATCTTTAATTATTGAGCTATCTTACTTGGAAAAGGCTGGCTGCCCGTCTTCCTTTATGATTATTTCATTTAGTTTGCATGTAAGTCAGGATATTCAATAATTGAAATAAATAATAGTAAACTGTGTAAGGTTTATTGGCATAAAGCTTCCAAGTCAAAACTTCTTTGTGTTTACTTCAGTCATAGCTAAAATAACAAATTTGCATTTCATATTCTATTGTGTGTGAACAGAATTCAATATTTTACAATAAAAACAGCAGGTGATTAAAGTTGAACTTTTAGTGAACATTCCAATTTCTTTATTATCAAGCAGAAGCAAAGGCATCACGTAGTTGGTTGTGTCGTCTTTAATGTTTCTGAATTTGTGAGGGTATGTTGATTTTAAATTCCATCTGCAATTGTTTGTTTTTATGTCATCTGTCACAAATGACTTCTATAAATAATTTCAGTTCTATACGCATGTGTTTACGGACAACACTTGTAAATTTTGATGAAATTTGTAAACAAACGGCAATTTATTTTGGACATTTTACCATTGAAAAGTACGAACCTTTCTCACATTAACATAAATTACACATTCCGAAAGTTTATATAAACATTATTTGTATGAAGAAGCTACAACTTGACAAGATGATTCAAAATAATGACACGTCATAGAATGTTATATATGCATGTCATTATGTGCATTAATTTTACTATTTCCTAACATGGCTTTTATAAAGACTTGTACAACATTTTACTTTTTTCATTAATTTGTTACGTCTTATACAATTTACAAATCTTCTGTTAGACATATTTTGAATCGTCAACCAAAAACAGTCAACAAGATCTTAAAGTTCTTTGGACAATTTAGATTGTATGTCGCCGTACAACCATTAATATTTTAGTGAATATATGACCAGAATATTTACATCGAAAGAGAGTATGAAGTTTATTATCTAGATCTTAACATTTCGCAAATTTTGCGTTAGATAACTATGGAAAAATTAGTTGCTACAGATTTGCATGATCACTATTTTTGTGTTCTTTCTGTGTCTTTATTTAAAGGCATTTTTGATATGAATAAGATTTGTTGATTTTGATGGGATTTTTTAAACAATCACAAATAAATTTTAGATAATTTAACGTTGGAAAACACTGAACTTTCCAGCATTATCGCCAGCAATACGATGTACTTAATCAAATATTCCGATAGTTCATTTCAAATATTATTCATACAGCAGGTCTGAAAATCAACAAGATGTGTCAAAATAATGACACGTCACTGAATTTCAGTTATGCATATCATAAATGCGGAATGATTTTATTTTTATCTAACATGGATTTTATTAAGAAGAATGTTTTCCTCATTCATACTATCATCCAGATGATGCCATAAAAACGTTTTGCTAGGTTAGTCTTTAGAAATTGCGCCTAATTGGAGGGAAAAGATCACTTCTTCACGTGATATTACACGTGATTTTTTTCTGGTCTATAATTGTTAAATTAGTTGTAAGATAGACTGTTTAAAATATTTGTTTGCGTCAAAAGTTCACGCAATGACAAAACTTTGCATGATGAACTGTCAAGTCCAAACGCTATCAATTTTAAAGTATCTCTGATTACTGAGATGTGATAAAATTATTCCAAATTAGAGACTTCGAGATTACTTACTCTGAAAGTTCCTTTTCAAATAAAGACTGCTCCTAAAACCTTAAGCCCCCCAACTTTTACTTGCTTCTCACGCCCCTGATCAAATTATTTGTTTATCCGGATCAAAAGTTTACAAAATGACAAAACTTCATTGACCACATTTCAACGCTGAAAATTTAAGAGAAGCTCTGTTTATCGATTTTCTAAACTTCCTATACTATAAATCTTTAATTATTGAGCTATCTTACTTGGAAAAGGCTGGCTGCCCGTCTTCCTTTATGATTATTTCATTTAGTTTGCATGTAAGTCAGGATATTCAATAATTGAAATAAATAATAGTAAACTGTGTAAGGTTTATTGGCATAAAGCTTCCAAGTCAAAATTTCTTTGTGTTTTATACTTTAGTCACAGCTAAAATAAAAAATTTGCATTTCATATTCTATTGAGTATGAACTGAATTCAATATTTTACAATAAAAACAGCAGATGATCAAAATCAAGCATTTATTGAACATTGCAATTTCTTTATTATCAAGCAGAAGCAAAGTCATCATGTAGTTGGTTTTGTCGTTTTTAACGTTTCTGCATTTTTGAGGGTATGTTGATTTTAAATTCTATCTGTAATTGTTTGTTTTTATGTAATCTGTCACGAATGACTTATATAATAAATTTCAGTACTATACTCATGTGTTATACGGACAACACTTGTAAATTTTGATGAAATTTGTAAACAAACGGTAATTTATTTTGGACAATTTACCATTGGAAAGTACAGACCTTTCTCACATTAACATAAATTACACATTCCGAAAGGTTATATAAATATTATTTGTATGGAGAAGCTACAAAATTGACAAGATGATTTAAAATAATGACACGTCATAGAATGTTATATATGCATATAGTACTATATAGACTGCCAGTTCTGGGCCACCCCACACCTTGATACCTAGTATACGTAAATCTAAGCGCCCTAACCCTAGTTCGCGTACGTACTTCTTGTAATTATGCTTGCATAATTACAGCGAAGACCAATCCCAGGACAACGGCAGGAGCCAAAGACGGCCGGCCCTCGGGGATAAGGCGGTGCCCTCCGCCGGTAGTGAGTCATTTGAAGAAGGACGATTCACAGCGTATATCTAAACGTTTGAAAGCCATGAGGCAGGGCAAGAACAAGTGCGCGTGGGTGAAGGTCCACACTAGAGAACCGTGTGGAAAGTCATGTATGGGGAAGTATTGTGGAGTGCATCTCTACGAAATCCGGCGTGGCTCGCCGGTGCCGGTCCCATGTCGGGGTTGTGGTATCAGCACGCAGGCAGAGGCGCAACAATGGGCAGATTGTGGCCAGCAAGCCAGAAAAGCTCGCCTTCGTAGAAAAGAAGCCCGAGCACGAAGGCAGTTTAGCCTGGTCCTCAGCGATGTGGAGGCCGGGAATTACTATTTAAAAAAGGGCGTATGGTAGGTTATATGCTAGGCTACATCTATTTAGACATTATATTAGGTTATATTCACTGATATGGATAGTGTCAAGAAAGTCCTCCAACTATATGACCAAGGTGTAGTCAGCGTAGACGCGCTGAACGCCTCTCTTAAGGCTCTTCAACCGCCCGCTGCTTCAACACCGACGCCAAGAAATGTCTCTCCGCCTATACTCAAACCGGGAAAGCGCAGGCCTTTCCCCAAACCACGCAAGCGTAGCCCCGCGGAGCCTAACGATGATGAGATGGACGCATACATCAATGAGCTTCTGGCTGAACGCCCAACAAGGGCTCCTCCCCCACCCCCTACGGAACTTAAGTGGGATGAAACGAAGGCCTTCAGCTATCATCTGAGAGCCTAGAAAATGCAGGTGCCAAAAGGGCACCCCTCCGAACGCGACTTGATGGATTTCCTCAAAAGCGCCCAGCCCTACATCAAACTCAAACTCGTCGAGGAGCTATTAGCTCTACGAGGAGTTAAGTTCCAGTTGGCTGTAGAGATTGAGCTTCGGAAGGATGAAGCAAATGGTACTGAAGTGCTTCAAGCAACAGTGTTCAGAACAAAGCAGATCACGCTGCTACAGGCGCATGAGATTCCGCAAGCCCTACATGAAGCCTTCCCTACAATCCTCGAGAGATTGGAAAAGCTCACTCGGGAAGGGTCTGGGTGGATAGTAGATCGTGTCAAAACACTCTGGCTTGACATCGCTCACTACCAGCCTTTACGCGGAGGCTCATACCTTCCTCTCCCCACCGCGGTCATGAATAAGAAGGCAATCCTCAACGTTAAAAACAAAGACGCCGACTGCCTCCGCTGGTCTCTAAGGGCAGCACTGTTTCTCGCAGCTAAACACCTGCAACGGCCGGGCAAGTATCCCACTGAAGACGGTCTTGACTTTGCGGGAGTAAGCGCATCTACACCGCTCTGCCAGCTCGAACGAGTAGAGCGTCAGGACAACCTTGCTATCAACGTGTATGGGTGGGAGGGCGGCGTAATTCCTTACCGTCTGAGCAAAGAAGAGGGAGCCCGCAAGACTGTGAATCTCTTCCTCGTCTCGGATCCGAATGATCCTGAGAAACACCATTACACTTGGATCAAGGGCTTCAACCACCTTCTCAACCGGGAATGGCCTGAATGAATTTGCTGGAAGAGCATAAGCCTGAATGTCGAGGCATCAACCAGGCCGCGGTTGCCATCAGAATGCCAACCCCCGGAAAAAAACGACAAAATCCGTTTTGAGAAATACCACAAGCAGCTCAAAGCGCCATTCATAATATACGCCGACTTCGAGAGTCTGGTCTGCAAAATCGAGGGCCCCGCGCTTAACCCTGAAAAGAGCGGCACCCAGCAAACCTCCAGGCACGAGGCATGCGGCTACTCGTACATAGTCATTCGTTCCGACGGAGAAACGCAGGCGCCGCAGCTCTACCGAGGGACCGACGCGGCCAAGCATTTCCTGGAAGCGCTCCAAACTGCCACGTCTGCGGCATGCCCCTCGAAGGCGATTCCGTGCGAGGTGCGGCCCACAATGAGTGCAGCCTGAAGTTGCGGCACAGCCCGAAAACGACGACCATACCAGTTGTCTTCCACAACCTGCGGGGCTACGACAGCCATCTCATCATGCAGACTATCACAGAGACTGAAGGAAAGGTCACCTGCATCCCCAACAACGCCGAGAAATACATCTCGTTCAGTATCGGCCAGCTTCGATTCATTGACAGCACCCAGTTTATGCTCTCAAGTCTGGATAGACTGGTAAAAGTCAGCGATCCGCGAGACATGTGTATCACAGCAGATTTCGAGCCAAACCCCAAGAGGCGTAACCTCCTGCTCCGCAAGGGGATCTACCCCTACGAGTATATGGACGGCTGGTCCAGATTTGATGAGGAATCCCTCCCGCCGAAGGAGGCTTTCTACAGCAAACTCTCCGATGAGAGTTACTGATGACGACTACGCCCACGGAAAAAAGGTCTGGGACGCCTTCGGCTGCACAACCCTCGGCAACTATCACGACCTTTACCTTCGGACTGATGTCCTCCTCCTCGCCGACGTCTTCGAGAACTTCCGAAAACTGTACCTCGAGCAATATAAGCTAGACCGTGCCCACTATTATACCAGCCCGGGTCTGAGCTGGGACGCTCTCCTCAAGCACACAGGGGTGGAGCTCGAGCTGCTCGCTGACATAGAAATGCATCTCTTCATTGAGAAGGGCCTGCGCGGTGGTATCGGTATGGCCAGCAGGCGCTTCGCCAAGGCCAAC